CAATTATAAAACGCATTATCGTCTTTAGTGCATTATCCCATTATACACCGCATGACACTAAAGCGTACGTACACACAGTTCCGAAAACTATAAAGATCGCAGAAACAATGAAAACGATTAACATTTTGTGTTGTCGGCTCGGGCAAAGGCGGCTTTGATCCGCGTGAAGACTGCACAATCACGGATCGATTTCGAAAGCCATTGCTCGGTTGCAAAAAAGGCCGTAAACGTTTTGCGTTTCGCCATTTTTTCAGTGCGGCCCGTTTTTTCCGTCGTTTTGGTCGTGGCGTTTGCCCGAAAAAAATATCCGCTAATTAGCGCTGGAACGGGGCCTTCGGGGGCCCTTTTGGCACTCGCAGCTGTGCCCAAAAGCCCGTAAATATTTTATTTTTCCCGGTTTTCTTAAAATAACGACATTTAAATATTCTCGCGCGGTAAAATCATGTTTTTTCAAGTCTTTGTTTCAAAAGGCTGTTTAGTGGCACCTTTTCTTGTATTCAGCTACAAAAATATTTTCCACAGAGAATAGAAATACAAAACTCTGTCATTTTCCAGGATTATCTAGAAACAGGAAGTTATCCGCGACCTTATAAATCTATTATGTACCCCATTCTTGAGTTATAACTCATCGTACAGTCTTAGGACCTTGACAGAAGGCAGTCCCTGAGACGGTTTTGCAGAGGTTGGTTCTCCATCTCCAATATCAGTCGTATTAAAGTTTATGGCATGGATGGTCAACATAATCTGATGCATTCGCCGTTGTTTCTTAGCTTCAATCTTCTGAGGTGTTCATTGGGGAGAGAGTGTCTTGTTAAAAACTCTGAGACAATCCGAAGATTGTTCTTATTTAAATCAAGGAAAATCTTTGATTTTTTGCGGTTTTCTCAGAAACATCTTCGAGTGTCCTAGACCTTTGCAGAATTCACATTCGAGCTTACGGATGGAGTCTTCCAGATTCTTGAGTTCAACTTTGAGTTGGTTTCCATTTAGGAAGCAGAACGGTATCAAAAGGCTGATCATACTTAAATGAAGGAAAATCTTTGATTTTTTCTCGGTCGTAAGTCCTGAGAAATTTCTTCGTTTCTCCATCTCCAGTATCAGTCGTACCAAAGTTTTTGGGACGAATGGTTGTCGTCTTGGCGCACTCAGTGATGAGGTGTTCTAGTGTTTCTCCATTTTCCCCACAGAATCTGCATTCGCAGTTGTTTCTTAGCTTCAATCATTGAGGAGACAGTGTCCTGTTAAAAAAACCTTGACAATCCGAAGTTTGTTCTTTTTAAATCAAGGAAAATTTTTAATTTTTCTCGATCGTAAGTTTTCAGAAATTTTTGAGTGTCTTAAGACTGTAAGGATTGCAATTCCAAATTACGAATAGAGTGTTCCAGCTTCTTGAGTCCTGCTTTAAGTTAGTTTCTACTTGGAAAGCAGAACAGTTCTGGTTCATTTAGTGGAGTGTGTGTTTTTTTTCTACACAGATCTCTTTTTTTTACCCTCTAACCCTTGGTGGACTGGCACTCAATGTAGGAGGACTTTTTTCTTGATCTCTTGTAATATTTTCTTTTTCGTCTTTCTATTAGGTTAAAAATACCACCCACCACCTTATATCGTGTCTTTATTTATATTATTGAAATGAAACTTCTTTACGCACGCTGGGAGTAAAAATTGAAGAACGTCAAACACGAGCTAGCATCACGAAACACGTTACGAAAAGTGGCAACGATCGAAAAAATGGTAATGCCAATGAGGAAGTTGAGATGGGTCGTTGGAGAGTGTGGCCCTGTGTGAGCTAGGGGGCTGAAACCCGGAATGTAGCCTCTTCGAGCCTCATTTTTTCATGATATTTTGGCAGCGTTTAGTGCACTATGAAACCCCATTGTCAATGGCGAAAAAAAAAATCGTCCGAGTTGGTTAAACGAGATTGGACTAGACTGAACTCACACGAATTGTTTCGAGCTGCACAGATTGTTTCGCTGCGATTGTTGTCAACCTTCATTAGAAGATGATACTATAAGATGAAGAAGTTTCACTTCAAATATGCCCACATAGTGCACACATTTTTTTATTTTACATTTCTATATTGTGTGTTTATTTTTATTTAGAACACTGGTTGTAAATTTCCTATATACAAACGTCACAGCTACAAATATTTAGGGCAACTATTGCCCCAAAAAAGGGCAATAAATACCTACTTATAAGAAATATATAATAAAAAACACCCATTGGGGAAACGTCCAATAATACTTTCCATTATTTGAATAAGGGAAATATTATGAGAAATATACAGGGTGGCCCATCGAAAACGTTCCGCAAGGCATAAGGGCCAGGGTATTTTTTTTTTTCAAAAAATCCAAAAACACGTCAATGTTGTTTGTGAGGGGGACAACTTTTGCCCCAAAAATGGTCGCAAAATCTTCAACCCTCTAAACGGGGGTGTTATCCCCCAACTTTTTTCAAATGGGAAGGGGGTCAAGTTGTACCGCAATGAAAAGGGCTTTCTATTCTCTATACTTTCCCGCTTCGCTTTTGAAAATCGGTCGAGTCATTGAGAAAATATGAAGGATTAAAATTTGAAAAGTTTATTTAAACATTTATCAGAGTAAATGATAAGAATAAATTCCTTCGACCAATTTGAGGTTTTTTCTTATTATTTCTAGATGTTTACGCATTTTTTCACTTGCCACAAGGTTGAACGATCAGGTGCGGTAGTTGCTAGATAGCTGTTCTGTGACTTGTGCGTTGAGGTTGTTCTCAATATCGTTAAACTCAAAAGACCTACAATATAATTTCCAAAAATACCAGCCCACACGTTCAATTTCTGAGGGTTTTGTGTCTGCACCTCGTGAAAAACTCTGGGGTGGTTCTCAGCCCAGTACCGACAGTTGTGCCGATTAACTACACCGTTCAAAAAGAAAGTACACTCATCCGAAAAACACACATTAAATAGGAAATTATTATCATTCGCCACTCGTTTAGTCATAGTTTCACAAAATTGCAAGCGACGATCAAAATCGTGTTCGACACTGTACGCCTTTGGACACTTGTACGATTCACGCCGGTCTCCTTGGCTAATTTTCTTGTACTCAGCGTACTATCCATGACAACTTGGCCCAATACGAATACCTCCATAGCTTCATTTACTATAGGAATTTCCCTCTGCCTCTTTTTATTCATAACGGAACCAGTTTCGCGCAATTTTGCTACTAACTCGCAAACAATTTGGCCATAAAGGTGTTTGTCAGGATGGCGTTCATTGAATATCTGCGCAACCCGACTGCCACATTTATTATTTTTAAAATAAAGTTCGATTATTCATTATTTTCACTTTTTCTGCAAGTGATTACACCATAATTGCTAAAAAATTTAACGATATTGAGAAGAACAAACTTCAGCTATCTAGCAACTACCGCACCTGATCGTTCAACCTTGTGGCAAGTGAAAAAATGGGTAAACATCTAGAAATAATAAGAAAAAACAGCAAATTGGTCGAAGGAATTTATCCTTATCATTTACTCTGATAAATGTTTAAATAAACTTTTCAAATTTCAATCCTTCATATTTTCTCAATGACTCGACCGATTTTCAAAAGCGAAGCGGGAAAGTATAGAGAATAGAAAGCCCTTTTCATTGCGGTACAACTTGACCCTCCTTCCCATTTGAAAAAAATTGGAGGATGACACCCCCGCTTAGAGGGTTGAAGATTTTGCAATCATTTTTGTGGCAAAAGTTGTCCCCATCACAAACAAAATTGACGTGTTTTTTAATTTTCTGAAAAAAAATTACCCTGGCCGTTATGCCTTGCGGAACGTTTTCGATTGGCCACCCAGTAGGTTTTAGTGGACCATTATGGGAAACACTTGGTAGAGTAATTTTTCAAACTATTAAAATTTTTCCATGTGTAGTACCGATTTAACGGAACCCGTGTTCGAAATCGTATGTTAAACTTTATGTGTTTAAAAATAAAGATATATTTTTAATTTTTATGGAAAAGTTCACAAGCCAAATTGCCAAATTTATTATATTTTTTTTAATGATTCTTTAATAATATCGATTGTTGAAACAATACGAGAAATCAAATTACGTAATTTCTTTCCTAAGAAATGGAAAAATAATAAGGCCTTTGTTTAATATAATAAAGAAATTAGGTATTATTATTGACGTTCCTTCTCAAACCATCATAAAATAACTGAATATTTTTTAGAGAAATATTACATGCAGCCCATAGCGACATCTATCGAGAAACTATTGAATACTTCTTGAATTTATTGTCGCCATAATGTCAAGAAAATATCAACTTTGAAACTACTACGGCTATCTAGTTTCTGGATACAAGTTAAACAAAGATATAAATTATAAATTTAATGAAAATTACAATATTTATACTTAGTATATTATATACTTACCCTACATTGAGTATCCAGTAATAAAAATAAATATGTTCTAAGCTTTTTATAATGGACTTTTCGTCGAATTAAGTACCTAATAACACATATAAAAATTAAAAATTGATATAAACACAACAAACAAAATAGAAAATATCAATATTTTATTATTCTAGTCTATAACTATATATTTCTGAATTTATAATATGTATCAATATTAATAAATAATTATATTGTATTATTTTTTGTTCATCATTTTGTCAAGATTAAACATACTAAGTTAAAAATCATATTAAATTTCATTTTTAAATCAAAATTTAAATTCTTAGTAAACCAAATAATTAATATAAAAATAATTCTTAATTTTTTTTTAAACTAAATACAAAGTTGAATTCTATATAACACTATTCACTACTTTAGTACTTATTATTATTTTTGAATACAATTTAGGAACACAAAAAAAACAACATTTTATTGCTCATTTACTAATTATTATTGCTATACTAATTTTCGTAACCATAAAACTTTGCCATGTAGTGTATTATAATATCCTTAACATAAGATATAAATTATTATGATATTAAAGAGTGTAATTATATTTCTTACTAATTTAATTGAAAATTACTTGGTTTGTCGTAGTACAGCAAAAAAAGAGTATGAAGATCTTAATATCTAAAAGAAAAATACATATTTTATAAGACAGTGTATTAAGTGTCATAATAGTACCCCTCTAAGAGTGTTCACTGTGAGTGGAAATAACTCCCCGGCAGTCAAAATGATTGGTTTCTTCACTCGTTCCATAAAAATCATCAACTCCTTTCGAATCTTTAAATCGGAATCATACCAATTCGATAAATATATTGATTGACCAATATCAGAACTCTAAAATAACAATCCAAATATATAAAATATGATAAAAAAAACGGCGTCAGCGATGGCTAAAAAATAAACATCGCTGCCATTTTATATAGAAAATTATATGGGAAATGCCATGGGTGTTCATTTCCAAGCCAATAACTGAGCGCCATTTTTTTTTCGATAATAATACGGTATCGCCACAATTATCTAATGAAATATTTTATTAGTTTTTAACAGCAGGACATGTCAGTAATAAAACCAGTCATTTCTAAAGTGTTTTTTTTATGAAAATTTATTCATGAGTAAAGAACCACTTAGATGCTAAAGGCCCCCATACACTTCGATGATTTTGCTCAGTTTTAACCGCGCAGTTAAACACGCTCAGGTAAAAAGAACAGGCCAGCAACCTCCATCGCGAGAAGCTGAACAAATTAGGCAAAGAAAATAAAGTCCTCCTATTCTGCGTGTCAACCCACCAAAAAAACAGAAGGCAATAAAAAAGCAAACGATCTAGCTAGGAAAGGAAAGAACACTCCACTAACTGGTCCAGAACCGTGTGGAAAAGTTGGATTCCCAAGTGGAAACCAACTTAAAGCGGAACTCAAGAACCTGGAAGACTCTATCCGTAACCTGGAATAGGAACCCCCCTAGGGTATTTTCCTTTAAAAGAAAGATCTAAGACACTCTAAGAAATTTCTCACGACTTGCAACCGAGAAAAATCAAAGATATTCTTTGATTTAAGAGTCTATTACGCTGTACTGTTCTCAGAGGTCGGGCAAAGCGGACGTGTGGCCAAAGGAAATATATATTATATTTCAGAAATCTGCCTTAGGCTTAGCCCGATCCTGTCGTGTTAAGCCACACCCACAATTCCAAACACACGTGCTTTGATTAATGCTTAATTAAGGTTTGCAGAGCTTCAGCATTTGAAATAAAATAGCGAGCAATTTGTTACGAAACCATATAAATTATATATCACTGTAATCACAAAACTTCAATCTATTTCCGTATTGTACCGCAATTTTAAGTTTTGTCTTTATTTTCGAGAAAATTTAGTCCAAACATAAGGAATATTTTGTTGATGTTTGCCATTAAAAAAATCTTAAAAATAAAGAAGTTGTCTAAAAATGTGCTACAATATGGATATAGTAAAATCCTTTTATCCTTTTTCTTTAATTTCCTTCTTCAGTTGTGGTAAAAATACCTATCCAATTTTACATAAAACGTTAAATGCCCAACGCTTATTTTGCTAGTTTTTCGGACTAGTAAAATGGACTCTTAACTAAGAACAATCTTCGGATTATATATAATCAATTATTACATAAAATCAACTACTACATCTACATCTAGCTGTATCCAGAAATGGACCCTTCACAAATGTATAGATATCATATTAAAAACCTTTTTATATTATTACTAGCGTGTACCAGCGACTTCGTTCGCGTCGAATTAATCATTTGTAATGGTGATGATAAAGCAAAGCAAGAATTTCCATTAACATACAAACTGGATAAAATTTTCTCACAGTTATGTCAGCATGAGAAAAAACAGTATAGCGATATTATTTTATAACTTGGTAATATTTGAGGGGTAGTTTCGTCTCGTTGGAATTTGACTTTCGAAAAATCCGTTTGCCAAAAATAAGCTTTTTACGTCAAGCAGTTTAAGCAGAATCGTGGTTAAAAAATTACCTAACTTTTTGGAACACCCTGTATGATTTTTTAAGAAATTTCAAAATATGTAAAAAAAACCAAATAAATTATGCTTGTCCAAGCGTTTTCCCGAAAGACTAACCGTTTTTTAAATAACAAATATTGTAATATTTGAGGGGCGTTTTCAGCCTCTTGAATTTGAGATTCGAGAAACCCCTCCTTATCGAACCTCTATACCCCACAGTCAATCCGTTTGCCAAAAATCAGCTTTAAACGTCAAGCAGTTTAAGCAGAATCGTGATTACTCAATGGTCATATTTTTTGAAACACCCTGTATAAATTTATAAAAAATCTTAAAATATGTAAAACAACAAAATAAAATATACGTGTTGAAGAGTTTTCCCGAAAAATTCACCGGTTTTTAAATAAAAAAATATTTTAATATTTAAGGGATAGTTTCACCCCCTTAGAATTCGAGTTTCGAAAAATCCCTTCTTATCGAACCTCTACACCCTAAAGTCAATAAGTTTTCCAAAAATGAGCTTTTTACGCCAAGCGCTTTAAGCAGGATCGTGATTAATCAATGACCAGATTTTTCGAAACACCCAGTATACATTTTTAAAAATCTTAAAATATGAAAAAAAGCGAAATAAAATATACGTGTTTAAGAGTTTTTTCGGAAACTCCATCTTTTTTAAATAAAAAATATTGTAATATTTTAGGGGTGGTTTCACCCTCTTGGAACTAGAATTTCGAAAAATCCCTTCTTATCGAACCTCTACACCAGTAGTTCCCAAACTTATTTTTCTCGTGGACCACTTTCAAAATTTTACTGGTTTCGGTGGACCCCCTGCTGCTACATTTCTACCACATTCTTAAAGTCGCCAAAAAATAAAAATTGTGTCACTTCTGAGTTCTGTCCCTATATTCCGATATGTAAAATAAAAACGAAAAATGGTACATTTTATATCACTTTATTTATTAAAAGAATAGAATTACAAGAAAAATATTAAGGTAATATAGGTTCAGGACATAATTTTAATTAATGGGAAGGATGTATCTGATGGAGTGTCAGCAAACGATCAATGTTTGGCTTTATTTTTGTGGAGCAATAACCGCAATCCCCCCGCTCTGTGATGTTTAATTTGCTCCTTTTTTTTTTTTTTGTTAAGAGGTTTGTAACGGCACTAAAACTCCTTTCGACAAGGTATGACGAGGGAAAAGCTATTAAAAATTTCCTTGCGATTTCCCACAGTCCAGGATATTTTTCGGGTATTTCTGCTTGCAGCCAAAATGTTGGGTAGCCTTTTCTAAATTTCACCTTCAGCTCCTCATTAGTGCTTAGCTCGAGCAGCTCCTCTTGTAATACAACATTGGCCACTTCCGTTTCATCAAATGGATTTATGATCCATGGTGGTATATCCATCGTCAGTATATCTTCAAACCTGGTTTTGAAGTCATCATGCAGAGCACTTAAATGTTGACTGTAGGTATGGATATCCTCATCAATACATTCTACCTGCGACAAGTTTGGAAATTGAGAGAATTCGCGCCGACTAATGTTTTGCTTCATAAATTTCAATTTCCCAAGAAAAGCCGAAATTATCCCCTTTGTTTTTATTAAATTCAGGCTGTCCCCTTGTAACTGCAAGTTAATATCATTAAATTTTTTAAACAAATCTGTCAAATACGCAATGTCTGCTTTGAATTTGATCAAGTTTTCTTTTAAATCTGGATCTCTACTTTCTAAGAACTCTAATATGGAATCGAAAACAGAGTAAAATCTCGTTAAGCATGCACCTTTCGACAACCAGCGTACTTCAGTATGTAAGAGCAGTCGTTGGAAGTCTTCATCATTTTCGTCGCACAATTGAGCAAATAAACGCGTATTCAATGCATTGCTTCTGATTTTGTTGACAGCTTTTATTACAAAATGAAGAGATTGGTTCAACCTGTCACTTAAATGTTTTGCCACAAGATGTTGTCGGTGGATTACGCAATGAATAGCTGTAAGTCCTGGTATAATTCTTTTGAGATGACTTATAAACCCACGATATCGCCCGACCATTGCAGGAGCTCCGTCTGTTGCCACTGAAATAATGTTTGTAAATGGGATCGATTTTTCCGTAAAAAAATTACTCAGGACATTAAATATTGATTCGCCTTTAGTGTCAGTCTCCAAAGTTCTGGCAAATAGCAATTCTTCGTGAATTTCTTCCTCAACAATAAATCGGACATATGCCAATAGTAATGCTTCATTACTGGGTAACGTTGACTCGTCCAGTTGTATAGAAAAATGAGTTTTTTGCAGATGATTGCACAAAAAGCTTTCGATATCAGAGCTCATTTCATCAATGCGTCTTTGTACAGTATTGTTACTTAATGGAATTCTTTTTAGTACGTCAAATGGAGATTTGTGCAAAACAGTTTTTAAAACCTCTTCAACAGCGGGTAAAATTAATTGTTCTCCGATAGTGTGCGGTTTTCCAGATTTTGCTATAAGTAATGAGATATTGTAAGATGCCCGCAAGCCATCATCGTTACTTTGAGATGTTGAAGCGAACATACTGTGCATGGTGGGTCTCTTTCCATATTTTTCTTTCAATGTTTGAAAATATTTTAAATCTTTACCTATTTTATCAGTATGACACCTTTTTAGATGATCTTCGAGCTTTGATGGTTTCATAGAGTCATTGCTCAAAACTTTGTTGCATAATAGGCACATGGGCAATTGTTTGTCTGCCTCTGATGGAACAAAACCATATTTCAAATAATCGATACTATATTGTCGACATTTTTTCTTTGCTGTAGCCATGTTTCGTGTCAGTTACCTTACCTGTAAAAAAAATGTTTTAGTAACCAAGTTTTTTTCTGAATATAGGTATCACACCGCAGCCTTTTGTCAGCCCTTGTCAGCACGCGGAAATAGAATTACGGCTTGTAAAGGGACCAACTAATAAACCGCTGAGACAAATACAGACGTTTTCACAAAACGGTATCAATTTTAAAGTACATAATTTACCACTAATTTTTAATAGTATAAATAAAAATTGGTGTACTCAGTATCGAATACTGATCATATTTGTGTAGGAAAAAATAAAAGTCGAAATCCCAAAATTGTCCATAAAAACGATAACTAACATTTTATTAAATCAATGAGTTCACGCGCTCCGTGTATTTGCGTATTTTTGTCTGCGGCTTCATTGTTAAAACGTGACAAACTGGCATCGAAGTCCAAGCCCCGCCCTTTTCCCGTCGCCCGCGCACCGCTCGCTCTTTCCGAAAAGGAATAGTTTTGATAAAATAGTTACTTCAAAACCAATTTAAAATGATTATGAAATTACTGTTTTATAAAATTAGTAGTTATTTGCAAGAAAAATTACAAAATTAATTGCTCTGCAATATTGCTTATTCGGCCTTTTTAGAGAGGCAGTGTTTCTCTCGTGAAAAAACAATTGAATAAAACGTGCTGTTTGTCTTCAAATCGAAAGAGGACAATTAAAATATCTGTAAGTTACTAAGTTACCTATCTATACAGGCCGTTGTGATCAACCGACTAGTACACGTAAACAAAATACTTAAGTACTATAACAAAAAAAGGTAGGTTACTTACTTTTCTCCGGCACTAGCAAACACAGATATAAATTTTCTCACAACTTTTTTCCAAATTCCGCCTTTTTTCGAAATTCCGGAAACAAATGAATGCGTTTGCCTTTGGCATCAAGTATTTATAGTGGTGATCAAGTTCATGTCTGAACAAGCATTAAGCATTGTCGGGCGGATAGCGCTTTGCAAGTCTGTACACGAAATTGTACGTAATATCGAATACGCAAGTTTGGACAAGTAACAGTCGCTTGCCTTATTAAAATATTATCTGCTTAGATAGGTACTTAAAACAATGTAGGTAGGCCCTTATAAAAACTATGCTTACATTTTTGCTCTTTACTATCAAAAGCAGATAAATTTTCGTGGACCCCCATTAACATCTTATGGACCCCCATTTTTTGTTCACGCCTACGTAGACCCCCAGCAAGTCTCCCGTGGACCCCTGGGGGTCCACCTGGACCACTTTGGGAATCACTGCTCTACACCCTAGAATCAACCTGTATGCCAAAATTGAGCTTCTTACGTTGAGTGGTTTGAGCAGGATCGTGATTAATCAGTATGTCAGTCACTTAAGGATTTTATATGTATATTAGTATAGATTATTACCTCACTCATAATATTGTGTCCGTAATAACAATAAAATGCAACCTGACCTAGCATGCAAACCATATAACTCAAAAGATGGATCTCGTAAGCTAATACCAAATAAAAATCTGAAAAATCCGGAGAATACTAAAACAAAAATATTGGCTTTAAAGAAATCATAAATATAACAATAAAACTTTACAAAAATTAGCTCGTAGCTGGTAAAACAGATGACGAAGATGCTTCCTGCAAATTGACCTAAAACACCAAAGCTGAAAATGCCGTTAATAACTTCGCAGGCCCTGAAAAAGTCTAGTTAATAATCATGTAATCAATAAATATTTACTGATATAAAAGCAACAAACCAAGAAAATAGCAAACGTAAAATATGAGATATTAGTGAAAAAATAGCAAACAAAGTAACTACTACTTCACTAATTTTGTTAGTTTTGTTTATTGAAATATCATCCTTGGCCTGTCATCAGCTTACATTTATTTTGCTTCCCTACAATAAAAAAATGGCGGTCTTCAAGGTCTACAGTTCCTTGAAGCTGTGAAAAAATGAAACTTCTAAGTTAACGAAAAAAAGGTTTCCCCCCACAAAATAACATATATTTCCACACTCTTAAAAGAATCAAGAATCAAGATGTCCAAGGCAATGTTCTAATAGATGATACACCTATGGGAGAGTACAAAAATATAAATATCTAGGCAGTAGGTTGACCGAAAACTTGGATCAATCAGCAGAAATGAAAGCTCGAATAGAAATAGCCAGAGCATCCTTTGTAAAACTCAAAAAATGTCTGTGCAGTGGAGACATCAACTTAAAGCTTAGTAAGAATGCTAAGGGGTTACATATTTGCAACTCTACTCTATGGTTCAGAGGCTTGGACACTTAAAAAGGCCGAAATGAAGAAGCTTGAGGCATTCGAAAGATGGTGTTATCAACGTATGCTGAGGATTGCATGGACTGATCAGGTTACAAATGTAGAACTGCGACGCAGAATTCAGAAAGACGAAAAGGTGATTAACAGCCTTAAAAAGAGGAAACTTGAGTACTTTGGACACATAATGAGAGGACCTAAATATGCCCTGCTGCAGAACATAATAGAAGGAAAGATAAAGGGCAGAAGGAGCCAAGGAAGAAGAAGAACATCATGGCTCAAGAATTTGAGAGAATGGTTTGGGAATGACTTCAAACCAGTTATTCAGAGTAGCCGTTAACAAAGTTAGAATTGCCATGATGATTTCCAACCTCCATTAGGAGATGGAACCCGAAGAGGAAGAAAAGAATCAAAACTTATAGGCTTGGTGCATTTCAGTTGATTTCAACAAATTCCGACCGCAGCGCTTCAACGGCAGAAATCAGAAATTATCAGTATGTATTTCACGCCGTATGTATTAAAATAATATTGAAATCGTGGCTTTGTCATAATATTTAAGATAGAAAACAAATTTCTTGCAGTAGAGGTATATAATAAAATTATATAAGGGTTCTTGCCACTTAACTGCTAATATAAGAATATAGAAATTTAATTCTACGCTGTGTTTGTCATAATGAGGATCAACTTGCTCTCTCTACCGGTTTTGGAGCCCTACTCCATCATCAGGTGAGCTTGGGAGATCCACAAAATGACAACCACAGCGCAGAGATAGTTAATTCCGACTTGTCGGAAAGTATCGGTTAGATATTAAGTCCCGAACGGGAGATAGCGGCCTGCGTGCAATGGTAGTACTTTCGTACCACCGAGGCCATAAATTCAATGAACATCTACTATCAGAGGATAAAATTAATATAATTTGCAATATTAATGGTATAGGTACTTTTTTTAATCAACTAGTGATTAAATGTTTTATGAACATCTTCTAAAATTATAATTATGTACCTGTGTATTTGTATATACTAGTTGTTTACGATATTTTCCGATGGTGGCAGCACCGGCGGAGAATGCACCAAGCCTATAGAGAAAAATCTGAGAACTCTACATTTGTAATTAAATTATAAATATAATCATAAAAAACATAGCCTTAATTTGAAGTACGTAATCAAGCATCGAGGTTAAGCAAAGCAAATATTTCAAGTTTTGCGTTTCATATTTACTTGATATGTCGCTTGCGTTAAAATTATTGTATACTTTAACAACTGAAGATGAGCTTGAACATTCATTTTAATATCCTTCTTGATATCGGCCACGTTTCTTTTATAATTCAACTTTTCCAAGTTATCTTTAAGAACTCGGAATTGTGCACAAACAATGGAACAAAACATGGCAAAGACGATGTCGACAGATCCGCTTACTGAGGCACAAATGCACACAACTATTGCTTGATATACATACGTTAAATAGTATGCTACAGAATCGGTCAGGTCCCAGGGATAATAAGCAGGAAAGATAAGCCTAGAATTAAGATAATTAGTTATTTTTTAGCCGACCATACCAATAGGTATTATTAATTAATTCGTGGAAAAGAACTGTTTTTAAATTCAAGATGTTTTTTTAGACAATAAATTTTACAATTTTATTGTTTAATAAAAACGCGGCTATTAAACAAATGAAAATCAGGATATTAAGGCTTTGCGTGGGGACGCGGGACTTTTGGAGCAAAATCGGGACAGGTGGCAATCCTGGGTGTACAGTACGTCTGTCCGTTCTGTGGCTACGGGGTATCCGTGAGAAGGGAAACGATATTCTCTCGATGTTTTTCGTAAAAAATTACACGACGCGTCCCATCGGGCGGAGCGATTTGCGGTGACGTGCTCGTCAAGTCGACCTATAAAATATATTGCTGTTTATTTAAATAGTTTTTGTCCGCATTCCTTTCATAGACACAGATCCAGCAGACGAACTGTAATATACATAATCTTCATATTTTGGATTGTGTTAATAAGTTATTATAATATCATTTGGAATTAAATTCAAAAAAACCGATTCCATTTTTTCTCTCTACCACTTACCGTCTATTGTCGTTTGAATCAAACAAAGGAAACAAAATATACGATCCAACAGCAACAACAACCATTATTTTATAAGATAACACTATCTTTTTCGTTACCCTAATATTCTTTCTTATTATTTCTTTATGGTATTCACATGTCGGATATAAAATCTTACTATAGAAAATACTCTCCAATAAATCTACTTGCTCTCTGTTGTAAGCGCAAAAACAGCTTTTGATGAACATGTTGAAGCTGGATATCATGAGCAGTAACGTTTCCATGATTTTCGCATGATTTTTAAACTCGATAATGACGAAAGTGATCATCGACAAGGCGAAGGTAACTATGAGGAACATAGAAAAGGCGAATCGTATTTTATAAACAAAGGCCCAGTAGGATTGGGACTTGAAATATATTCCATGAAGTATCAGGATTTTCATGTCCGCGTGGTAGTATTTTCCAATATCAAAGTCCTAAAACAATATTATAAAAAAGTCTTAAGGAACTACAATGGTTGTTTTATAATATTTTGCATATAGAGCAGTGGCGGCTTAAATCACTTTTTTTCATCCTAAGGTATTCAAAACTATTCTCAAAAATCTTGAATTTGGCCAATTTTTGCTTGAAAACGTTTTATGACAAACAAAATGAAATTTTGACCGGCCGGTAGTAGGGGAAATGGGTAAAATTTCCTCTACTGCCGGTCAAAATTTCATTTTGTCCTTCGTTCCCGCTATGTTTTGCACGTATCAAACTCCAAATACCGCTGCTCGTGACGCTAACGAGGTAAGGTATACTACGCATAGAAAAGATAATGGGTTGAGGTATGATAGATATAGTTTATATTGGTGTGATATTGGCCATTGACCGCGTCATTCATAAAAGGATTTATTTTTTTTGGGCAGTTTCGGTGTTTATAAAAACACAAATTATAAAACAACCTGTTCGAAGGAATGGGAACAAACTTCCCTTCTCACAAAATAAAATACCACTTTTAGCACTTATATCATAAATAACTATTTCTTTTCAAACGTCACAAAGGTATTAATTTTTGCGACGAATGATTGACAATATAAAAAAGCACTTTTACGCCTAAGCATAAAAGTGCGAAAATATATTATTAAACTGACATAAAGTGCCAAACCAAACCATAGTTTCTCGATATACAGGGTGTCCCAGAAATAAGTGCAAATATTTTAAGGGGTGGTAGAACTCGATAAAAGAAACATATTTTCTCTTTATCGTTTTTCAAATAAGTCCAAAATAACGGAGTTATTTTACTTTGAAAATTTCCAAAAAAAAATAATTTTTTGCTAAAATTTTGAGAACCACTGGATCTTTTCTGGATTTTCTTTCTTGTAAATTTAATCTAATACTTATGTTGCCATATTATTAAGAAATTATGTTTTTCAACTAAAAACTAAAAAAAATTCCAAAAAATTTCGAATTTTCCAAATTTTCTTTTCGCGAAAAAAACTTCATAGGCGTGTTTCTGGGGTTGAACTATACTACCAGTTAAAATACTTGCACTTATTTCTGGGACACCCTGTATAATTATATACAAGGTATGACTTTTAATTTTTTTTATATATATGTTGGAGGCAGATGACGAATTCGGCCTATGTCCGAAATAATTAGACATATGGCGATATGTCCATACTAAACTTGCCACTTGAACTAACTTCGTGGTTATAAATAGTCGTTATATAACTTCTTTACGGAGGGGATTAGTCTTTTTTTGATATCATATAACAACAAAAGATTAACACCCTCCGCATAGAAGTTGAAACCAATGCAATCAAAACTCCTCCGCGTAACTTTGTGGATTAGGTATATTTAATTATAATCGCCATATGTTTAATTATTTCGGACATAGGCCGAATTCGGCATCTGCCTCCAACATATACATTTGAAATTGTTTAATTATTTATCAATAAAATGAAAAATATACGAAATAATATGCATGTACTGATTTCTTTCGAAAATCGACAACTATGAAACTATGAACTCTTCCTGGACACAAACGGTACATTGTGAGACAGATGATTGTAGAGAAAAACAAGCCCTATAACATAGGATACAACATTTTAATGAAGAGTGCTTTCCATAAAATCAATAAAATGAAAAACTACATGTACTAATTTCTTTCGAAAATCGACAACTATGAAACTATGAACTCTTCCTGGACACAAACGGTACATTGTGAGACAGGAAATTGTAGAGAGAAACAAGCCCTATAACATAGGATACAACATTTTAGTGAACAGTGATTTCCTTAAAATCAATAAAATGAAAAATATACGAAATAATATGCATGTACTGATTTCTTTCGAAAATCGACAACTATGAAACTATGAACTCTTCCTGCACACAAACGGTACATTGTGAGACAGGAAATTGTAGAGAGAAACAAGCCCTATAACATAGGATACAACATTTTAATGAACAGTGCTTTCCATAAAATCAATAAAATGAAAAATATACGAAATAATATGCATGTACTGATTTCTTTCGAAAATCGACAACTATAAAACTATGAACTCTTCCTGGACACAACCGGTACATTGTGAGACAGAAAATTGTAGAGAGAAACAAGCCCTATAACATAGGATATAACATTTTAATAAACAGTGCTTTCCATAAAATCAATAAAATGAAAAATATAAGAAATAATATGCATGTACTGATTTCTTTCGAAAATCGACAACTATGAAACTATGAACTCTTCCTGGACACAAACGGTACATTGTGAGACAGAACATTGTAGAGAGAAACAAGCCCTATAACATAGGATACAACATTTTAATGAACAGTGCTTTCCATAAAATCAATAAAATGAAAAATATACGAAATAATATGCATGTACCTACTGATTTCTTTCGAAAATCGACAACTATGAAACTATGAACTCTTCCTGGACACAAACAGTACATTGTGAGACAGAAAATTGTAGAGAGAAACAAGCCCTATAACATAGGATACAACATTTTAATGAACAGTGCTTTCCATAAAATCAATAAAATGAAAAATATACGATATAATATGCATGTACTGATTTCTTTCGAAAATCGACAACTATGAAACTATGAACTCTTCCTAGACACAAACGATACATTGTGAGACAGAAAATTGTAGAGAGAAACAAGCTCTATAACATAGGATACAACATTTTAATAAACAGTGCTTTCCATAAAATCAATAAAATGAAAAATATACGAAATAATATGCATGTACTGATTTCTTTCGAAAATCAACAACTATGAAATTATGAACTCTTCCTGGACACAAACGGTACATTGTGAGACAGAAAATTGTAGAGAGAAACAAGCCCTATACCATAGGATACAACATTTTAATGAACAGTGCTTTCCATAAAATCAATAAAATGAAAAATATACGAAATAATATGCATGTACTGATTTCTTTCGAAAATCGACAACTATGAAACTATGAACTATTCCTGGACACAAACGGTACATTGTGAGACAGAAAATAGTAAAGAAAAACAAGCCCTATAACATAGGATACAACATTTTAATGAACAGTGCTTTCCATAAAATCTTTCCAAATAAATGAATAATAAAATGAAAAATATACGAAATAATATATATATATATATATATATATATATATATATATATATATATATATATATATATATATATATATATATATATATATATATATATATATATATATATATATATATATATATATATATATATATATATATATTTATATATATATATATATATATATATATATATATATATATATATACATCATTTGAAATTGTTTAAAAACTTATTTCTAGCGTTTGAAAACAAAATAGCATGTTCTATTTGGAGTGAAAATGACTTTTTCTGCCTCGGCTGTAGTGTCAAACGTACAGCCTCGCCACGAAAAGTGTCATTTTTACTCCTAATAAAAGAATATACTATTTTGACATCCCTAAGTTTAAAATAATTTGGTCCTTAGCTTACTAAAACAAATCCTTATTTTTATAATCACAATATACTCTACTATGACTAGACTAAGAAATGTAACTAGTTACCACAAAATCTTTGCCTTAAGAACATATAATTATTTTTTTACAAAGTTTTTTACCTTTTGCAAATTATTTGTTTCCAAAATCTTTACTTCAGATTTCGTGTCCATCTTATGAATTCAAGATACGATTTACCTATAATGCCAGTTTAATTTTCCGTTATTTAAAATTTAAACTGAGATTGATAGAGCTGTAATTATTTTAATTGCATATATGGTAACAGAAAATCTACTTATACGTATATTCTAAGAACAAAACTAATGGTTATAAAAAATTAAAAATTCCATATACCGCATAAGAGGGTAAAATTTCTAATAAGTACTTCAAAAAACAGACAAGTGCAAAATTTCCCTTCATATTGGATTAATATTTAATTAATTATTTTTCTTAAAATAGTCATATTTTTTTATTTCATAGGTACTGTATAGTGATCAAATCAAAAAACCACTTCGACGTTTTTTTTTGACCATTATTGTTAATTTTGTTGTTAATTGGCTACAACTCAATAATTTTTCGAAAAAAAAACATATTACAGCTTATATCGTTGGAAAGCTTCAAAAATTACACTTTTATGAAGTTATGACAACTATGGTTTCCATTTAATAAAACATATGTTTGTGTCATATGTCAAAAATTGCAGGCTTTAGAAAAAAACGGGCAATACCGTCTCATTAAGGATGTGATTCTTTACAACTTGTATCTGAAGACTTTTTGTCTAAAATAAATTATAATGGAATTAGGCAGCATTTTTAAAATAGCCAAACTTTTTTTTCAAATATCTAGTAAGCAAGTATGTTTGTCCTCACAAAACCGCAATTTTTTCTCCATTTGACCGACTCTCTAGCTCCACTAGTTTCCAAGATATCCATAGAGAACGTCATAGAAAACTCACCCTGTAGAGCTTGAATATATTTCTGATGATATGGTTAAAGCAACATCTATTTCTATTCGACTACAATTCAAACTAAATATTGTAAACAATATCAATAATCTTTGCAAAATACAATAAACCTAAAGGAAATATAGTTTTGCTAACTAGAACACATAAAGTGGTTTTACAAGATATCTATATAAATTTCTAAACTAATAACTACGGAGCGTGTCAATCAGAAAAGCAAAGAAAAATAATAGAATTAACTCATTCAATCGATATTGTGTGGTCAGCTAAGTAGTTTATTCGTTACAAATGATTTGTCAGATAAATCGTTATAATTCGTTGAAAATAAAGCCACAAAATTGATTGTGGTGGCCGGAAGAAGTTTCTAAATTTTTTTGTTTATTTTCCATTGTCTCTATAACGCGGAAATGTGTAAAAAAATATTTCTGTGTAGGCAGTATACATGATATAATAAATGTTTTAATACTGATTGCATAACTGCAAGAACTCACTATATGTATCAAACGTTTTTCGACGTATTCCGATGCCCAGTCGCCATTGCTCCCTATCTAGCCAGAGGCCTATTCCTTCTCTCCAGCTCTTGCGTGGTCTACCCCCTTTTTCGTCGTCCCGCTGGTGTCCAGTTGAGGATCTGTTTTGAAAGCCTCTCCTCTGACATTCTTTGTAATGTGGCCACATCATATTAGTTGGTTCGTTCTTATGTCATCAGCTATTGTTCGATTGACCCAAGATTGACCCCCATAATTTATCGAATTCTGTTGTTCGTACCATCTTTCTCTTCTGGATTTACCTGCGGCCCGTCTCCAGAAATTCCTTTCTGTCGCTTCCAGGGTGCACATAATTGCCATAGCAAACGATGCTTTTAAATTAAATTAATTTAAATGTTACTATCCCACAAGATTATGGTTAACAAGAAAAAAATCAATAACTAAGACCAATTGAGGATAACCGAAGTTATACAATTTTTTGCCATGATGAAAAGAAATTTTAACTATCAAACAATGTGAGAGAAATTGATGTACAAAGACAACTTATTCTCTGACTGGACGATAGTCAACTTGTCATATTCTTAAAATAAGTCCAGTTCTATAAAAAGGAAATATATTTTCTTCAAAAAAAAAAACAAAAAACTTTAAAATGTAATTAAGTATAATGTTATTGCATGAATGGAAAATACCGTATGATCGAAAAAAACGGCGTCCAGTTGGCTTGGAATTGAACATCGATGACATTCCTCATATAAATTTACATATACCTAAAATGACAGCGATCTTCCTTTCACAGCCATCGCTGACGCCGTTTTTTTTTTCGATCATACGATATATCAACAAAAACACTACAATATATATTTGTTACTAATCAAAAAGGGTACTAAAGACTTATTACTAATAATGTTATTTAAGTAGTAACAAAGGAGTATAAAGGTGAACAGAACTGTTATTTTTGAGAAACAAAATTTTTAGTGTGGACCAAAAAGTTTACACAACCAATAGAAAAAATATTTAATAAATATTTGAAACAACATTTATATGCATTTGATGTGTCATGCTCAATAACTAAAAGCCTACTTTGATCTACAGGGTGCCCCAAAAGGTTTTTTTTTTCGTTTTCTTTTTTTCGATCATATTGTATTTCATAAACTCCTAATCTCTTGTGAATCTTGAAGCCCCACTGACGAAAACTATGGCAATTTTATTAGACGTTGGAAAGAAAATTTTAAATAGATAAAAAGTAGTGTAAGTATTCTCTTTCTTGTTTTATTAGAAAAAGTTTCTTTTTTGCACATACATAATTAATTTTAAAATTAAATATAAAAAATAGGTTCATTAAAAAAATAAATATTAAATATAACGTTCTAAAATTATACGTCTAGAGCTTTTCAGCTAAAAACCTAAAAAACAACTTCAAAAATCACAAGCAAAATTTTCAATCGTATTTAAAATCTGTGTAAAGAAATGATAAGATAAATTGTATTTTCTGTCATTTTTTGGATGTTGTGTGTCGAAATCTGCCCCGACTTATTTAACAGAATTTATATGTAGGTATGTGTATTGAGAATCTGAAAAAAATAGGCAAAGAAAATAAAGTCCTCCTACTCTGGGCGACAGCCCACCAACGGATAGGAGGTATTTAATCATGATACAATGAATTAAACATCGAACGATCTAGCTAGAAAAGAAGCAAACACTCCACTAACTGTATCAGAACTGTTCTGCTTCTCAACTGGAAACCAACTGAAAGCGGAACTCAAGAACCTGGAAGACTCCATCCGTAACCTGGAATGGGAATCCTCCAACTGTCTAAGACACTCGAAGAAATTTCTCGGACTTCAGAGAAAAATCAAAGATTTTCCTTAATTTATGTAAGCACAATCTATAGATTATGATGCGGTTCTTAACCAGGAAGCAGTCTCAATGAACACCCCAATAGATTGAAGCTAAGAAACAAAGGCGAATGCAGATTCTGTGGGAAAAATAGGGAAACACCAGATCCCCCCATCACTGAGTGCGTCAAGACGACAACTATTCGTGCCATAAATTTTGGTACGACTGTAACCTCTATAAAACCCTCTCAGATACTGGCTTTTGTCAAAGCCCTGAGACTGTATGATGACTTTACCTAACTGTAAATATGTGTTACTATTATCATATAAACATGTTTTTTGGTTTTAGATATAAACTACTGATAAAACCATAGCTCGAAAGCTATGACCAGTTAATGGACGTCCACCTGCATAGTTCATTTATTTCACTTAAATAACCGGTGAACTAGATAATTTCGACTTTTTTGTCAGATCGCTGGCTACACGTAAAAACAGTAAAAACTAAGAAACCGCGGTGTCATAGAACTCTACTCTAGTAGAAAAAATCGCGCCGAAATTTCAAGCTATAAAAGCATTTCTTTTGCACAATTAAAGTTCAGTGTTACGACAAACGGCGTTCAATTAAAATAGTACAAAAATGTGTGTGAAGGTAGATATTATCTTTTGTTTATTGTTTATACAGTATATTTTGAATATTTTAAGTCCAATATTATGTGACAAAAAAAAAGTTTTAAAAAAGCTTTAAAATTTCAAAAATACCGAACTAAATTTCAAAATTTAAATTTTTTAATACTCCTTATACTACACACATGGCCAAAATTATTGCATATATCGTTTAAAAATATACGGAAAGGAATTTAAAGAATCTTTTTTTATACATAGCTTTGATAATCTGTAATAAACATTTTTTTGTTAAAATGGATATGGTAAACAATGTTTATCGTTCAACCCAATATTTATCGTTTTTTTATCGTTTTAGACCCAATATTATTACAAATTCTTGCACATTTCGATTTGTGGCCTCTTGGGTTTCAGAAGAAATTTGACCATTGTTTTGGCCTTAAAATGCCTAGAAACATTATTTCACAGTTTAATAGAGTCAGAATAGTAACACTGTCTCAACAGGGCTACCGGTAAGTTGCAATAGCTGAAAGTAGTTGCAATAGCTGAAATTGTAGGAGAGTTAACTAAAGCGATGTTTCGCGAATATTAAAAAAAATCAGCGAGACAAACAAGGTTACAGACCGGCCTGGAAGAGGTAGAAAGAGAGTTACTAATACTATGCAAGACCGTCAAATATCCCTAATTGCACGACGCAATCCCCTGCTTTCTAGTACTGCTATTAAAAATGAGTTAGCTCGCCTTGAAGGACTCCATGACAGAGGATTACATTTAAGGAGGCCTCTACGTGTTTCGAAGCTTAATTTACAGCACAAAATTACGCGACTACAATGGGCTGAGGAGATGAGAGCAAATGGACCTAATTGGAATTTCGTCATGTTTAGTGATGAAACAAGAATAGGCCTAGTGCCAGACTCGCGACGAACTTTGGTCTGGAGAGCATCTGGAAGACGAGCACGCTTGAATGCAGCTCAACCCCGTGTCCCGTTTCAAGGGGGAAGCATTATGGTATGGGCAGGTATAATGCGCGAAGCTCGAACTCCTCTTGTTTTTATTGACAGGTGCCTCATGTCTTCGAGACGTTTTAGAGCCTATTGTGCGTCCATTTCGAGGGGCAGTGAGGGATGAATTTGTTTACATGGACGATAATGCTCCTCCCCATCGCACTTTAGCGGTTCGCGAATTTTGTGAGGAAGAGTGTATAAGAAACTTGTGGTGGCCACCGATTTCTCCAGATATAAATGTGATCGAGCATGCTTGGGACATGCTAAAACGCCATATTGCCAAAAGGAATGATACCCCCCGTACCTTAAATGAATTGAAAATTGCTGCGCGCGAAACATGGGAAGCCATTCCTCAGCATCTCCTGAACAACTTAATTGAGAGCATGGCACGTCGTCTCACAGCTTGCATTGAGGCTTGAGGAGGCAATACAGACTATTAGTTGTGAGAAATAATTAAAATTGTTTTCAATATTTTCTGTTTAAAATGAAATTTGTTTTTGTTGATTTTCACTCACTATGAAATAAAATTATAATAACAGCCTAGTTGCGCTTAGATTTTTAATTTTATATTAGTTAGTCGTGTAGTAAGCCAATATGTCCAAAAATATAAAAAGAATCATATTCTTGTCTATATCAATCGTCCAAAATAAAATAAAAATATCGTTATATGCAATAATTTTGGCCATGTATGTATTTCGCTTTCAACTAGAATATTCTTTCAAATATAATTTTTGTTTAGTTGGCATTATTAGCCATCCTTTGTTTTGGCGGTCTGGTGGCGCACAGTATTCCCTTGACGAGGTTCAAGCGTGCAATAGAAGAAGCAGGAAATAGCAAGTCTTCGCCTGACCCAATTTCAGAAAGATCTGGATTGGTGGACTATGAGCTACCCACTGAAACCAAGACCGTTCCTACTGCGAAATACTTCCAGTAAGTTTCAATCGTCCATCAGGTATATTTATCAACTTTAGTATTACATAGTGATGGTCATATCTACTGTAAGAAGAAGGAATCATATACAGGGTGATTCAATGAAAAATCTGCATGTCAGATTTTTCTTTTTTGATATTGAGATTTTAACTGAAATTATTTTTAAATATTTATGTTTTTTTTTCTAATTTTTGTGTGAGAATTTGCTTTAATATTTCCATAAATAGTATGTTATAAAATAATGATGGAAACAGAGTGTTACATTAGTGGAACTGTAAATTGGGTATTATTATTTACTGGCTATTTAATTTTTAATACTGCAATACAACATTTCGACATACTATTAGCATAAAATGTTTCTTGGTCAATTTGCGCCGCCGTATTTTCGTTTAAACCATGTAAAATTCCGTTTTATTTTACCAATGCTGCGTGTCACGTATACCTCACAGTTTCACAAATTGTTACATGAATTTCTTTAATTTTTTTTCTAAATAATTCTGATTCTAATGTATTCTATAAAATAATTATGTTAGCATCTCTAAATAGTAAATTTAAAGTACTAGTCAGCTAGAAAAAACAGTTTAAATAAATCAAATTTCTAGATCTCCATAAATATCTGGCAATTTTACCATCGACACAAAGGTTTCATGAAGAAAATAACATATCCTGTATTTGGCGAACTGAAATTGATCGAGAAAAACGACGTCCAGTTGGCTTGGAAATAACGATCGATGATATTTCCCATTTAAATTTACATATTAAGTGACAGCGATCTTCATTTCATAGCCATCGCTGACGTCGTTTTAGTTTCGATCATACGTACTTCCACAGGTACTTCTAATAATGTTAGAGTATTAGGATTATACAGGGTGAGTCTAAAATAAGTACAAATATTTTTAGGGGTAGTATATTTCGACCCCAGAGACAAATATTTATGATTTTTTTTTGCGAAAAACTTTTTTTTGGAAATTTCGGAAAATTTTTTAGTTTTTAGTTAAAAAACATAATTTCTTGATAATATGGCATTATAGGCAGCAGATTAAATTTACAAGAAAGAAAACCCAGAAAATATCCAGTGGTTCTCAAAATTTAAGTGAAAAATATATTTTTTGGAAATTTTCAAAGTAAAATAACTCGTTTATTTTGGACTTTTTTTATTTGAAAAACGGTAAAGAGAAAATATGTTTCTTTTATCGAGAAACCCTGAAAATATTTGCACTTATTTGAGACTCACCCTGTATATTATAGGTAAGTTCATTATTACAAACTACTTAAATTAGAAAATATTATAACTATTTAGGGACATGTACGTAGCGCAGAACAACCCTAAAGAACTCGAATTTGGTCACGTGGCAGAAAACCTAAATGAGTGGGAGCAGCGATTCGAAAAAATTAACTTGGATAATCTAAATCGTCAAGGAAAGGTTAATAATTGTTCTCCAAAAATTAATAACAGCTTATTATATATACTTGGCTTATCTAACTATAATTGCTTAGCATTAATAATTTTTATGACTTGAATAATTATAATTATATGCATTTTCGCTCGCCGAGAAAAAATATGCTTTCCTGAGCTTCTTTTTTTTTGATAAGCTTTTACGAAGACTATCATTAGATCAACAAGACCATGACCAAGACCGATCAGTGCAAAGATTTATGCAAGACCAAGACTCAATATTCAAGACCCTTGCGGTCTTGCATATGTTTGACGTTTTTTATTTACACCTCATTGTTCATAAATACTATTAAAAAAATATATTTACTTACCTCTTCCCCCTGTAATTTATTAAATAAGAAATAATTATAAAGTTTTTCTGGAGCTTTTATGTGACTTATGATAACCATCAACAATAAATCATATTCGTATCAAGTTTTTTTTTTGTTTTAACTTAGAAGGCTTGCAAGAATCTTGCAGCAAGACCATGACCAAGACTGAACCACAACTGAACCCTATAAGACCAAAACAAAGACTACTTATTAGCCTGCTAGACCAAGACCAGACGAAGGACGTCTCGGTCTTGATCTGGCATTCGCTCATCGCGATATTCAATTGCTGCTTGTCACATTTTTGCACCTGCTAGTGTCGAACGGTTATTGACATCATTTTCTTCAACTAACAGATATATCTATGTGCCGACTAAAGACTACTACGAACACGGACACAATCAAGGCGACGATGACCACTTCATTGAACGTCACGAGAAAAGGGAACTTCATCTCGGACAGTTTAAAAACAAAGTAATTTTCTCTTATCACTAACTTTTCACTCAAAAGACTTAATTGATCTTTTTAATCGATAATATATCTTCCACTTTCATTATATCACCAATGAGTTCACTCAGTATTATTTTTCGCTGATAAAGCTGACATAATCTTGTAAAATCTGCGTAAAACGGCGTCAGCGATGGCTATGAAATGATGATAGCTGTCATTTTATATTCAAAATTATATGGGGAATGTCATCGATCTTCATTTCCATTCTTTAAAAAGTCCCAAACCTATACTTGATTAGCATACCTACCAGACATTTTACAACAGGCAAAAAGTTGCATCCAATATATTTTGCATCTATACAGGGTGTCCCAGAAATAAAAGTATTTTAAAGGGTGGTAGATCTCGATAAAAGAAACATATTTTTTCTTGATCGTTTTCCAAATAAGTCCTAAATAACGGAGTTAATTTACTTTGAAAATTTCCAAAAAAAATGTTTTTTGCTAAAATTTTGAGAACCACTGGATCTTTTCTGTTTTTTTTTCTAGTAAATTTAATCTAATACCTATGTTGCCATATTATCAAGAAATTATGTTTTTTAACTAAAAACTAAAAAAATTTGAAAAAAACGAAAAAAAACTCATAGGCGTTTTTCTGGGGTTCAACTATACTACGAGTTAAAATACTTCTTTCTATGCACTTATTTCTAGGACACCCTGTATATACCTACAGCACCTATTTTATGAGAATTTTTTGTATACAGGGTGTTTCATAAAATACGTACCATCTCTCGTGGGAAGATTCCTCACGTAAAAATAAGATTTATTTTTCATATCAACACAGAGGTCTGATTCTGTTTTGTTTCGTAACTACAGGGTGTTAAATTCTTAATATTTTTTCGATTTATTATAATTTTCTTCCAAGTACTTTTAGTGCCAATGCATATATAGTTTTAGAGTTACAGAATGTTAAAACGTTTTAAAATTAGGTTTTTTGTTTTGCAATTATTTTAAATACCATTATTTTTTTATTTGAAATTGCTGTAGGTTGGACTAATAGTAATAATATTAAATTAGATAAAATAAATAATTTATTAATTTTATTTTAATTTTATTAATTGTGATTAATAAAATTGCGTTTATCTCATCAAGGAGGCTGAATTCGACAAAATATCAAGAGATAATTTTTAATTAACATTAAACGGCCTACACAATTTTGATATCAAAAGAAAAAAGTCAGTGGCGCACATGTTTTTTTTTCAAAAATTCCAGTGATAGGCCATATGCACGTATCAAATATGCCCATATGAAAAATAAATCTTATTTTTACGTGAGGCGTGAGGAAGCTCCCCACGAGAGATGGCACATGTTTTTGAAACACCCTGTATGTTTATTAAAATAGTTTTCAGTTATAACTTCTACAGACGAGACAATAAATATCCTAACTTTTCCTTAAAAGTTCCAAACCTATACTTGATCACAGACTTGATTAGCATACCTATCAGACATTTTACAATAGGCTAAAAGTTGCTAAAAATATATTTTGCATCCATATACCTACAGCACCTATTTTATGATGATTGTTTTGTACATATGGAAAAAAGGAACAATGTAAATATGTAAATATAATATACATTTATAAACGATGTACTTTCTTACTAAATTTTATTTCTTGTATCAGGTAAGATGGGGAGACAAAAATGGAGGATATGGTGAACATTACTGGGACTTCAACCACGCTGGACAAGGTGACGATGAAGAAGGCAAGGAAAGTCAGCAGAATGAAGAATCCTCTGAAGGTGGAGAAACTCAAGAAACGCTTAACTCATACCAAGTTCTACCCAGAGAAAAGAGAAATCCAGATGATGATGTTGAATTCATCAGCGATCAGGCCAAATCATCAATTCTAAATGACAGAACACCCAAACATGGCGGAAATTACCGAAAAGCAAAAGAAATTAGAATTAAGCGACAGCCGCAGCCTATAAATCCCGCTTATTTAGTTTTTGATGTTGCTACTGGAAAAATCACAGACCAAAATACAGGAACCCAATATCAGTTAAAAGAAGTGCAATGATAGTGTTAGTATCAAAGACTTACTAACTACTATTTCTGAGAAATTCAAAGCCATGATAGACAAAAAATGTAGTTTCAATTTTGCAACACTGCATATATTTTTTGTTAACTAGTTTTAGTAAATTTTTTTATACAATAAATATTTTTATATCACTTGATTTTTATTTTTCCCTTAAAAACTATGTACTTATAATTAGAAATCACAATATGTCTTTGATATACATAGTAATTTGTCATAAAATGAACATGTTCCAATAACCACATTTCCAGCAGAGTTAAATTTTTCTACTTCGTTCTTGTCGAGAAATGACCAGTCAGCACCGTAAGAAATATTTTTGTGTTCATAATAACTTTCTACAATCCCCATTGGATGATTAGTCAAAGCACTAACAATATGCACACCTCCCAACATACAGGCAGCTAATAAAAAATTTTGAACAAAAGGATCCCACTTCAAACGCCATAATGTTCCAGGCATTTTAAAAATATCTGTCGATCTTTTCATATGCCTAATATCCCAAAGTCTAATGTTCTCATCATAGCTTCCACTGGCAATAACATATTCTTTTGATTTATTTGAATGTAAAGAAGTAACACCTGCTCCATGTTCTTTATTCTTTGTTACTGGCATATCTTTAATTCTTTTATCAAACACTAAAAAGAGTGCATCATCACCACCACTTAAAATAGAATTAGTGTCCCAGTAATAAAATGCTGTTATCCATGCTTGAAAAGTATGGCCATGCCAAAAACTTTCAACAGTTAAATTGGTTGTATTAAAATGCAACACATGGATATTTCCTGCAGAATCGCTGCATGATATAAGGGGTTGATCGTTTTCGTATTTGCCTGTAGACCAGTCTAATGATAATATTAAAATACTTTCAATAGTATTGGGATTAAACACATATTTAGTTAAAAGGTTAAGTGACTCTTTTTCAAACTGGTAAATTTCTAATATACCATCTGAATTAACAGCACCTAACAAAGAAGATCCCTGAACCAGATTGGGACACCATTTCAAGTCCAAAATCCCAACAGTGTTTACTTGTTGGTGTAACTTTAAACCTGTGTCACAATTTACTGAAAACAAGTATATACATCCTAATCTTTTCTGAACAGACTCTGTATTAGTCTCGTCTAATTCGTAATTTCCACAAACAAAAAAATTTTGATACTGCACATGGGGGCACCATTCTACCGAATCTGCACCATATGTTGTATTAAATGAATACAATGTCTCTATGTGTTTAGACGTTGGATTAGATACATTTTCTTCCATTGGGAGATTTAGGGGCTCCTTTCATATAAAAATAAAAACACTAATTTAAATTAAATTAAAAAAAGAATACATTAAAACCAGACTGAACTACATACTGAACTACCCATAGAACTACCCATGAACTACCTACAAAATACAATTGAACTACCACCACAGATTATTCTTAACTCAATCCAAATTTCCGACACCATAGATTAAACATATCTTTTCCTTCTTTTTGACAATAGCTATATGCCTTTTTGTTAGCAAACTTAATATAATATTAGTGTATGATTTTGATTAATTATTCAAAGCAGCATAAGCAGCAAAAAAGAGATAACTCCACTTTGATCTATTTTCTGAACATATGATTAGGGCCGGATAGCCCTGAAAGCTGTGGCCTTTAAACCAAACTTTGAAGAAACCAAACTGGTACTATCTAAAAATCATTCTGTGGTCAATTGTAATTCCACAGATTCACAAAAATAGATCAATAATGACATGAATAATGACAACTCTCATGTCATAGCCATGGCAACGATGTCAACAATAATTTTAGAAAGAAATATGATAGAAGTAATTCTATGAAATAATTGTTTAAACTTACTTAAATAAGGAAGGAATACTTGCATAATTAATTATACTTTAAATTTTGTGAACCACAAGCCTTTACCGGTTGTGTTGCTAAGTGATACTCACCTGAATTTATACCAGAGTTTATACTGTTATTAAACATTATGGTAATACAAAAGTGCGAAGAAGAAATGAGCCAGAAAGTCTCCGAATCAAAGAAAATTTGCTTAGGATTTCATAGTCCAGACAGAAAAATAAGAAAACAAACATATCAGGAATTAAAGAATTTTTTGACAAATAAGGAGAATGATTTTAGCGCTGATGATTTACAAAAGATTTTTATTGAAAATCATATATACTTTTTAAATGGTTTACGTGATAAATCTGAAACTGTACGAGAAGAGGCAATAAAATTTGCTACATACATAATAATGGAAAGATTACCTTTAAATGATTTTTATTTAACATATACTTTTCCAATATTAGTTGAAAGAATAGGTAGTGTTGAACTTATTGAAGAATCAGAAGAAATAAGGTTGCAAATGCTTCAGTTTTTGGATAATATTATCGAAAAATACTCTAATACTGAACAGCTAAGGCCATTTCTAAATGATTCAGTTAAGATTTTTTGTGAAACAGTTAGAGATAAGTATCCTAGCATAAAGGAATTAAGTTGTCAAACGATAAGAAAACTGTCTATAGCTTTACCCAGAGATTTTCATATGCAAGCCGAATCCTTATTAAAACCTGTCTTAAGTTGTTTTTCTCATCAACGTTACAAAGTTCGTGTAGAAGCAATTAAAACTGTTGGGGAAATAATTATGCATAGCAGTTATAAAGGTTTGTTAAAATATTTTGATATATTGAATTTTCTAATAAGTTTTTTAAGGTGTTGATGAGGCTATTGTTCCAATGGCAGAGAAATTGTTTGATCAAATTCCAATAGTTCGTCAAACAGTAGCTCAAGAAGCTGCCAGGTGGATGCTATATCAACGTGATAGGTACTCCTACTTTCACAAAATGCTTCCTTTGTTATTAACAGGGTTAAATGATGAAGTTGAAAGTACTAGAATTGAAGCTCATATGTTATGGGAAAAGGTGGGTCTCCAATACCAGCAGGAAAATGAAAAAGATTTAAAAGATAAGCTGGATTTTTTAACAGAAATGCCTAAACATTATCCAAATCATTTAAAACGTCCAAATTTGGGATGTAGAGTACTGGTTCAAAGGAATATCAGCAAAATCGCTTCAGCTATATCAAATGAGCTTACTAACTGGCAAGAGGATATTCGAGTTCGATGCAGTCAACTTCTGTGTTCTTTAGCTTTGCATGCTGAAGAAGACTTAACTTTTAATCTTCAAAATCTCTTACCAGCAATGTACTCGGCTGCTAGAGATCAGGATTCAAGAGTAGTAGCTAACATTATTCAAGCCAGTGAAATTATCGGGTAATAAACTTGTAAGTATTTCTAAAAATTAGTAATACTTAAAAGACTATAAATTATTAGATTATTTGTGCCATTTGATACATGGTCCAAGATTATTTTGCCAGTTATTGAGGATGGACCACATCACGGCCATTTAGTTGTTATGGCTTCATTGATTAAAGGGGCTCCAATAGAATATATGGCCAAAGGTGTATTTCCAATAAGTAAACTGTTAAGTGAAGATTATATTTGCTGCAGTCGAAAAGTAACTGACTACAACTAATACGAACTTATCATTGACTATTTTTTTGTAGCAAAAATACCAATCAGAATTATTAAAATGCGTGAAAGCCTTATTAGAGAAATATGATAAATGCAATGATGACCCAGGCTATCATCTGTTTAAAATTATTACAAGTCTTATGTCTTTAAAAGATCCAAATAATGCTGAAGAGCTTACAATCAAATTATATGAATATTTGGCAAAATGTCTGGGCTTCTCAGATACTGAAGAATGTTTACTAAAATATTCAAATGAATTATTTATTCATATAAATACGTCTCCTAAGTCATGGACAGTAATGACTGATAATGCATGCATTTTTCTGTGTTTGCTTGAAGAATGTCAAACAGCTTTTGGTGTAAATTTGGACATAATATCTGAGATACTGATTAAAGTGTTAGATAATGAAACAGATGCTGAACTGAGACTGAAAACTTTTTATTCTTTAGCCTCTGTATTTGAAAATAAAGATATAATCTTTCAAAAAGCCGAAAATTTAACGTCGTTTTTAGAAAAACTGATTGAAGGTATGTAACAATAGAAATTTAACTATATATATCTAATGTTTAATTACTGAAATTCATAGAGGTCTTTATTCCATCACTGGTTTGGCATGCTGGATCTACTGCTGAGGCTATCAGGACCATGGCAGCCACCTGTTTAAAATGTGCCTTCCTTCCAACACAGCAGGTCGAATTATTTGTCTCTAGCGATGTTTTAACTGCTGTTGCTCAAAAACTACAGCCGCTTCTACTTTCACTAATGGAAGATGCTTCATACAAAAGTAGGAAAGTTGCCATTGAATGTGTCGTCCTATTGAAAGATATCTGTTCAAACAAGAACGTTTGGACTAACGATGATTTAATAAAAGTTTACCCAGGTAATATTTACTGGCAAGTTTGTTTTATTAAGACTTAAAACCAAATAATAAAACTTGTAGAGGTATTGAAAAGATTGGATGATCCAACCGAGAAAGTTCGTTTATGTGCTCTAAGTTATATTCCAAAGATTTTCCAGGATGTTCCAAACGAATTTACCCAGGAACACTTCAAAGGCCATCGCGAATTTGTAATTGATACATTAATTACGCATCTTGATGATGACGACGAGACTGTTCAAAATTTAGTTCTTGGTAAGCTTACAGATAAATATTATCTTCTATGCATTACAGAAATATTTTCAGAATCGTTTAAAACGCTCGCTAGAATTTGTAGTAAAGAATTATCATGGAAAATTGAAGCTCATCGGGGTTTACTGAGAAACCAGAAAGGATGCGATGAAATCGCTAAATATATTCAAACTGTACCTTAGTGCAATTCTGTACCTACCTATTAATTAGGTATTTTATGTATATATCTAAATTAACTGATTAGCGTTTCCTTCCATGGATGAATGTTCAATTATCTGTGTATTTTTGTTTTGCTAATAAAAAATAAAACTGATAAAAATATTTTTTTATTTATAAAATAAAATTATATACATTAATTTGAATTCAAAGATTTGAATGAATATTATTTTTTTATGAAAAATTTCAATTCTTAGATATTTCAATATGCGGGACACAAAATTGAGTTATTAAACGATGTATTTTGTATTAATTTTTTAATTTAGGGCTAAAAACAGATTATAATACGGTGTGGTAGTTTTTTAGTAGATATTACCAGAAGATAAAAATTAAATTAATCAGGCTAATTTATTTAAATAATAAAACAGATTTTAAGTAGTTCTCTTAAAAATTAAGACCATTGTTAAAGGCTGATAAAGGGTAAAAGTTTAAAACCTTTAAAACTATGGTTTAAAACATATGAGCAACAGCATAGAATAACTAACTGAATGATTACTGATATGAGCAACAGCATATATTTTGAGCATGAGGGTCAACCACCAAATCACAGAACAGATTAACAGCCCTCTGACAGCAGGATTTGGCAATTCTTGTTCCAAATCCTGCCATTTAAGTTTTTGCACCGTGCACCAAATACCTGAAAAAAGGTCAAGAAATAAAACAACCAAATTATATATGATAAAAATAATGTATTAGCCACATATTGGCCAATAATTTGAAAGAGAAGTGAACTTCATGAGAGAGACTTGAGATAGAGATATTTACTAGAGAGAGAAATAGAGTTAACCTAACTTTTATACTATTTTTATGTGATTTATATATTTTTGAATTATAAATTCGGTAAAGAATCTATTTAGTTTAAAACAAAGGGCATTAAGACCAGTTGCAATTTGTCTAGGTAATGCTGCAAGTAAGACGACTTCTTCCACTTTGTGCTAGTAATTTTAAATGCATCACTTCAGTTCGAAAGTAGGTAAAAACTGCATTCATTAAATTTTACATATTACCTCATGTATATTTTAGTGTCATTAATAAGAACCGCTTTTCAACAAGAAACAAAACTGAGCAAAATACAGATGATTCACCAGTTCGGTATTCATCCACTCCAGCCTTTAAATATAAAGCTAAAGTATCAAGAACTGGTGTAGAACATGAAAGGCTATGGTACGAACCTTATGTATGTCTAGTTAGTATAGCAGCTTTCCTTATATATTTCTGTATTCTTCGAGAGGAAAATGACATAGATAAAGAATTTAGTAAATCTTTATATAGTAGAATTGAGGGCCTGGAAGAGGCTCAATTAAAATTAACTCTTAAATATAATGAGGAACATGGTCTTGAAACTATAGATATTCGGAAACGTTTAGAAGAAATTGAAAAAGAAAAGCAGATGAAGCAGCTCAGCTAGTAGAATATAATTTTAAGAATCTGTAATTATTTGTTAGTCAATAAAATTATTATAATCTACCAATTACATTTTTACCACCGTGTAAATGTCATGATTATGTTTAATTAATAATATTCTGAAAAAAATAGATTTTTAATATTTTTTTACATAATTTTTTTAAATAAAAGTAATAAAAACTTATGCAACCAAATAAACACCATCTATTTTAAATCATTCGACATAGATGTCTCTGAACTAGATGTCATGAAGAAGGGTGTTGTGTGCGTTGTGTTTTGGAATAGCTCATAAACTGGATTTATTTTCGGGAAGTAAAGTAGGAGGAATGTGGAAGTAAAGTGCCCCAATTATTATTTGTGAACATCTGGAATGCCAAATGATATGCGCGCCTGTTTATATTTAAAATCACTCATAAAAAATGACCTGCTACGACTGGATACTTGCTGTTTTGGTAGACCTCGAATATTAGTTTGAAATTTAAACAATAAGCTACTATGTAAGTGTGTTTATTTATGTAATAAAATACATTCCTCACATTTCATAGTTTGTTTTAATAGATCTGTTTCTTTAGAGGTGTTTGCATTTTAAAGAGTTATAATTATATAGATTAAACATTTTTAAAGAGTGTTGATATTTAGTATTTTAACAAAGAAAATGATTTTCTATTCTACCAATAACAATAGTTATCTGACATGCTAAGCTAAGCTTATTATGTTTTAATAGGTTATAGATTTAGTGTTTTTTAATGTACTTATGCTAATATCAATAATGATTTATTTACACTAACAAAGTCAATAATTGTTTTTCTTTACTCTAATGTCTTTTACTTTAAAGACAGTGGTGAATGAGACCATAGAAACATAATAGGTTTATTTTTAGAATTGGCATGACTGAAGGCTTATCAGAAGATCCTGTTGGAGTTTAGCTATGAGTTCCAGACCAAGTTCTGGCTCAAGAGCTTCAACAGGACATTGGAGATCTGAGTCAGCAGGCCATCAACGACATGGATCATCAAGCTCAGGACATAATAGGTCTGATTCTGGTCAGAGTGCTGTCTCAGATCATCATACAGAAAGAAGACATCACAGATCAAAAAGTGGAATTCATATACAAGAAAAAGATTATTTAAGAGATCCTCCTGACTGTAAGTCTTTAATTTATCAATAACTGAGAATAACTTTTTATGTATTTTAGTACCTAAAGTGGAATTTAATTCGTCACAAGGTTTTCATCATGACAACCAATGTATACGTCCAACATCTTTGTACCCTTTAAAAAGTAGCAATGACAGTGGATTGGTTGGACCGGACGCTTTGCAGCCAGAAAAGGAACCCATTAAATTTGAAATCAGTTTGGTTGGAGCTCCTCCCGAAGTAGAACAACTTGTGAACAACATTAAACAAGTTGCTGAGCAATTTCTGTATCACTGGAAGACTTTTCCTATTAGTAAGATGATAATTCATACTGAAGTGTTTCAAAAAAACACTTATAATTTTTTTTAGTACTTCCAAATCCAGTTTCGCAGTGTGATAGTTTTCCAACATCTCAAGTATCATCAGATGGATCATTGGGCAGGTCAAGAACAAAATATCATCTTAGGGACTTGTTTATAGCGCCTTCTTTTGATGAACTGGACGCAGTTGCTGTCGATGGGAAAGGGGAACCCAGGAAACTGACTGGAAAACAGTTGGAATACATCAGAGAACGTGGGTAAGGTACACCAACACTATAAAATATATTTATATGAAATTGTAGCTATATGTTTATAGCTTGAAGTATATTGATTATTTCATAATAACTATAGTAAATATCTCAGACCTACAAGTAAACGTACAGTGGGGCACTTAAAGATTTTATTTATTTCTAGATAGATTTAATAAAGTATTGTGACCTGATTATTTGAGGCACTTTCTTTTGCTTCTTACTTCCTAGGTTCTATTCAGAAAGTTATGTAATGTTGTATTAAACCATAATATTTATTATGGCTACAAAACTTTTGGAATAGATATAAATTTATCTTTATTTATTTGTAAACTTAAGATATTGTTTTGTAAAGCTTGCACAAGGATAAGTTTGGAAAACCAAAAAGGTTGAACCTGGAACAGCTAGAAAGTATTAGATTACATGGGTATGTTGGATTCTTGTGCAGTGTCTTTCTATTCTACAATTGTTTTAACTGTTTTATTGATTTTGTTATTGGCATTTATATCTGGCTATTTGTTATGTACTTCTGCAGTTTTTTTTTCATTTTAAGAGGTAGTACATATTCAGGTTGAAATAATATGGTAACTAACTTTCTAAATAGCTTATTTTGTTTAGAACTTTTATGAGTATAATTTACCATTATGATACTTATGAAATATACGTTGCTGCTGTTAATAAATTATCTAAAAAAATGTAAAATTTTAAAGATCTGAAGCACAGAACTATTGGAATTAAATACCGGGTGCGTTTCAAAAGTGGCTCACCCCTATAACTTTTATTTTTTACTACTTTCGATTTTTAAATGGCACCCTTGATATATTTTTACTTTATTTGATAGAATGACACTCTAAATAGAATGACATATTGTATGTCAACTTTTGACATTTTCGTTTAAAAAAATCGTATTTTAAATTTCATTCTAGAGTGTCATGTGGCTTTGTTAAAAACGCTCATTTTACATCAAGGAGCCTTGGAAAAATAGATTTGATCATCTAATGTTTTTCGTGTCTTGCTCTGGTCGGTTAATAGATGCCCGAATTGTATTTTTAATCATATCTCAATTTTTTCAAATTAAACAAGGGTGGCTCATTAGCATATTTGGAAAAAGCATTTTTTTTTTTAATAATTTGATACCACACACTTGGTATTTCGAGTCAAATTGACGTTACGCACCGCATGTTATAATTTTAAATAAACCATATGCGAAAATGTCAAAAGTTGACAGAATATGATCTGTCATTCTATTCAGTGTCTTTTTCTATCGAATAAAGTGAAAAAATACCGAGGGTGTCATTTAAAAATCAAAAGTTGTAGTAATTTCCGGTGAAACAAGAAGTGACCAAAAACAATTGAATACCTCAATAAATCCTAATTTATGTCATATACTAACATACCAAATCTCGTTTTTTTTATCTGAAAAAATAAAAAAGTTATTAGAGGTGAGCCGTTTTTGAGACGCACCCAGTATATGACTAATACAATATTAACTTATGCCTGACTTTGAACAGCGTTGTTTTTACTACACCTTTGATTATTTTTTTTTATCTTAAAAATTGAGAAAGATTAAATATACTTTAAAGAATTAATTGTTTTTTTTTAAATCTAGTAAAAATTTTCCAAAAAAAAATCTATGTATCTTTTTTATAGCTTTATACAAATAAGTATCATAATGTATAAAAGGTTTTTTACGTTTATTTTGTATTAGTTTTATTTATGTTGCTTTGAATGCTCTTTTGCAATTTTTAACATTAGTTTTGTATATTTTTATTCAAATTTTTATTGCATCGTATCAAGATAATTTTTTTCAGGGAATTTGAGGTGGAGTCGATCAATTTCCCCGGTCAACAGCATCGATGGAAACTTTCTCAGCTGCTGCAGAAAGGCAGGGAAAATAGCAGGAATTCTTTACTAAACGACCTGGCATTGGCACTTCGCTTCATTTTCGTCACCGCCATGGGCAGATTGTTTGCGCACTTCTTCAGCATCAAGGAGGCCGCGAAATCGTTTATCAGCGGTCTGTTTCGTATTCTCGACATCCTGGTTGGGATTCCCAGCTTGCAAGCTCATAATTTGGATACGAAAATTAGAGAGGAGCGAAGTAAATATTTGGTTGCTGAATTAGTTTGTAGGGTAAGTGTGAAAACTGTTATTTTTGAATAACAGTTTGAACTGATATTGTTACTTATAATAAATATTAACTTATATACATGACTTATATAAATAATAAGAGCTTAAAATAACAGGTTTCTAAGGTATATGGATTTTATTATTAAAAAATCAAAGTATCATATAACTCGGTGGTTTTATGGCAAAATCTTATTGCTTAACGTTTCGGAAAGTTTATCTCTTTCCGTCGTCGGCAGCAAACAAAAATACACAGAATAAAGAAAAAAAGTATTTAAAATTCAACTATTCGAGAACACTTTAGTTTTTTTTTTTAAACAGATATGTTTACCATATGTTTACAAAAACCGTTGACGTTCTGTTAAAATTACATACACAAAACATCCCCCTTTAGAACTTTTTCTTTAATGGCCATAAGCGGGAGTAAAAGACCAACCGCCCGAACAAACACTAGAGGCGCCACCGGTCATCAAATGGTGTAAAAATTGCGAAAATTTAATCATCTAATTTTGACACAAGGGGTCGCGCTTAACTTTTTCAATTTTAATTCAATATTCATTGTTTTCAAACTATATTATTAGACTTTGTTGTATTTTGTGAATGTATAAATGTTTTCTTAGTATAAAGTTGCATTATAGTAATTTAAATTATATTACATACATATTTAAGATTCAAATATTATGACATATATGTCAGTTGCCGTCTAAAATGTCATCTTGATAACAAAAAGTTAGTTATTGTCAAAAGCAGTTAAAATCATGTTAAAATATTAAAATGTACAAGTTATAATTAGATATTTAATATTATTTCAACAACAAACACATAATAGTACAGCGTAATGTTGATATGCAGGTCCAAAACAAAAAATGCCGTTATGTTTTTCAGTTTTCGTTGTCAGCCGCGGAAGTTTCAGTGATTTTAGTGTTGTCGGATATTTTTATTTGTGAAATAGAAATATTGCGTTTGGATTGCAAAACTAAAAGTGGAAGTTTTATTGCAATGTAAGTAAGCGTTTGTCCATTTTATATTTTACTTTTTTCATACTTACGACAAATATACATATATTGAAATTTTATAATTCGTTTTATTTAAAAAATGTTAGAAAACAAACTTGTAATCCTGTAATTGACATAATTGTTATGTAATATATTCCATTTAAATGTAATATATTACTTAACAATTAAAAAAATGTACATTTAAAAATATATTAAAAATATATACAGGCACTAATTGAAATTTTTTGAGTGCGAACAAACACGAGAGGCGCTTTATTATTTACTTTCATTTCTTAACATGACAGACGAAGTTCTAAAGGGGGATGTTTTGTGATTACATATCAAGTTAAACTTCAAAATTAACAATTATTACCTGATAACAATAATTACTTAATAAGGTAAAACCAAAAAGCCTCAAACTTTCTCTATGATTATTTTTAATTTTTACGTATGTTATGTTTATTTATGTTATGTTCTTTAAAATCAAAGAAGCGATTGCGAGACATTACTAACATCTAGAGAATGTAGAATGTTTAGGAGGGGAGTTAATCACCGCGACCTGTAGATCTATTGTGTGTTCCCCTTTCTTGAGTTATAACGAGTTATAACTCATCATACAGTCTCAGGGCTTTAAGAAAAGCCAGTATCTGAGACGGCTCCACAGAGGCTAGCTCTCCATTCTCGACATCAGACGTACCAAGGTTCATGGCACGAATGGTCGTCGTCTCGGCGCACTCAGTGATGAGGTGTTCTGGTGTTTCCCCATTTTCCCCACAAAATCTGCATTCGCCGTTGTTTCTCAGTTTCAGCCTACTGAGGTGTTCGTTGAGGAGACAGTGTCCTGTTAGAAACCCCGTGACAATCCGAAGATTGTTTTTACTTAAATCAAGGAAAACCTTTGATTTTCTCGGTCATAAGTTCTAAGGAACTTTTTCGAGTGTCTTAGACCGTTGGAGGATACCCATTCCAAGTTACGGATGGAGTCTTCCAGATTCTTCAGTTCCGCTTTCAGTTGGTTCCCATTTGGAAAACAGAACGGTTCTGGTCCAGTTAGTGGAGTGTTCGCTCCTTTTCTAGCTAGATCATTTGCTTTTTCATTGCCTTCTATCCCTTTGTGACCAGGCACCCAGAGTAGGAGGACTTTATTTTCTTTGCCTAATTTGTTGAGCTTCTCTAGGCATTCTTTGACCAACTTCGAATTGATGGTTACTGAGTTGATCGCGTTAAGTGCTGCTTGACTATCGGATAGGATGGCAATTTCCTATTTTTCGATAGTTCCTATCTAAGATAAATTGTACGCATCTTTCGATAGCGCAATTTTCTGCCTGAAGGATACTGGGGTAGGTGCCCATTGGTTCGGAGTATTCAGTTTTCGGCCCAAATACTCCTATCCCTGTCCCTGCTTTGGTTTTGGAAGCATCAGTATACCACGTGATGGTATGGTCTTTTATATGCTGAGTAAGCGTTTCTTTCTTCCAATCCTTTTTATTACCCAATACTACAGTGAGGTGTTCCTCAAAGTTGTAAATTCTTGGTATGTCATCCACTGGGAGTTGTACTAACATCTACAGATGCATGAGCAATACATTTATTTTTATTAGATTGTATTAAAAAAACCTCTTTTATGTTTCTTTTGGAGGCTATCGCTTCTTTCTTATAATTTTGTCGTTGTTAAAATTTATTCTGTGCCCTATGTCCCATGAATGCTGACAAATCTTAGATTTGTAAAAATCTTCCTTTCTTAAATAATCTTTATGTTCTTTAATTCGAACATTTAAGGGTCTAGATGTTTCACCAATGTAAAATTTATCACATTCACATGGTATTTTGTATATTACCAAATACTCATAAAAATATATTTAGTAGTTACATTAACATATTTTAATAAGCCAATAAAATAATGACATTATTTCTTTTAATAGCTAACATCATGACGTCATGTGAATTTTTCTCTATTTAGGCCGAAAACGAAGACGCACTAGAAATTTTATGTTCCTACATAAAAAAGCAGCTTAGAAGGGCAGCAACTGAGAAATTCGAAGTGGCCAGAGAATGCAGCCAACCTCCCGTCTCCTTACCCTACAGATTCCTCACTCCCTCCGGCTCAGAACTAGATTTGAGGTTATGGGACCGCGCACTCATGCGCAAAGCCTTGCCAATTCTGATGACCATTCTCGAGAAAGAAACCAGGGGCTGGTTCCTCCACTTTCGCGAGAGACTCATCGCCGAACTGAGAGCTCAGAAGATGCCCGACGAGAACATCGAAAGAGAGGTGAACGAGGCTGTTATGAAAGAGTACCTTCAAAGGGTATACAACAGCATCCTTTCCCATCCCGATATAAACGTACTCGGCGAGGGAATTGCTCAGTTACTGGTGCAACAAGCTCAGAGCGTGGTTCTGATGCACAGGGCGGTCGAGAACGTACAACATCGGCTGCAGAAAACTCAGGAGGATTATAAAAACAGACTGAATCATGTTCATCCGATATTATCCCGGATACGGCCGTGGTTAAGGTCGAAATTACGGAATTCCGATCTCAGGTTTAGTTTTGAGAATCAGTGGAGTGCTCACGAGGAGGCTTTGGCGCTTTGCAACTCGCAGAGGTTACATCAGACTGTTTATTTTTTAAACAGGGACTTAGCATTTATGAAAGAGGTAGTACTTTTATAAGGTGCAGAGCTACCTCTTTAGTTTGAACACCTTCTTTCTAGATGGGTCAGCTCCAATTTGCTTTACAATATGTTTAGTAAATAGAAAAAAAACGTAGTAAAAAACGTATTTTTTAATTTTTTGTTTTTAATTTCGTCTTTTACCACCTATTTTAAATAAGAATGAATGTTACGTTAACTTTTTTAACTAGTACATATCAGTGGCGTGCCCATGGGAGGGGGTTAATAATTAGAACTCCTCCTTAGACCATAAAAATCATGATTTTTAAAACAAAACTCCAATAGACTGTATCTAGAATTGAAAATAATACCCAGATGATATTGCTATACCTAAGTACTATTATAATCTCTCTAAAAAAATAAACTGTATTCCTGAAACTTCGGGAGCAGATTCTGCAGATAAAAATAAGTAAACGAGTTCGTATAAATGTATGTCCTAAACGCTTGGTTTCGGAGATACACGGTGTAGAAATTTCATTTTTATTTTGAATTTTTCCAAATAATTTCTGAAATAACGTCAATATTTGGATGAAAATTGGCATCTGGGAGTTTTTTGACATGAGAAATTTGATTTTGATGTCACTATGACTCCTACTTGTAGATGGCGCCACCTACATATTTTTAACTGGTTTGAAAAGTAATAATAATATTTAATAATATAATAATATTTAATAATATAATAATATTATAATATAATAATAATAATAATATAATTAATATATAATAATTTATAAATAATAATTTTTCGTCCGTACCTGTATAAAACTACTGAGTTAAAAAATAAACATTTGCGAAGTTTTTTACGTAAAAAAGGTCTCTTGGTAAAAATCGCTACGAGTAATGGTTCTTGAGATAATTTAGAACCGAAATTATCAATTTACATTATTGAGATAAATTAAACATGTTGACTAAATAGTTATTAGACCGAAATCATAAATTTGAAATGTTTTTGTGCCAAAAGTTCAACAGAAACTGTCTTATCATCATTTTTTCGAAGAAAAATTTAAGATTAATTTGAAAAAAATAAAAAGTTCCCAAATTTATCATATCAGTCAAAAAACTATCTAGTCAACATATTTATTTTTTGTCAATAAAGACCTGTATTGACTATTTTCATTCTCAATATCTTGAGAACAGTTGCTCGTAGCTATTTTTACTTAGAGACATTTTTTACGTAAAAAATCACGGAAATGTATATTCTTTCACTCAGTATTTTTATACGGGTACGGACGAAAAGTTTATCACTCTTCAAAACAGTTAAAACACATGTAGGTGGCGCCCCCTACAAATAGGAGTTACATTGACATCTAAATCAAATTTGTCATGTCAAAAACCTCCCAAATAGAAATTTTAGTATTGGCGTTACTTCAGAAATAATTTGGAAAAAATCAATTGAAATAAAAATGAAACTTCTACACCCTGTATCTCTGAAACCAAGCATTTTAGGACATACATTTATATGAACTTTTTTACTTATTTTTATATGCAGAATGTGCTGCCGAATACAGTTCGGACCACCCTGTATATTTTCAGGTTTATGTTTTAATTTTATTTTCTCTAATTTAATATGGAGACCTAACGCTAACGAAAACCGCGTGTTTGTCAGACATTTTATGATATTGAGTGAATGTCAGATGTTGGAATTTTCTTGATATTTTGAATTTGTGTTCAAATTAAAGAGATTACACTGCTATTTTCTTCAATACAGTACTGTAATTACCGTTTTAATCATTCAATTACGTGTTTAGCGAGAACCGGCATTACTAAGGGAGTTAAAGAAAGTAAAAACACCTACCAGGAGTTTTCTTTGGCCAACGCAAATATGGTTGCCGACAAACTGGATAGTGCGCCGAAATTTCCAAGGACAGTCCGAAGTAGTACCGACAGTGCTCAGCAAACAAGCAACCAGCATCACTACGCCTAGATCTGACCCTAGTCAGCCTGTAAGCTGCTTTTTAAATGATTAGTACAGTAATATTTGTAGCGTGTTTTTTTTTCAGGTCTTTCTGGTGGAAAAGGAGATTGTCAGAACAACTACGACGCGATGGCCCTTGTGGAGAATTTTCAATTACTTCCACAGAACTTGGTGCTGGACGTGGAATGCTATGTTCTTTTTCGGTATTGTCCTTCCTTGGTGCAGTCCCATCGGACTTAGAGCCCTATTTTTATTGGAACCTTTCATGCCAGACCTTGAACTGTCACAAGTCAACGGAACTTTATTTCCGCGCAAGTCTAGTCTAACTTCAACCTTGGCTTCTCGCTTGCTAAGTCTTTGGCGACATATTTCTAAATCTAGGACTCATTTCGAAACTAAACCAGATACTGGATTTATCGGAAAAGGTTTGACTAGACATCTGAATCGAATCTGGAATTATTTTTTTAAAGGTCTCTTTGGAACTATTGCCTTGGTGTTTGTTTTTCCTGTTGTGTGTCTTTTTATCATTACCACTAGCCTACTTATAGCCGTTACAGCAATTTTCTGGATGCCTTTGCTCACTTTATTAGTGCAGATAACCAATGGAATTATATATGACTTAGATAGTCCGGAATCTCATAGAAACCGGTATTTCGTTATATTCGAAGCGATTTTGTGGAATATAGCTCTTCAAGGCTGTCTCCAACCAGTCGCAGCTCTCTTTATAGCAGCTATAGTTTGCCCTCTAGTATCTTTAGTTATTTTTGCCGGTGGTATAATTAGATATTGGTTCAGGCTGATGTGGGATAACACAATCTTCCATCTTATTATCAAAAAGCGAGGCAGGGTACCTGCAAGTGATAGTTTTGTAGTAAAAAGAATCGCCGGACCCGGGCTTGCTTCAGACTATTATTTCCAAATCAGCCCCGAACAAGCTTTGGCAGCTTTTGAAGCGAAAATGGAGTGGGACGAACTAGCAGCGTATCAGACGGTTATAGAAAACACTATAGTTCAACCTCAGAAAGACTTCACTCATTTCGTCGAAGCGTGTTTTGGCAGCTTTTCCGCGCAGCTTGCTAAAAACGGACCTTATAAAAACCTAGAAAAAGAGGGTCAGGATCTTTTAACTGTTTTGCACGAGAAATTGGAACGTAGACGTAGAGATTTACAAACGGGATTAAGCATTACTGTAAAAAGCAAAATAAAACTAACTACTTTAGAATTGAAAATCGCTATTCAGCAAGGTGCGATGATGCTGGAAAAGTTCTATCCCGCTCATATTTTTCAACATTTATCTTGTAACGAAGAGGAGTTTTGGGATAATAAGGCTTTGAGCACTGGAGATTGGGCCGGATTGGCTGGCTTGCTCTATTCGGATTTGTTTAGTTTAGATTTTTTGACGCCGCTGGATCATAGCGATACGACGTTTCGACTGGACCCGCATCCTCAGGCAGATTTGACTAGATACACAGAGATGGTTCAGTGTGCACAATTAGGTATTTTGCAAGTTTATTTATTAAGGAGTGGTTATAGTGCAGACGATTTTTTACGCGAAATTTACCTCTCACAATTTTTATCATAATACCGGGTGCGTCTCAAAAGTGGCTCACCCCTATAACTTTCTTATTTTTTTAGTTAAAAAAACGAAATTTGGTTTGGTTTGGTTTGGTTGCTTTATATCTCTCTGTCTGTCAACCGGTCGTTTATTTTATCTCTGTCGCGTGCATTAAAATACATACCACGGAGGTAAATACAGACCACAGAAGTAAAGTGTCCACATATACCGGGTGCGTCTCAAAAGTGGCTCACCCCTATAACTTTTTTATTTTTCCAGATAAAAAAAACCGAGAATTGGTATGTTAGTATATGACATAAGTTAGGATTGATTGACGTATTCAATTGTTTTCGGTCACTTCCTGTTTCACCGGAAATGACTGCAACTTTTGATTTTTAAATGGTACCCTCGGTATTTTTTTACTTTATTCGATAGAAAATAACACTCTGAATTGAATTCCATATCGTATGTCAACTTTTAACATTTTTGCATATGGTTTATTTGAAATTATAACTTGCGGTTCGTAACGAAAATTTGACTCGAAATACCAAGTGTGTGGTATCAAATTATTCGTAAAAAAATGCTTTTTCCAATTACGCTAATGAACCACCCTCGTTCTATTTGAAAAAATTAAGATATGATTGAAAATACGATTTAAGTATTTTATAACTGGCCAGGAGAAGACACTAAAAACATTAGACCACCAAATCTATTTTTCCAATGCTCCTTGATTAAGAATTTTAAGTCACATGACACTCTGAATAGAATGATATATGGCGTAGCAACCGCTGTATCAGCTGTATCAATGATACAGGGCCATTACAGGGCCCACTAACCTGAGGGGCTAAATATGATTTTAGCATCAAAATTTTTCGTAATTATGCAAACTTTGCTCATACTTTAATGACATCCCGTATCAACTACAGCCAGAGCACGCGGCCATCACGCCTTCGCCTGTCCTAGTATACATCAAACATATATTTTAAGCGTTTTTAACATAGCCATGGCACTCTAGATTGAATTTTAAAATACAATTTTTTATTAAGCGAGAATGTCAAAAGTTCACAAATATAATGTCATTCTATTCAGAATGTCATTTTCTATCGAATAAAGTAAAAAAATACCGGGGGTGCTATTTAGAAATCAAAAGTTGTAGTCATTTCCGGTAAAACAGGAAGTGAACAAAAACAATTGGATATGTCAATCAATCCTAATTTATGTCATATACTAACATACCAATTCTCGTTTTTTTTATCTGGAAAAATAAAAAAGTTATAGGGGTGAGCCACTTTTGAGACGCACCCGGTATATGTGGACACTTTACTTCTGTTGTCTGTATTTACCTCCGTGGTATGTATTTTAATGCACGCGACAGAGATAATATAAACGACCGGTTGACAGACAGAGAGATATAAAGTAAAAAGCGGCATACAGTGTTGCCGGTTTTTACGTGTGTAGGCAGAGATATGTGAGGATGGGTAATAAACTTCGCATTTTTCTCTTTTCGACTTACAAGATAGCCATAGCGATTCACTTCTATACGTGTAAGTGAACGGCGATCCAAGGTCCATTTCTTGTCAAGCCGGTATAAGTATATTTTTATCTTTGCCTTAAATAAATTAGAAAATAAATGAACTATTTTAAAAACTTTCGTGTATACTACAGAAATGGAGATAATATATCTAAGCTAAATATAATACAGCTGTAGTAAAATAATCTATTACAGCTGTAGTAAAATGAAGTAGGTAATTAATTGTGAAAAATAACGATCCAACCCTAGATGAATGATAACATTTTTCCTAAACGCCTACTTGTGCAGCTTGTAATTTTGATTTAAAAGCCGGCTATACCGCATAGAAGAAATGTATCAACCCTTTGATCTCTTTTTAATTACATTTGATTTGTTATTAAGCTGTCTACGTCACTGTCTTACACGTTAAAATCCAGACCACTTTTTTGCGATGACCCGATCGGTATATCAAAATATCTAATAAATTATAAAGTATAAATTTTTGATTGGTGGACTTTAATTTTACAAATTCAAGATATAGATTTTATAGATATAATCTATTACTCTTTCAGGAGCTGGAGGGCCAGACTTATTAGGAAATGTATATACACCAAGAGGAAATATTCAAGTACACGCTCCATATTTAGAAGTTTCGGCATTCAATCCTAGGGTCAAACAGTCTGCGACCGGGAAAAAGTCTGAAAAGAAAGTGTAGGACTGAATAAATTTCAATTTTTCTAAGCTATTATTCAATATCACTTCCTTTTAGTGAATCAACTACGGCTCTAGGATCACTAAAAGGCACAAGAACTACGTTATGGATGCCCTGGAAACAAAGGTACAAACCATATTCTCCAGATAAAATGGTTATACCTTTACCCGTGCCCCATCCAGCTCAAATAGCAGTTACCATTTACAATAGGGATTCAGACGATCCAATTTCGCTAGAGTCTGACATCTGCCAAAGCATATTGAGGTGTATCGAAGAACACCATGCATCCCCAGATGATAGTGGTAAGATAACATGATTTTTTCAATATACAGGGTGTATTCAAGGTCTGTAAAAAAATTACTCTTTATTATAGGCTTGGTGCATTTCAGTTGATTTCAAAAAATTCCGCCCGCAGCGCTGTATACGGCAGAAATCAGAAATTTTCGCTATGTATTTCACGCCGTCTGTTTCGGATAGTAAAAAATAATTGAAGAAAAATCCGAACTAGACGTCGCCGTCGTGTTGTGTTGTGACAATTTCAAATATTAATAAAATTGCCGAAAAAATGTTAACGCGTAAAGGAGAGCGTAATTAAGGCGTTGTAGGTTGCAATAACATTCAATAACTCAACTTTCCCGGATATTCAACTCTCGTGGAACAACATTTTATAGCCCTCACAGTTTCTAACAACGATTTGATCAAAAGCAAAAATGATTTCAAGCAGTTGGACGAAACAATTCAGTAAACAAAGTGCTTATTACATAATCAAAAAATTAAATAGACATACATATGTATATGCTATGAGAGGATAAAATATAATTTGCAATATTGATGGTATACTTTTTTAATCAACTGGTGATTAAATGTTATGAACATCTTCTAAAATTATAATTATGAACCTTATGCCCCACTAGCAAAACCGGTGTTTAAAACTATGCTAGCTACCGTACTTGAACTCATCTAAAAAGTTTTTTAGCTGGAATAATAAATTATAATACAAGTTAGACCTTGTGAAGTTATCAAAATATTCACTTTTTTATTTTTGTTTTTAGAATTTTCACATTTAATACTTCCTACCAAACACTTTTAGAATAATAATTGTATATTAAATTTTTCGTATACTCACTATTTAAACCCGTGTATTTCTTTATACTAGTTGTTTACGATATTCTCCGATGGTGGCAGCACCGGCGTAGAATGCACCAAGCCTATATTTTATTTCAGCTCAAGTGTTCATATCATTTTGTTAAAACTGAAAATTTAGCTTAATAACTTTGATACACAAACTTTATAAAGTATTCATACAGGCCTTTTAGGGACATCCTGTATATGTCTAACGTTATTTTACTAAGAGACGTTCAAGGTATAGGTCGATTTCGAAATGGCGACGATTCCTGCGGTACTATGAGTTCCAGCTCGGGGACGTTGGACAGTCCGCCCACTAAAGTGGAGGACACGATTCAATCGACGGAGGGTGTGTATCAGTGGACATTAAACAATTGGGGTCAGCGCAAGCGTAATAATTCGGGCAGTGTGAGGGTTGACTTGGCCAGTCCGGAAGACGTCACTCTGGATAGTGACAGTACTAGGGTTGTGTTCAGTACCTACGGCACAACCGTGTAATATCCTCTTTGAGTAGTCTTTTTGCTTTAATTTGTTATGCCCCATTATCTTTAAATATGAATTTCCAAACAATATACAGATTGTTTCAAAAAAACATGACATCTCTTGTGAGAATATTCCTCACGTAAAAATAAGATTTATTTCTTATATGAACGATATACCGGGTGCGTCTCAAAAGTGGTTCACCCCTTTTCAGATAAAAAAAAACTTTTTTTTTTATTTGGTTTGTTAATAAAATTTGGTATGTTAGTATATGACATAATTAGTAGAATAACATATAATATGTCAACTTTTGACATTTTTGCTTTAAAAATTCTTATTTTAAATTTCAGTCTAGAGTGCCATGGTTGTGTTAAAAACACTAATTTTTAATTAAGGAGCCGAAAAATAGATTTAATCGTCTAATGTTTTTAGTGTCTTGTCCTGGCCAGTTAAAAGATGCCCAAATCGTATTTTTAATCATATCTCAATTTTTTTCAAATGAAACGAGGCATATTTAGAAAAAGTATTTTTTTATGAATAATTTGGTACTACACACTTGTATTTCGAGTCAAATTGTCCTTATGAACAGTATGTCACAATTTCGAATAAAACCATGTACGAAAATGTGTAAAAAATTGACATATGATATATCATTCTATTCAGAGTATCATTTTCTATCGAATAAAGTAAAATAATACCGAGGGTGGCCATTTAAAAAACAAAAGTTGTAGTCATTTCCAGCTCGTTTTTTATCTGAAAAAATTAAAAAGTTATAGGGGTGAGCCACTTTTGAGATGCCTCCGATATAGGTCCAATTCTGCTTTGTTTCGTAGCTACAGGGGGTTACAGATTAAAATTTAAAATACGATTTTTTTAAGCGAAAATGTCAAAAGTTGACATGATACAGTGGCGTAGCTAACATTGAAAGGGCCCTGTATCACGAATTTCGGGGGGCCCTGAGACAGAACCATGAGGGAGGGGGGGGGTAAATAAAATAAAAAACTTACCGTCTGATCAGAATAGCTTATAGTTTATTAATAACTTTTACCCCTTACAGGAATAAAATAAACATTATTTCCAACAATAAACATAAATATCAAAACAGCAACGTATGGTCTTTGGTAAAATTGTACCTACAGAAATAAAATAAATATTCGTTCCAACAACCAACAACAAACAAACATAAAAATAAAAACAAGAAAATATGAAACTAAAATCAAGAAGGGTAACAATAATTATTATTAGGTATATAGCAATTTTATTTTTTATTTTTGGCAACCGTTTGATGTATACTGGGACAGGCGAAGGCGTGATGGCCGCGTGCTCTGGCTGTAGTTGATACGGGATGTCATTAAAGTATGAGCAAAGTTTGCATAATTACGAAAAATTTTGATGCTAAAATCATATTTAGCCCCTCAGGTTAGTGGGCCCTGTAATGGCCCTGTATCATTGATACAGCTGATACAGCGGTTGCTACGCCATATATCATTCTATTCAGAGTGTCATTTTTTATCGAATGAAGTAAAAAAATACCTAGGTGTCGTTTAAAAATCAAAAGTTGTAATTATTTCCGGTGATACAGGAAGTGACCGGAAACAATTGAATACGTCAATCAATCCTAATTTATGTCATGTACTAACATACCGAATCTCATTTTTTTTATTTGAAAAAAATAAAAAAGGTCATAGGGATGAGTCAGTTTTGAAAAAAAAACACCAGGTAAAGTACGCCTACTGCATCTGTGTAGGTCGCAGGGATTAACCCCCCCTCTTACTCATTCTACATTCTACCGCATGTCACAATTTCAAATTAAACCATATGAGAAAATGTAAAAAGTTGACAGAGTATCATTTTCTATTGAATAAAGTAAAATAGTACCTAGGGTGCCATTTAAAAATTAAAAGTTGTAGTCATTTCCAGTTATGTCATATACTAACAAAGCAAATCTCGTTTTTTATCTGAAAAAATAAAAAAGTTATAGGGGGTTGAGCCACTTTAGAGACGCCCCCGGTATAGGTCCGATTCTGCTTTGTTTCGTAGGTACAGGGAGTTACAGATTAGAATTTCAAGTACGATTTTTTTTAAGCAAAAATGTCAAAAGTTGGCATGATATATCATTCTATTCCGAGTGTCATTTTCTATCGAATGAAGTTAAAAAATACCTAGGGTGTCATTCAAAAATCAAAAGTTGTAATGATTTCCGGTGAAACAGGAAGTGACCGAAAACAATTGAATACGTCAATCAATCCTAATTTATGTCATATACTACCGAATCTCGTTTTGTTTATCTGAAAAAAAAATAAAAAAAGTTTAGGGATGAGTCACTTTTGAAAAAAAAACAGCAGGTAAAGTGCGTCTACTGGATCTGTGTCTATGAAAGGAATGCGGACAAAAAAAAACATTTAAATAAACTGCAATATATTTTATACGTCGACTTGACGAGTATGTCACCGCAAATCGCTCCGCCCACTCATTTTACTGGCTACTTACTAATTTGTCGAATGTTTATTGATGGGACGCGTCGTCTAATTTTTTACGAAAAACATCGAGAGAATATCGTTTCCCCTCTCACGGATACCCCGTAGCTACAGAACGGACAGACGTACTGTATATTATTTAATTTTCCAAAGTTACAATTACTGTTCCAGGTATTTTAAAATATTACATGGTTTTGCCGTTTTACAGAACGAATGCTAAGATAATGGGGCATAATTTAATATATTTTTTATGTTTTTCTAAAAACAATATAAAAATTGAGCATTGGTATCTTCAAATTTATCATCCTATTTAGTTTGGTCTCTCTAAATTATTGATCTGAAAATACTTTTGAAAATCAAAAGTTAGATGTTACACACTAAAGCTTTAATTTTTTCTAGTGATTTTATTTTATAATTTACTCATTATACATGCGTACCTACTAGTAAGACTTTAGGATAATTTTAGGATTTAAAATTAAATGAAAAAAAAACGGAAATGAATAAAAAATGCTTATTGTGAACATAATGCAATTGATTATTGATTAACTATAATTTAACGGCATTTAAATAGATATTTATACCATAGGCGTAGTAACAAATTAATGTAGTTATTTTATAGGAGTTTTTTTTAATTTTTGAAATATATTACCGACGTCCAATCGCACCCAAACTATTTAAAAGTATTGATGCTAAACTTTGAAAAGTGCTCTAAAGCAATAAAAGAGTCGTTTGTATGTATTTTTTGTGTTTTGGAAAATTAATGGCGAATGAGGAAATACCGTACGACCGAAAAAAAAAACGGCGTCAGAAATGGCTGGGGAATGGGACAATCGATGATAATTTTGGCGAAGTCAAGCCATAGACGCTATTTACCTGGCCCTTACTCTTCTTTAATTTTTAATGGCGCTTACTGTGAGCTAGTTTTTAAAAGGTTAAGTTATTTTTATATTGAGTAAAAATAATTTTATTAATTTATTATTATTAAAATTATTTTTAATAATAATAAATTAATATATTAATTTCAAATGGCGTAGTTTAAAGTTTAAGAAAAAAATTGGTAATAGATTTATGTGTCTGGAAACGTTCTATCCTTTTTTAATTTTTGGCTGACTTTGCCAGAATTATCATTGATTGCCATTTCCCAGCCGTCTTTGACGTCGTTTTTTTATCATACGTTATTTCCAGAGTTTTTTTTAATAATTCTAGTGAGATTTTTTCATGTTTGGTTCTAATTTTTTTATGTTTGGTTCCAATTATTATGGCACTGCTTTAAGTTTGTTTTTTTAAGTTTTTGTTCTACTGATCACAAACTTTGTTTTATTTTTCACCATATTTAAATTCTATTTTATAATACAAATGAAATATCAGCAAAAGAATTTAGCTACAACTAGAGATGGGTTATCGCAATTCACCTATCGATATACTTTAGTTATCGGTATGTCGACAATTAAACCGATATATCAATAACAATAATTATCGAATTATCGATAGATATCAGTGTATCAATAACACTAGGTATATCGATAGATATCGATATATTGATGTATCGATAATTTTGAAGTCACCTATTATTTGATAGTTGGGATCGATATATGGGCGGAAAATCTATTCCTAATCGTATAAAGTATCAAGTATAAAAAGTGATCTTATGAAATTTTACGGAAAACTAAAAATATAATATAACCCTATTTTATATAATAATTCTGAAGTGTTCAACTAAAATTTTTAAAAAGAATAAATAAAAATGTACTTAGAAAAATAAATTTCGATATATCAATATTTCGAGAGTTATCTATATGTCGATAGGTATCAATAGCCAAATTATCGTTATACTGGTACCTATCGATACTGGTAAATATCGATAGCTAGTCGATAACTATCGATATATCGGGGGAAAATCCCATCCCTAGGTGGATATCCCAACTATAGGTGAATTACGTAAACATTACTAGAGCCAATTTCGAGCGAACAACCGTTGGTTATGGTTGACAGATAAACAATGCTTTAAACGTCATGTGTCAACCAATCGGTGGACAACTGACGTATAAAGCATCGTTTATCTGTCAACCATAACCAACGGTTGTTCGCTCGAAATTGGCTTAGATTAGAACTAAATAAAAATAAAATTACCTAACTTTAAAGATCTTTAAAATCAAATTGAAAAAAGTGTCATGTAACCCCTCACAACAAACGGCCAACAAATACAGAGCATTTTGAACTCATCTCAAATGAACCTTTCTTGAAAATTGCTTGTACTCTTATGGTAATGTTGAAATGCATTTCCCACATAGCATTTAAAATTTACTACCTATTCGAATTGTTTGTTTAAACTTTAACGATATATTTATATAAGACTTTGTCTAGGATCTGTTTAAATTTAGCGTTGCCTTTGGAAGACTATAATTATTATATGAATTAAAATTTGTTTCTATTATGCCAAATTAACAATCGGATATTGCTTTCTTGAGGTAATGCTGATAAAATCTATAGATAATTGAATTCGCGCAATATACAATTATTTGTGATGCATTTTTTATTTCTTTTAAATATTATTGTATGCTATAGTAGCTTTTATTTGTTGTATAGATATTTTTATATAACTTTTTTATACATGTAAGCTCATTAAAAATTATAGATAATAATCTTGGTGTAAACTCAAGAATTTTTATGTTATATTATTTACTACGGGAAACACAATTTTTCAAAGGTCTCGGGTAACAAGCAGAGGCTTTTCTAAAATTACACTCTAAAAATAGTGTAGAAATATTTTAATTTTTAAAAAACTGAAATGATATACCATATGATCGTAAAGAAAAACAGCGTCGGTTAGCTTTAAAATGACTATCGACTGTTATTTATATGTATGTCTGTATATGTAAAATTACATGGAGCTCGATTGTCATTTCCAAGCCAATTAGACGTCGTTTTTTTCGATTTTTACTGCTCTCTTAACAAAAAATATCTCTCTAATGTACCCATTTATTTATTTTTTACTATTTATTATTGAAATATATCACTGGTGGTAAATTAGCCTAGTGTGATTTTTGTCCTTAATTTTTGATGAGCCAGAAGATAGAACTAATGGACCTGTCTACCAAGTATTTATTTTCATGTTTTGATCAAAAAATTCTCTTTTTTTATTTAACTTTACTTTTTCTTTATTAACAAAATATTCAATATATTTTATTAAACAATGTAGTTATTCATTTATTTAATTAACAGGTCCATTAAATTAAAAAAAAAGAATCTCCAAAGCAACTTGGTAACTAAATTAGTACCATACGATCGAAAAAAAAACGACGTCAAAGAAGGCTGGAGGATGACAATAGATGATAATTCTGGCAAGGTCAAGCTCTAGATGTCATTTACTTAGCCTGTATTCTTCTTTATTTTTTAAAGGCGCTTCCTGCCAGTTGACCACAAGAAGGTTCTATTTTATATTTTAAATGGTGTAGTTGCAAATTTGAGAAAAAATAATTCTTTGGAAATAGATTTGTGGGTCTTGAAGTAAGTATAGTGTTGATTTTTTTACTATGTGACGCCTAGAGATTTACATCACCAAAATTGTCATTGCCTAGCCGTGTTTTTGATGCCGTTTTTTTCAATCATGCGGTGGTTTTGTTGTATAGTAAAAATAAAAGCAAATTTTTATAGATCAGTGGAGGTATGGTATGTTTTTTATGATCGCAAACGATACCTATATTTTAAAAACATTAATTTGTGTCTTTGGAGGAACTGATCAATTTGTATTATATCTGAATAATTTGATGTATATGAATTTATGTTAATATAGCTGTGAAATAATGAATGCTTTGTGTTATGTTTAATAAAGATGCATTTAAAGACTGAAGTGTTTTTTAATTAATACATTTAAATCATTTGTTAATCCTAAAAATATTTTACACTAAAATCCAGAATTGTTCATTCATCAATGATTAATTTATTATCTATGTTGTTACATTATCAACATATACCTAACAGACCTTTCACACAGTAACTGAACATTCTTTGGCTGGACAAGCTATGAATATAGTCTGTCTATGGTCTGTCAGACCAAGAATTCTCATTTTAATGCACACGTAAAATTGTGACAGTTTTGAACCTTTTTGTTTATTTGCAATTTAAATTTGAGATATCAAGTTTACTAGGTTTATTGCAACTGTTACATTTTTTAAGCATAACAAGATAGAATAAATAAAAAATCGAAATGTAATTTCATAGCCCCTTATAATCTGTAATAATTGTATTAATTGCATTTACTATTAATCCTTTGTATTAGTAATTAATCAATAACATATTTTCAAAGAAATAACGATCCAGAATAATCCCGGCTCGGCCGTATAATTTGTCCATTTAAAATTTAAACAGCTGATCGTTATAAAAAAATATGGAAAACGAGGCCAAAAAATGCAGGTGCCCGATTTTTTTTTCTTCAAAACAACAACGTCCTTGAATCTCTTTCCTCCCGTGATTCTCGAAGCACGTGACCGCGATTTCTGCTTGGCGATTCGTAAATCGAGAGCGTGCCCTGCGCGGATTCGTTGCGTGCCAGTGATTACAAAATGCCGTCAGAGTCTAAACCTTTGTTGACAGCTCAGACGGAAAAGCCAAATCATTACTCGTAAGTGTATTTTTAGTGCATTTTTCACGTTATGACGCATTCCGTATTCGGTCCTGTGTAGTTATATACGCCTATCATGATGAAATGTATGGTTGTTTTCCAGATACTTGAAAGAATTTCGCGTCGAGCAATGCCCGCTATTCCTACAACACAAATGTACACAGCATCGTCCCTTCACCTGTTTTCATTGGCATTTTATGAATCAAAGACGCAGGAGACCTGTAAGACGTAGGGATGGAACGTTTAATTATAGTGCAGACAATTATTGTACGAAATACGATGAAACAACAGGCATTTGTCCCGATGGAGACGAGTAAGTATATTTTTTTGGTTAGATGAATCTGTCACTTTAGTTTATGGTGGGTGTGACAATTTTTTGGGGCGCATTAAAAAAATTAGAATAATTTGTACTCGGATACAAATCATATCCTGAATGTAAATAGCGTCCCCAACAGGTGGATTTTTGGCTAAATAGGCCTTCTATTTCATAATAATGGCCATCTTTTTATCATCTGTTGCCATCTCATAACCAAACTTTCAATACAAATAAAAACATTCTCCTTCATCAACAATAACAAACCCACCATGATCTTTGATAACTATATTTACATTGAGACCTAGAAGTCACATCATGTATTGTATAATAGGTTGTTGTTTTTTTATTCTCTTACATTCTTCAAAGAAATTTTAATTATACTTATTTTATTTAATGTCATGTTGGTTGATAGCCATTTAAAAATACAAAATACTGTTTATTTTTTAGTTGTCCCTTTCTTCATAGAACTGCAGGAGATACAGAAAGAAGATATCACTTAAGGTATTATAAAACATGTATGTGTGTTCATGACACTGATTCTAGAGGATACTGTGTAAAAAATGGATTACATTGTGCATTTGCTCATGGTAGTCATGATCATAGACCTCCCGTTTATGATATTAAAGAAATACAAGCCTTAGAAGCAGCAGAAGCTGATGGTAGTGGTACTTCAAATGGCCCTAATGCCCTAGACAAAGAAAGAAATTTAATGAACGAAGATCCCAAGTGGCAAGACACAAATTATGTTTTATCAAATTACAAAACAGAACCCTGCAAAAGACCTCCTAGATTGTGCAGACAAGGCTATGCATGTCCACAATATCACAATAGTAAAGATAAAAGGAGGAGTCCTAGGAAATTTAAATATAGGTAAGATAATGGATCATCTTCATAGTCTTTAAATTTAGTATTTTCTTCAATAATAGATCAACACCATGTCCAAATGTAAAACATGGTGAAGAATGGGGAGAACCAGGTAATTGTGATGCTGGAGATATGTGCTCGTATTGTCACACTAGAACAGAGCAACAGTTTCATCCAGAAATATACAAAAGTACTAAATGTAATGATGTGCAGCAATCTGGTTATTGTCCAAGAGGAGTATTTTGTGCTTTTGCCCATGTTGAACGTAAGTAATCGACTCTTTTTAGATCTTAATTTAAAAATGTCATTATATTGTTGCAGAAGAATTGGGAGTATCGCGCGATTCAGCTGATGCGTCAGGCACAAATCTAGGAGAAATATTATCAAATGTTCTTCCTTCCTCAAATTCTGATATTAAAATAAAGGAGAAGAGTAGTGAAAGTTCAGTAAGTTTGGATATATTAGTAAGAAACATATTTTACGCAGTAGTAAATGTTCAATTTTAGAATGGCAGTAGTGAAGTTAGTGAATCAGCTTCATCAACATCATCAATAGGTTCGAATAGCTGTAGCAGTAATAAAGCTCCAGGAGCACAATTAACGCATAAAAGTTTACCTTTTCAAAGACACTCTACACTAGGTTTAGAACTTACCAATAAGTTATTAGCAATTGAAAAAGATCCTAATTTAGGTAAGCGTTATTTAACAATCTCTTTAATTAAAGGTTCTGAGTATTTAGGCTTGCAACTGTTGCTCTTTAGCAACAATTGTTTAGGCTGCAGTATTATTTTCTATTTTTGCATAATAATTACCTCATAACTTCATTTTTTTTTTCTTTAACACAATAGTAGTTCTTTATTTGAAGTTTATTTAATAAATAATATTAATTCTTTCAAGATCACATTCCAAAGGTTGAAGTATAATTTTTAAATTTTTATGAAATACTATTTTTAGATCCAATTGAAAGGGAACAAAGGAAACAAACACTTTGTTTTGCATACAGTAGTCTAGGAGGTCCATTTTTCAGTACAGGAAATGATACTGTCGAAAGTGTAGTAGGTGAGATTGAAATTTATTTATTTTTAAATAAATTTAACATAAATGCAGGTCAAGTTTTTATTGTAGTTATAAAAAATGTATTTATTTCAGGTAATGCGTTAGATGAGCTAAATTTAGATGACCTGAATCTTACAGGCGCATTGGATAGGGAATTGGACACTGATTCTCCCACGGTTCCTAGTTCAATTTCTGTTGGTTTAACTTCATCAGGTTTATTAGGTAAATCGTTGGGTGAGCATATTAATAGCTGACTTAAATTCCGTTCTGTATTTTTAGGCAGCTCAGCTCCGGTAAATATTCCCAGTTCAGCCTCAAGAGGTTTGACGAGTTTCAGCCCTGGCAGTAGCCCGATGGCGCCATTTCTATCTGCTGCTCGATTTTCGCATCCCGATCATATGGATTTTCTCAATCACAGTCAAATGCAACTGAGTAGTAGCGCTTCGAAAATAAATAGTTTTTCTGGGTTTTTCGACTTTCAAACGCAAAGCATATCACCGTCAAATTCTAGGAATCATAATAACTTTAGTATGTCTCCGAATATGAGTAATAACTTGGAAGTTGTAAGGTAAGTTCTTCAAATAATAATGTTAGATAAAAATTGTTTTTGTATGCAGAGTATTTATCAATTAGTAAATTGTTTTTTTTTTAAGTGAATTGTATATCGTCAGACTTCAGACATAACACCTACAAATATAATATCAACAAAAACACTACAATGTATATTTGTTTCTAATTTAAAAGGGTAGTAAAGACTTATTACTAATAATGTCCTCAAAAAAACAGAACTGTTAGTTTTAGGAAACAGAATTTTTAATGTGGACCAAAAGTTATAAATGTATACAGTGTGGACCAAAAAGTTTACACAAAATGTGGAAAACATATCTATGCATTTTCAAAACAACGTTTATATGCATTTGATTTATCATTCCCTATAACTAAAAACTTAATGTTGATCGAGAGGGTGTCCCAAAATGTTTGCAACAAATACATAAATATTTTTTACATAATATAACGGGTGTTTCTCAAAAGTAGCTCACTCCTATAACTTGAATTTTTTCGGATTAAAAAACGAGTTTTGGTACGTTAGTATATGATATAAATCAGGACTGATTGACATATTCAGTTGATTTCAGTCACTTCCTGTTGCAACGGAAATAACTACAACTTTTGTTTTTTAAATGCCACCATCAGTATTTTTACTGTATTTGATAGAAAATGACACTCTGAATAGAATGACATATCATATGTAAACTTTTGGCATTTTCGCATATATGTATGTAGTTTATTTGAATTTGTTTTGAACATGCGGTTCATAACGACAATTTGATTCGAAATACCAAGTCTGTGGTACCAAATTATTCGTAAAAAAATATATTTTCCAAATATGCTTATGAGCCACCCTTGTTCCATTTAAAAAAACTTGAGATATGATTAAAAATACGATTTGGGCATTTTTAACCGATCAGAACAAGACACGAAAAACATTAGAAGAGCAACGAATTTTTCGAAGGCTCCTTGATTAAAAGTTAGTGTTTTTAACACAGTCATGGCACTCTAGATTGAAATTTAAAATGCGATTTTTAAGCGAAAATATCAAAATTTCACAAATGATATGTCTATTCAGTGTCATTTTCTATCAAACAAAGTAAAAAAAATATAGTGCCATTTAAAAATCAAAAATTGTAGTCATTTCCGGTAAAAGAAGTGACATAAAACAATTGAATACGTCAATCAATCCTAATTTATGTCATATAATATACTAACATACTAAATCTCGTTTTAATCTGAAAAAATAAAAAGTTATAGGGGTGAGTCACTTTTGAGAAACACCCGGTATACCAAAAGAAGCGTTAGGTGACGTTATAGAAAATAGTCAAAGAGGAAAGTTCAAAATTGTATTGTTTGTACCAAGTTTTATAAATACCTAGGGTATTTAAAAAAATATAATTTTTTTTATATTTTTGGAAGATTTTTAAGACTTTTTTGCTGAAATGACAAGTAAATACAACCAGAATAATATCTAATTGTATTAGACAGTATTCTTGTTGTTTAAACTTTACTATTATCCTTGTTTATATATTTATCTAGATAATAGAAGAACTTTATCCTAACATTTTTTTATTTCAAAATTTTGTTTTCTATAGGCCCTTGCAACATAGTCGGTAGGCTAATAATTAACATTTTTAGTTTTTGACAACATTGCTGGATAGTAAAATTAGATACAAATAATTTTTTTAACATATACTTTTGTACGCGCTAAAAAAAATACACTTCCAAACTACATGTTATAAAAATGCTTTGCGCGGCCGGCGTGGCGCGGAGCGGCACAGCCGATGTGAACGCACCTTTATACTAATTATTATACTTGTCTGTCCAATGAGAGAATCCATGACAGTTGGATATGTCATTTTACTTCACAGGTAAATTGTATTTTCTGTCATTTTTTGGATTTTGTTTGTCCATATCCTCCCTGACCCTTTGGACCGACTATATTTAGCAATTTGTGCTACTTTTCCCTCTACAAAAGAGGCGAATCAAATATTTTGTTTGTTCTAGGTTACGAGATGAGCTTACCCAAGCTAGACTGCAACTAAACAATTGGGAAGACCGTTTGCAACAGGCGCGGTCGGCTTGCGACGCCTGGCAACGAGAGACTGAAGAATCTAACCGCAAGTTCAAACAATTAGAAAATAAATTTCAGGACACTGTTAGTCAATACACCACGCTAAAACAAGAATACGACCAATTGCAAGAGGGTCCGCATATAAGAAGAATAACGAAAGTGTCCGAATTAAGTAAATTGTCTCTTAGCGTGTTAAAGACTTTGCACGCCCAAATTAGGCAAGACCTAGAGGAAATAGAAAAAGTGTTGTATAGGGAAACGGCATCTAAATGTATGGTATGCGAAGAAAGAAATAGGACTGTAACGTTGAATTGTAATCACTTTGTGTTGTGCGATACATGCGCGAACACTCAGACCGAATGCCCCTACTGTCAAACTCCAAATAATCTAGTTAGTAATATGTGAATAATTTGACATTAGGTATGTAACCGGTCTTACTGATTGAACATTTTCGACAGCTTTTTTAAAGTATACTTGGGTTATATAAATTAACATGTATACTAGATATCTTGAAGCAAAAGAATACATTATGACAATTTGTTACCAAAGTATACAGAAGCGACGATAAGCATCGGCTCCTTTGAAGTAAGTCTCCCAAATGTTTTGACCTTAAAGTCACATAATTTGACAACTAAACTCACCTGTGAGCTGAAAAGAATGTCTAGAATTTTATGGACATTAAATACACTCATAGAAATGTTTTTTTTATTGTAAATCTTTATTTTTTACTGAATTTAATAAATCAAATACAATACAATGTAAAATACCATTACAAATATGATTACAGAGGACAAAGTGGGAAATACAAAAAAACGGCGTCGGCGATGGCTATGAAATAAACATCCCTGTCTTTTTTATATGTAAAATTATATGTGGGAAATGTTCTCAATATTGATTTCCAAGCCAACCAAGCTTCTGTCCTATTGGTGTTTTTTTGCGCCCTGGTTTAAAATATATCATACATCTTATTACAGAACTTATATTTCATGCTTGTTTCATCTTATCAACTGAGTTTAAAGTCTAAAAGTAATTTGTAAATGAGCTGTTTAGTCTGTCAAACCGTTCAAGTTTTTTTGCAAGAAAAAAAGATTGAATGACATATAATTGACAAACGAACCAGAAATACCAGCCTTTTTATGCTGGTTAACTTAGTAACAGTAATGACAAATATATTTGAGGAACCGTGTTCCGTAATAATAAAAATTTTAGACAAAACATTAGCCTGATTATGCCTAAAAATATGACAAACCGAAAATTGACGAGTCGCCTCTGTATAGTCCTTGTGGTTGAGTTAAAAGATGCACAAAGATGCAAGAGTTACATTCTATGATGACCCAGATATATGACAAACCTTATAATCTAGTGGTATATGCGTTAAGTTATATAACCTAAGAAACAATATGGTATTAATATGTGGTACAAATGAACTACTAAAACAAATTGAAAATCGATAACCAGTAAGACCGATTGCAGATATTTAACAAATTTATTAAGCAAATAGTGTTAACTCTTTATATTTTTCTTTATTGAAGCAAATTTCTATGACAATTAATAGAGTCGTCTATTACTTAGCTACAAGTGTAAGTAATTGGTATATTTTTCTGTTTCGAGACCAAGGAATTGTGGCAGAATAAATGACTTGAATGATCCATGTTAAAGATGGACGTAAAATACTGTTTTTTGAATATGCGTTTCGTCAGTGTATATACTAATTATTAAAGTAATATAAGGCTATAAAATTCAAACCACAAAAGAATATTTAGATTCTAAAATTAAGGTAGATGTTAAATACCTAATCAAAGCAATTTTTAATGTGGATTATTACACACATACATTTAATTAGACTATTAGGGACTTTTTCTTTGTTTTTTTTTTGCTGCACTTTCACATATCAATAGAATAGAAAATAAATTTTTATTTTAATAAATGAGAACAAAGAAAAGTAACTTAAAAAATTGAAACCTAAAAGGTTTTTCAATCGTATTTTATAGAAGTGCAGCAACGCTGAAATCTGTATATATTTGACTGATTTGGTTTTATTTTTCACTTTATAAATGAGGAATCATTTAAAATTTCCTTTTAAAATTATTTTTATTGCATACATTCCAGGTCTCTCTAGTACCGTTAAAAAGTAAATATATTGTATATAAAAAAATATCTATTTGAAACATGGTTTGAAAAAATTACGTTTTGCCTGGGTTAATATACAAGGTTGTTCATAAAGTCCTCCACAGTTGGTGTATTTTTGCTAATTAATTATTTGATCTTTTTGTCACATTATTTAACCGCAGAAAATGATGCATTGTTTCTCAAAATTTTCAGATATATCAGAAAGGAAAGTGTGATTTATAAAATTATATTTTTTTACGTTCAGTTTCCTTTTATACAGATGCGCCAAAAAGTTCACATCATGAGATAATTATTGAGTTTTTCAGCAAAATAATGTAAAAACTGAGTGAAAAACTCTAATAAAATGTATAATATACCATGACCTATATGCATATAAAATAATATGCACCTAGCTCATGTTTCAGCTGGCATGATATTTATTTACAAAAATGCTATGAAAAATAAAAAAGTCAGTGAGAAATCGTTGTTTAAAATTCGACTTTATCTCTACAAAGATACCAATTTTTATAAAATATACAAGGAATTTTGAAAAATATATTTTTTCGCATTTTTTTAAATACAAAATTGTATTTTCTTGTATGATTGAAGAATTTGAAGCTAAATTTAATTAATATTATTCCTAAATATATTGTAATTCTAGGGAATTTTTTTACATAATATTATAGCATAGCATAGTTGAATTTATTATTTTGAATTTAATATGTTTTATTATGAAATTATGAATTAAGTTGCTCTTTGATTGCAATAGAAATCGCGCGAGATGTTTTTTCTGCAAGTCCTTGCAGCTGCAAGAAGGGATCAGCTGTTTTTGAACTTCCATCAAGAAAATTGCGAGTTGTAGAAGCTACTGCTGACTCTAAAACGGCCTAAATTGCTGCCATATGTCAAAACGTTCCTTTTTGTTATAGTACGCGAGCTAGCAACGTCGGTAAAACAAGTATTTTAAGACGTCTGGCTCTTTGATAGATCTTTTACTATGCTCTCTAGAACAGCATGCGGCCCGTCTGGCTGCCGGTAAACGTTGCGTTCCCTACTGCGCATTGAAAGGAGATCCTATATTTTTATTAATCGTTTAAATTCCAGTATTGAATATAAATCGAACATGTCTCCATAGCGCAGTGCGTAGAGTTTCCGACCACGAACCGAGTATTCAGAGTTCGAATCCGGATCAGGGCAAACACTTTTTTATTTTATTTTCGTTTATATTCTGATAGTAAAGTATTAAATATTTGTTTTTTTTTTAAATTACCAGAATTATTTAATACTTTACTATCAGAATATAAGCGAAAATAAAATAAAAAAGTCTTTGCCCTGGCCCGGATTCGAACTCTGAATCATCGGTTCGTGGTGGGAACTCTACGCACTGCGCTATGGAGACATGTTCGATTTATATTGAATACTAGAATTTATAGGATAAAATTAATAAAAAAATATAGGATCTTCTTCCGATGCGCAGTAGTGAACGCGACGGGTATCGGCAGCCAGGCTGCTGTTCCAGAGAGCATAGTAAAAGATATATCAAAGAGACAGACGTTTTAAAATACTTTCTCGAAAACGTTGCTAGCTCTACTATTTTTGGAACATTTTTGGAAGATTTTTAAGACTTTTTTTTGCTGAAATGACAAGTAAATACAACCAGAATAATATCTAATTGTATTAGACATTATTCTTATTGTTTAATCTTTACTATTATCCTTGTTTATATATTTATCTAGATAATAGAAGAACTTTACCTAACATTTTTTTATTTCAAAATTTTGTTTTCTATATGCCCTTGTAACATAGTCGGTAGGCTAATAATTAACATTTTTATTTTATTATAATTATAATATTATAATAAATAATATTATAAATAATATTTATTATACTACTATTATTGATTATGGTTACTTCATAAAGACAAACTCATTCATCAATAATATTGTTTCTTGTAAACTTTCTGGCAGTCTTTAAAAGAAAAGGCATAAAAGTGTCTTGAAATTGATATGGAAAAATTATAGATATGAGTTATATTTTGAAAAATGTCAAACTTGACAGAATTAAATTGTTATTTTTATAGACTATATTTTCTGCATTTTATGCAAATAATAATTTGTCTCAAAATTTTAAGATTATATTAAACTATTTAGACAAAAAGATCAATTTAATGAGGACTTTCTGACACAGTACTTACTTTATATTTAAACAAACTTGGAAGTTTTATCTGATTTTTCGGGTCATTTGCCGAAACGGTATTTTCGATGTGTGATTGTGATATAGGTTATATGTTTTCTTGAAATTTTCCAATAAGCATTCTGTCCTCGGTTGCGTAAAGGCTGTTTCGTGTGATTTTAGTATTTAAGAGAAATTTTACTGTCAGTGCCACCAGTATAGGCTAGTAACAAAAGAAATTTTCATTATAAATGGACCTGCCAAAAAAACCGGGCACTGAAAGCTTACTGGAAAATTTTGCGTTATATAGATTCTTATTATAAGTAAAATGAGCAAATGACTCCGTTTCATTATTTCTATTGTTATTATTGAGTAAATTTTCTTTTGAAATATTTAACATTTAATTTTTGATTATCATAAATCTTATTAAAAATATGAAATCGTAGTGGGCCTATAGTTACAGAGACATTTTAGATGTTAGCATTTGTTTTTTCGAGTCAAAAAAACTGTAGAAAGGATTGGTTGTGCGCGGAATCCTGGATAATTTTCTTACAAGCCAAAGTGAATATACAGGTTGCTCTTTAAACGTGAAATTTGAATTTTAAGAAAATAGGCATCTTTCTGTCATTTCATATCAGTGCCCGTCAAAAACCACCACGATTTTCATTGCAACATTTGACGAAACAAATCGCAATAAGATTGTGTAAGATCAGTTTTTTTGGCTTACAACATTTAGATATTAATGCCAAACAATCCTTTATTTATCTTTAGACATCTATTGTATTTTTCATAGTCGTTTAAACTAAATAATTGTAATAGGTACCGTAATTACAATGTATTTTAAAAATTATTAAATTAGAAATTTTCACTAGGTATTTTTATTTAACTTTTCTAAAAAATAAAATATAAATTTACTATACATAATGTGGCGTATGTGACCAAATGGAATTCTGTATAAAAGAGCATTACTTTCATTCTTTGCTTAAATATATTCTCATACTAAATGTTATTTCAGTACAAACATTTAAAATTTATATCTTTAAAAATATATGTAGAGTATTTTGGCAATACATAGTTGTGGATAGAATTTTAAAATGGAAAGTATTTTTAAATAAAGTGTTCTTTACTGTAAGAAACAAAATGTATGTGTCGTTTTGAAGTAGAAATAATAATGTACCTTTCTTTGCTTATTTTATATTTATTTACCTTTACAAATAAATATTTTAATTCATTATGTAATTTTATTTTTTGGGGTGAAAATAGTATCTAGAAGTGTTACACCATCTTAGAAATTATAAGGTATGTATAGATCTAGAAAAATGTTTTTAAATATTCTATTAATATACATTTAGAAAAAAATATAACGTACGACACTGTTTAAAATAAAACACCCGTATATCCGCCACTGCTAACGTACATCACCATTTTTTACCAAAGTTTTTTATTAGATTTTTTACCCCTCTTTGATTATGATTATACCCCATTCTGATTAACTCTCTATTTAATATCCAAATAGTGTTATATATTATACATAAGATAATTATTATTATAACATGATATAGATAAAGATAAAATTTTATTAAAATTAAAAGATATTTAAAAGACCCTCCATTTAAATAGGCAACTGGATTTCCAATTGACGTCACTTTTCCAACAACCAATAGAATTGTTCTCTCTTCACTGACCGCCAATAAGAATACAGAAACGAGCGTCACTTTCGCGGTTTCGAGTTTCGTCATCATTCTGTTTCTGACTGTTCTCTGCATAGAAAGCGTTACTGACGTGTTCCCGCATTTTTAAAGAAATAATAGGTAAGATTTCGATTTTCTTGATCAAATTTATATGGAATCACATTCTATATAGTTCACTTTACGGTTTGTATTAATTGTATCGATGTAATTTGTAAAAATAAATCAGTTAAAAGCAAAATTTCTAAGTTACATTTCATTGTTTGTGCCGCCATTTTGTATTTCACTTAGTCATATGTGTTATTCTGCTTTTGTGTAAAATAATACATTTTTTTCACTCGTGCTACCGTTAATAATGTTCCAATATATTTGAAAATGTTGGTTCTTGTTGAGGAATTATAATGGACACGTTACCCACTCGTGTTATTGGAGTAGTGCAAAATTTATAATTAAATATTTTTTTAGAGAAATGGCTCGTACAAAGCAAACTGCCCGTAAATCTACAGGAGGAAAAGCTCCTCGTAAACAGTTGGCTACAAAAGCCGCAAGAAAATCTGCTCCGTCCACTGGTGGAGTTAAGAAGCCCCATCGTTACCGCCCTGGTACAGTGGCTCTTCGTGAAATCCGTAGATACCAGAAGTCTACCGAATTGCTCATCCGTAAACTGCCTTTCCAACGTTTGGTAAGAGAAATCGCTCAAGATTTCAAGACGGATCTTCGTTTCCAGTCTGCAGCTATTGGGGCTCTTCAGGTGAGATATTTATTTTTCATTTTTTTACAAATTAAAATTACAGCAAATTTGTGTTTTGGGGATACGGTTGTGCGCATGCTCACTGGTTGCCGAACGCTATATATTTTGGCGGGAAAATTAAAACCACTGATGTGAACTTTGTTTTTATGTCAATATCATGTTATATAAATTGCAGGAAGCTAGTGAAGCCTACCTCGTTGGTTTGTTTGAAGACACCAACTTGTGTGCTATCCACGCCAAGCGGGTAACCATTATGCCCAAAGATATCCAGTTGGCCCGCCGAATCCGTGGAGAACGAGCATAAGTTAGTTTTAAGTTTCATTGTACTAAAATCATAGTAGTGTTGTCATGTTCATATAGTCATATATTTTTTCTGTTTTCTTTCTAGATTTTCGTTCAGAATTCATTATGTTTATATTTTAACCGTTTAACATAAATAATAATAAAAATGTGTTCATAACATTACAAGTTTTCATCTTGACGTTTTTATAGTGACAAAATTCTTGTTTTTTTTTTGGTAAATTTAGTGTAGTCTTAAGTTTAAACTAGACAATTATTATTTAGAAATAAGGTCTTTTGTCGTAATTATTTTTAAATATATTCCAGACTACTAATTTATTGTGTTTTAATTTTTGAAGTCAATATTACTTTTAGATGATTAGTATTTCTTTGTTATATTCACATTCACTCCATAACGTCTTTTGTAAACATAGAGAAACTTATGTTTCTCTATTATGTTTGCGATGTTTATGGAGATTGTTGGTTTATTATTTCTCTATGGTTTATGTCTTTGGTCATTTAATATGGTTAATGACAATGGACGCCGTTTTTTCGATCATAAGGTATATCAGAGGGTATATATTGACAAAAAAGCACAGTTTGTTTTCTACTAAAAATAATTCCGAAATAGCCTACAATCTGGCAACATCGACGATGTACACATGCGTAGTATCTGTCATGTATCTGTGACCAGGGGGGTGACAGTGAAATAGGAAAATTGGAAACAGTCATTAGTGTCATTCCTGTCATTCTCCTCACGACAAGTATGGCCGCCTAGACAAGGACAGCATTGTTTTTGTCTAACTATTGTCTAACTTCACAGTTTAGAATTGACAGATTTCAGTTTCAGAGACAACTTCAGATTTGTTCTAGAACAAATTCGAAAATATTCGACGCCATTTTAATTCATTCCGTTTAGTTTCGTTTTGGAAGTTCAATTTAATATTTCGGCTGAAATTTATAAATATAATGGTAATAAAGTATATATAATATATATTACATGAAGAATCCTGGAGAAAATGACGTTTCTGCAGCAGTAGGTATGTCCCATGTATATGAAAAATAGGTAGTAAATAAACACTGTTTTTACATTTTTTAGATGCAAGAAAATGGTGTTATATCTTTGATCGGCGATTTTTCTGAAAATGGAAGCAGTGCCTTCTATTAAAAGATCAGCCTGGGGGCGGACTTTTGTTTACTTCATCAGCTGTACATACTTAGATATTGGGTTAGATTCCGTTTCATATTTTGTCGGTTGATTTTTGGTTTTAACTCTTTGATTTTTGGTATTATTTATTATTGTAGTGCAAAAAACTAATTATTTTGGTGTTGAAGTGACATAAACTACTACCAGATATATGGTCACTCTCGGTTTCGCATAAAAAATAGAAATTTTAAAAATTTACACGTTGTGCAAGTGATTTAACCTAAAAGTGCCCATACATTTTTACTTATCGTGATTTTTGTGTGTGTTTTTTAAGACTCTAACAATTCATCAATAAAGCTTAAGTGGAGTGTGTTATTGGTGCTATGCCTCATCTTTGTTGTGTTTCTGGTGGAAAGGATAGTTACTAAGGATAGTTATTATACTAGGCAGCCTAAAGTGTCCGGAAGAGCAAGAAAAGTGGGTACGAGTTATAAATCAAGAGAATTTTATTGAAAATATCTTTAATAAATTTAAAAATAATATTCTCCCATGATGGTATTAATGAAAACTGGACAATTATGTTTATTTTATTCATATTGTGGAATCTCCACTCCAAGTGTTGCTGGTTCAGCTTCGATAGATTCAAACACGTAAGTAGGTATTATGATCTAGGGAAAAATAAAGAATATGTGTATTAGAGATCATGAAAAAAGATTATTATTTTGAGTTCAAATTTTAAAAAAGATTTTTGTAAAGACAAGACTGATACAGTTTAAAAGAAGAATGTGTTTTGTTTGATAATATATAATGTATGTTAAGCATAACATATATTTGTTCAGTAATTTTTAATGAATAGTATTGATTATTTATAATACCAAATTAATATCAAATATTTAAGTGATGGCTGAATACAATATGAATAAAATAACAATAAAATTGGTATATTTGCATAATACAAAATTAAGTTTTAAGAATAAAGGTGTTACTAAAAATACTAAGAAATTCATATTTCTTTGTTTTAATTGGTCTAATGTTATTTACATTTTACGTAAGAATTATACCGTATCATCGAAAAAATCGGCGTCTAGTTGGCTTGGAAATAAACATCGATGACATTCCCTAAATAACTGTACACATAAAATAATTAACTAGAATTTTACAATCTTGGAAAATTTGATATTCTTGAACCTTGATTCTAAATATTCTAAATTTTTTGATTTTCTTCGAATTTAGGTTCGGGAAAAACGCTGATTGATTTTTCATTTGTTTTTTCATTATTTTTATTTGGTTTAAAAAAAAACGGTTTGGCTAACATTATAGCCTCCATCAGTGTTGTGTCATATGAAAAAAATAGTGTCGAATATAATCCAAAAAATTGCATATAAAATATTCACACCACGCACATAATGTTTACTGCGTACTCCATAGTCAATGTAGATAATTTTAGTGTTAAGAATAATAATTTTAAAAAATATGTGGTCGTCTTTTGATAAGTTTATATTAGTTTATTAATTGCAGTAAACATTATGAGGTGTGAATTATATTGTATATGTAATTTTTTGGATTATATTCGACACTATTTTTCTCATATGACACAACACTGTGAAGGCTATAGTTAGCCGAAACGTTTTTTTAAACCAAATAAAAATAATGAAAACCCAAATGAAAACTTAATCAGCGTTTTTCCCGAACCTAAAATCCCAAGAAAATCAAAAATTTTAGAATAATTTAACATATAAAAATGCCAGCGATCTTCATTTCATAGCCATCGCTGACGCCTTTTTTAGATAATATTGTATTATTTGTAAATATAATTTTTCGAACATTGATACTTGCAAAATATACATATAAATTTTGTGAATGCAAATAATAATACATCACTATTAGTAGATATTAAATGTTTTTGTTAAATTAGATCGATTTTCAAACCCCAAAATTTAAAATATATTTACATTTTACCCATTATCTTATGTACCTATACATTATTTGTACATTGTAAAACATTTGCTGCATTTGTATGGTTCATAGTTTATTTGCCAAAGTATTTATTACTATAAATAGGTATATATGTTGTAGTTATTAACTGTATATTATGTATATTTCATTTAAACTATATCATTTTGAAAATACAAACCAAAAATCTGAGGAATAATTATGTTTTCCATGTATTCTACAACATATTTATTAATCCGTTATATCTAACTAGCGTGACGTCATAAATCTCGCCCGTAGGCTGATCTTTTAATAGAAGGCACTGCTGTGACCATAGACAAACAGAAAAATTAAAAGACTGCCAGAAGACATACGACGCGCAGGCAAATGTACCTGTAGCGCATCGACGCAAGTGCCGAAATACGTCCATCTAGCTATCTGTGTTTCGACACTAGTCCGTTAGTCTTAGCATATTCAGAAAGAACACATGCTAACCTCCAGCGTTGCCAATTTGTGGGGAATTCCCCAAATTTTGGGGAATCCGGAGCCGATTGGGAGTTTTGTGGGGATTTTAGCAATAGGGGGCGAAAATAAGGGGAGTTTCAACATTTTATTGCTGATTGAAAATGGCGTAAAATTTTTAGCTTTAAAAACGGAGCGGGACGATATATCTTTCCCAACTTAAAAATTATAATCTGCTTTTTACTTGTGCTTCCCTTTGCAAATGCTTCAGTTCAAAGAAAATTTAGTGACCTCAAATTATTTAATGACTACTAGGGAAGGGATTAAAAAACAAGGAGGTAATTTACAGTTTAATCTCTCTAACATATATAATAAATATTGTATTTTTATTAAAATTATTTTTTTTTTGTTAAAATAATCATATGGGGAATTTTTGGTGAATCGGGACATTTTTCTCCCCAAATTGGCGAATTTAATTTAGATTTTTGGGTAGTTTAGAAAATTGACATTGGCAACGCCGCTAACCTGATTCTTTTGTTTGTTTGTTCAAAAAGCGGCACGCGGCGTAGTACAAGGCTTGATCGTTTTTTAAGAAAGTTTTGATTGTTAATTTTATTTTTCTGCAAACTAAACAGTTGTTTTTTATTAAAAAATAGCAGACAAAGGTAAGAAAGGTAATGTCCATGCCTAAGTTTTTATTTCACTGGCTATTCTTTCTAGAAATTATACCATCCAGCCCTCCTATTTAATTATTAAATGAAAGTGTGAAAGAGATATCAAGGGCTATTCTGTTAAAATGTCATCCGACCAGTCTAGGCCCTGTTGTGAACCAGAAGGTGTGCTAAGTTGGATGTTGGATATAGAATGGAAGGAATATCATGGCCGAGAACAAGGCATAATTGTATGTCCCTTGATGTAGGGGGGTAGGTTTGTTTCGAATAGGCAGTAAAACCAAAAATTCTACTGTGAATCTTCATATTCTAGGCCTGTAAAGGTAAATAATTCCTGGAGCCATCTCGAGGTATAGTACTCAAGTCGGAGCGAATCAATTGATAGCACGATGAAAAGAAATAATAGCCAGCATAAAACTGTAAATATGTATATAACTAGTACTATGTAGCTATTTAACTGTAAGTACAATGTAGCTAGATATTTAGTAGAATAGGGGTATTATAAATTAATACAAAATACAATAATTGGTCATTCTTTCCATTCCCATTCAATTCTTCCCATTTAATCGTTTTCCCATAAAAAAAAGAAAATTAAAATTAAGAGTGCCCTTAACCAAAAATAGTGAAATAAATGGAGATAGTCAAATTTTATATTAGCGTGTAAGACTTTGAATAAAAAGGTGTAAAAGGATTATAAATGGTGTATTTATATCCTTTAGTATCATGATAATATAAAATCTGAGTAGGTATCTCCATTTATATCACTGTTTTTGGTTAAGGGCACTCTTAGTTTTAATTGCCTTAAAAATAATAAGTATAATAATAATTTAAATCTCCCGCTCTTTCATAGTTCGTACCTGTAGCCAAGTAGAGGGCGCTAAAAGCGCAATCTCCCAACATTTTACCACGCGATTCACCACTCTCTAAACTATTAACTTTCTCTATGTCTGTGACTATTGGTGGGTTCATACAGCCAAATAAAATAAAATAAGAATAAAATAAGAAAGTTGGTTATATGGGATACCGTACATGCGTTCATACAGCCAAATAAAATAAGAAGTCTTTATCTTTTAACTTCTTGTTTTATTTTATGTGAAAACGGCTTTGCGCACGCTTAATTCTAACCTACAAATATTTTCAGTTTGGATTTAATTTATTTTATAATTTCACATAAGTAAAATGTATAATATAGTAGGCAACGAATAAATAAATATACTATAAATAGTAAAATTACTATAAACAATCGTAAAAGTTAACTTTTATCCAGCCTCATCGTACTGCGCATGAGCAAATATATATTTCTTATTTTATTTTATTTGACTGTATGAACGCACACAAATAAGAATTCCTTATATCTTATTTTATTTTATTCTTATTTTATTTTATTTGGCTGTATGAACCCACCATATATTCTTGGACTATATGCAGCAAAAACTCGTTTCAAGGTCAGCCACCGGATTCACATTCACACCAGGGCCAGTCAACTGAGATATACGACCTTGAACGATCTTTTTTTGGGGTAGTAATTTCCTGGGGCGCTAGATGGCGTATTTTTATTTTAATTTTTCTAGTTGCCTAACAATTGCGTACAAAATTGTCTTTATAGTTGCCTAAATAGGCCTATTAATTATGTTTTGTCATTGTTCTGTATGTCAAATCAGTTTTCCGTTTCCGGCTTCCTCCTTTCTCTTCAGTTGTGTTTTGCAATTGAACGGAGATGTGCGTTTCGCTGTTTTCTGGTTGTTTGGCTGTGTTTTTTGCAATCTTCATTTTACAATCGTGGTTTTGTATTTTGAATTTTTTTGAACTTTGTTTTGTGTTTGATTTTTAAGATCTTTATTAAAGGTAAGGTTTAAGTTAAAGGTCTTTGATTTATCTAACAATTTTATTTAATAATCCGAGAAAGTGAGGTGAGGTAACCTAACCAAGTCCAAATGTTCGTGAATTTTATTTTTTAACAATGTAATATTTACAACGCCATATATTTTTACAAAAAAAAAATTGATCAACTCCATATTTTTGTACATAAACTCCACAATGTGATATTACACAATTGTTCAAGTCCATATGTAAAAAATACACGTAAATAAAACATTGTTTCAAATGGACGTCACTTTCTCTTGTATTCGATAACGATATTTGTTATGTGTTCTTAAATCTGGTACTATAATAAATATTATACTTTTTAATCTGTTGTTTTATTTGTTTGTAAAATGTTTCATGGTATAATTTTCTGTAAATTAAATTAAATTATTTATTGTAGGTTTTTATGCACTTAAAATGATATAAGCAAACCATTTAACACTTTACAATAGTTTAACCTGGTTTAACCTTTATATATAAATCCTTGTTTTTTACCATTTGACTTGTTTGCCAATTTGGGACCAATCAGATGACTACACATTATTTTGTAGAAATCTGATTGGCTCTAACTGGCGAACAAGTCAATACGTCTTGCTTAAAAATAAATTGCATCTATTTAAATTTGCCGCCACATTTGTTACTTTCCTGGGTGGCTAGATGGCGCCACTTCAACATACAGATTACAGATTTCTTTACAAATTTGAAACCGTTTTGAAACTAAAAAATGCATGGGAGTTAGCGTTCTTCTTTAGTGTGTTCTGTGATTCACACATGTGATTCACACCAGAGAAGAACAATTTCACACCCTCCAAACTTGATAGCTAACACCCCCTAAACTGGTTATTCTATGGATTAGTTTTTCGTGGTTTTCATTTGTCTCTGCGTTATTTTGCTAATATTTAGCCATTATTTAGTTCACTTGTTAACTGTTTTGGGAAATTGTTGAATTGATTATTACTACTTATTAATTTGTTAATTAAACATGGAAGCCCGTATTTCACAGTCCCAGACCCAAAACAAAAAGTGCCTGCTTTGTAATTTGGAATTTTCTTGTGTTTCGGCAAAGAATAGACATATGAAAAATCTTCATAACCAAATACCAAATACAAATGCTAGAAAATCACATATTATTTGCCCATTGTGTACTGAAAATGAAATAGTTTGTGGAAGTTACAATATATTGGAAGAACATTTGAAGATAAACCATGGAATAAAATTGGAAATAGAAACGCATAACTTTGCTACAAGGGAAAGTTATGAACAGTGGTTTGAAGAACAGAAGATTAAGACAAATTATGTATCCGCCAGATCCAACAAATTTAATGATTATGTGGAAAAATCTTACAATTGTAATCGCAGTAATTCAGAAGGTAGGTAAAATCAGGTAAAGTGGAAGTAAAAATACACAATCACAAATAGTCTCTTTTTATTCTTAGGATACATCAGCAAATGTTCTAAACGAACAGAGAAGGCTGGTGGTTCAATAAAAATATATGGAGTTTGCCCATCTCATTTAAATATTAAAATCTGGCAGACAGGTAAATAAGTGAATTTAAAAATTATTATTCTATTACCTTAAAACTATTATGAGTGAGTTGAAGTTTATACTTATACTACTACAAAATGTATTGTAGGAGAGACTACAGTAAAATTTTGGAAATCACATGTCGGTCATGAAGAAGACATCAGGAGTCAGCACTTATCAGAGATGGAAAAAAAACAAATAGTTTCAAAATTATCTAGTGGTGTAACTGTAGAGAGAATTATTTCTGATGCTAGAAAAATGACATCGGAGACTGAGAACCTTCAAAGGATAAATATACTGAATAGGAAAGATGTGTCATATCTAATGAAAAAACATAATATAATGAAGAACAAATTATTTTCGGAGAATAAGTCATCACACATTAAAGGACATAAAGAAGAAACTGAAAATTTTGTTAGAGAGAATGGATCGGACAGCAATGATTTACTTACGATAGATGACACAGAGGACTACAATTTGAGACAGCGGACAGAAATTGCTAATACTTTTAAAAACTTTATACTATCCTTAAATGGTGAGGCTTTTGAAAGGTAATGGGATTGTTTTGAATGTATGTGTATGTTCTAAGAGTTAAGCAGTATTTTTTTAAAGGGTTGTCCGAAAATATAGTTTAATAATGGAGCAAGAAAATAAATCAAGGAAAATGGTCAAACAAGAATTCATTCCAAGAAAGCGAAAGAAGTAGAGTATTGTTTAGGCACAGGTTTTTAGTATAGCTTAGGAGACCTTTTCTAATCTTCCATGTTAATGTAACCTTTCCCTATATCCATCTTTTCCTCTCCTACTCATCCCGGTGGAAATGTTGTCGCCTCTACGTGGTCTCACTAGACATACACTTTTGTATGACCAAATGACAACTTTAAATTTGTAAATTTTTACTTTTTAATACACATATTTGGCAGTTGTAAATTTGTTTCCATGCATTAGATTGCTATAGATTATTGTCACTATCAGCTTATTTATAAATAATCTCTCTGGGTGACAATGGTTGCCTGAGACGAGGCTGCTTAGCTGGGATGGGAACTGACTGGAGGCCCAAGAGTTAAATCTGATGAAGGGAGGCAAACTTAGATGCTCTGGAAGATTTTTCTTTATGTGGTTGAGTCATACTTTGACTAGATATTTATTAGGGGAGGCTGGGCATAACTTGTCAATATTCCTGCTCTTTTTGATCACATACTTCTTTTTTCTCTTGCTTTTGGCCTACCTCTATTTCACTATTTTTGTATTCCATATTTTCTTTATTATTTGTTATCGACGCCTATGATCCTTATGATAGGCAGTCATTTTTCACGCCGTGCCTGCACCCCGTGTCCGCTGATGTTTGCGAGTAGCGGAGTAGTAGGCTTTGGAAACAGTTGAATGTCAGAGATTGTTGATTTCGGCCCGGAGAAGACATTGTTTGTCAAGCCTGTTAGAATTATATTTTAAATATCAATTTCTGTTAAATATATTAATCTCCCGATTACATATTGGAATATCATTATTCGTCAATTCTATAAACTCATTCATTGATAGTCTTATATATTTGTATTTTTTTGTGTCATTCTTCTGATACTTTTTCGAAGATATATTTTATCATTTCATTATATAGAATTATAGCTTTATTTAATTTCATGCCATTTTTCCCTATTTACCCACCATTTTCATGCCATTTTTTCAATTCATCATATCTTTATTTCGTTTTTACTCATATTTTCTTCATTATTGGAATATCGTCATTCATCAATTCTGTACACTCTTCTATTGGTTTTCTTATTTATATATTCGCATAATTTTTGGTGACATCCTTCTTATACTAATAAGGCATAATACCGTATGATCGAAAAAAAAACGGCGTCCAGTTGGCTTGGAAATGACGATCGATGACATTTCCCATATAATTTTACATATAAAATGTCAGCGTCGTCAGCGATCTTCATTTCATAGCCATCGTTGACGCCGTTTTTATTCGATCATACGGTATTTCTTCTGTTACCTGTATAGAAGTATATTTTTTATATACGTTAAGAATTAATCTACTAATATTAAAGGCCACTTTAAGATTTTTAAATTTATTTTTTTTTGTTTTGGCAACCAGTAATACACTCTGTGAGCATGTGTCTTTAATGTATGCTTCGTGTCTTTAAAAGATTTTGAAACACAGAATATACTAACGATCACACTAACGATTGAAATAATTGTATGGAGTGTAGAGAATTGGAAATAGACGTACAATTTGGCAACATCTACGAAGTGCGTAGTATCTTTGAAAAAGTGCAGTATTGTCACCAATCCTAATATGTAATCTTTGGTATGGTGCAGTTTTCAGTATTTATAATCTTTATCTATGGGTGCATGGGTGCATTGTGCAGTCTTTTCAAGGTCAGGCACTTATAAAAATAAAACCACGGCACATAAAAACTTATATGCCGTGATAAAACTATAAAACAGTTACTGAAAGAAAGTGGTTTAAATGATCCTGGTTTAATTCATGTTTAATTACGCGTTTTGTGTGTTTAATCTAACAAAGGGCAATTTAGGATATTACTATTACAAAATGAGGAAGTAGTTTATGTCTATTATAACTTATAACTAATCTCGTGAAGTACAGGTGAGGGCCATTTTCTCTTGCTTATCCAATAAATAGAGGTTCTAATAAATCCTATATACTTCTTGCATTAAAGCAATGGATTATGTAAATTGATTTCAGGTTTACTATAATAGTTAGCCTATAATAGATATTAATATCTTGAATATTAGAATGTGACTTTAAAGGAACTTGGAAAACTAAACAATAGAAAATATGTCTAAGTTGGATCAATTACCAAGTCTTACATCAGACTTGGCTATAGAAATTTTAAAAAAGACCATTGATCAGCTTCAGTTGCCAGAGAACATTCAAAAAATCGATGAAGCTAGAGATAATGTTGGCAATGAGATGCTAAAAATGATGCAGTTTATTTTTCCCATAGTGATGCAAGTACAAATTGATGTTATTAAAGAATATGGATATCCTGAAGCCAGGGAAGGTGTAATAAAATTTTCACAAATGCTAAGAGCATTGGAGAGAGAAGATACTGAAGTAGCTAGATTGCATGGAATAATCAAGTCATATTATTTGCCTCCTGTATCAGCTCATACAAATAACGAATCTAGCGAAGACAGAACTAGTAGTAATTAGGTTCTATGATTTTATCTACTCTTAATAACTACAATTATTATAATATGAATTGAAACAATTTTTATATAAGAAAACTGTTTATTTTAATATATATTCCTTCAAAATAGTTTATAAATGGATTTCATTATCTATACTATTCTAAAATACAAAAATATTATTCAGAAAATACTTTGACCTGAGTTACACTCACAAGAATGTTTAAATGGAAGTGTACATTTTCAACAGCTTACATTATCTTAAGGTTATCTACAAATAACTGAGATATTGTGAATCTCAAGGTAACTTAACAACATAATATGTAAAAATGTTTTCCAAGCAACAATGCCATCTGAAACAGGTACTGAACTATTTGGCTTGTAAAATCAAATATGCTCTAAGCATTTATGGATATATCACTAGTTATTTGTTTTGTACTTTGAATGACGAATCTATTTCAAAATTATCACAACAATATCCATTTACCTGTTTACACCTTTTCAGTTTTAAATACTATTTGACAGATCATGTTGGCAATAATTTGTACTAATATAATTCTTTAATGCAACACAGTGCAAATAGTGAGCTTGCACGTCCAATCTGCTTACTGTCTGGCACTTTTTTCTGTTTCAATCAAACATTCCCTGACTAGAATTCGTGCAGAAACAATATTTCTCTTCAACCTCTCAGCTGAACTACGACTTCCAGCATAAGTCGGGCGAACTTCTCTGCTCATTTCTTCAATTACATTTAGGAGTTGAGCATATTTTGATAAACCTAAAGATCAGCAAATTATTATACAAATCAAGGGTTGGCAGATTATTGAAACTTACCAGTTTGTGGACTGGCCAACCCAACTGGAGTATTACTACCCGTATTGTTACTAGTTTGGGAGTTATTTAAATTTTGTGTTTTTGTTGAAGAAATTGGTATAGCTGTAACAGTCACATCACTTAATTTTGATTCTACTGCTTGAATATCTACTGTGTCCATTTTAATTAGCAATCTTATAACAATTCGTGAAAATTTAATATAACGGTTACATAAATAGAACAACGAATATGGATATTAGTAAATGTCTGAAACTATAAAGGAGTTTAATATGAGTTTAACTTATAAAATAAATACATGTAATACAACTTGAATGAAAAAAAAATTAAAAGAAATTTTAACAAATTATCACCGTTATCAACACTGACCTTGACCCCAGTAACCATAGAGCAACTAATTTATTTTAAATATATCTCTATGGCTGTTCATATATAATCATACTCTAATTTAGACATAGATAAAGAGAGAATAATCGACCAGATAGTCCTGGCAGCTGTGGCCATGACAACTAGAGAATCTTCTTCTTTCTTATTCAATTTGTTGGCCGTGGCTGCCAGGACTATATGGCTGGTGGTGATATTCATATCTCTGAAGAGGCCACTTTAACATAAAAGAAGAAAGTAATCATATATAACTGTGATTATATATGACTGTGGACTTTTAAAGAACAATGACTTTAAGTTGTAAAAAAAGGAATTTGAAATTCTATCCACGAATTAACATTTTTTCGAAAATCTGCTTCATAAATTTATTGTTGATGTTGGTTATCTTATATAATTAATTAGACAATAATATGATTTGTTAATTGGGAATATAAATGAAAAGCTTTGATGAAAAGTTTAAATTTCACAAAGTTTTAACAACCACTTGTGTGCGAATTTTCTGTTTAAAGCATAGTTCGCACACAAGCAGCTGTACGGCTGTTTCCTATAGCCCTGCTGAAAAATGGTTACCCAATTTTAAATTTCACCCATTAAAAATTGAAAAATAAAAAAGGCAAACGTAATAATTGTAAATGTTTATTCTTATACGAATGTAAGTGAAAATAGCTATCATGATACAATAAATTCCATTACGCCATTCTTAACCCACATTTTATAATACAAAATTCTGCTTCTAAAAATAATACTATATACATTTTATAGTAATTTTTTAAAATAATTCATTGCAGATAACATGAGTAGGACATAATAATAAAGTTAAATTTTTATATACAAATTAAAATTAATATAATTACAGAAAATATATTAAAAATGGTTTTAAATAATAATCCTTTTTACATGACAATAAAACATCTTAATAGCAACAAATATAAATCTTATATAAATTATGTTTAAGCAGTTAATAAAATACTGTAGAGGAGTCACAAAACTAATATAGAATGAAAGTTGGCAAATTAGGTAATAATTTCGTTATGATATACAAAAATTATGATATTAAAATATCTTTTAATCGGCAGAGTTATGCTTTGATTATTCATTACTGGAAAATTTAATAAAGGATAATCAGTAGAAATAATCTTAAAATTGTTTTTATTTGCTGTCCTCCTTTCACGCAGTTGAGCAGCTCTGAACTGTTCAAGAACGCGATACTCTCACTCCATTCAATTGAGTCATAAAGTTCCAGAACTGTTCCGCGCCATATGGAGGCACCAGGCTATCGCGCACCGCTCCTTTCAGAACCGTTCTCGAGTAGCCCCAGGGCGTAAAGCCCGGAACTCGAAGTTCGCGAATGGAGGACAGCAATTGAGGTATACAGGATTAAATAAATAAGTACAAAAAAATTCAGAAGGTTTTAAAAAATATATATCAAGTACAGTGGCTGTTTTAAACGTGTAAGACAGTGACGTAGACAGCTTAATGGAAAATCAAATGTATTAAAGAGATAAAAATTGGGTCGACACACTTCTTCTTTGCGGTATTGCCGGATTTTGCATCAAAATTTCAAACCGCACAAGTAGGCGTTGCATTTAGGGTTGGAATTTTATTTTTCACTATTAGTTACTTGTTTTACTACAGCTGTAATAGATTATATTTAGTTTAGATATATTATCATCACTTCAGTAGTATACATGAAAGTTTTTAAAATAGGTTATACTTTTCTACACACATTTTCCTACAAACGTAAAAACCGGCAACAATGTATGCCGCTTTTGATTCAAAGTCTGTCAATCGGACATTTATATTATTCTCTGTCATACTCATTAAAATCCAGACCACATTAATTAGATGACCAACAGGGTATAATACACTGTTTTGGAAAATGTTGATTTCTAAAAAAGGAATACCCTCCTGAATGTCTTTGCACTTTTTTATTTTCATCCTGTATAACAACAAAGGAATTCAATCTGTTCTAGGTAATTTAACCCTCAGTCTAGTCTGTGACGGATGATTTCATATAATTCAGGGAAATTGTTCAAGTTCGTTAAGGCTTTATTTCTCCATTCTATCTTAATTTGTTTTAGAAAATACGATCAAATAAGAAATAAAACAAATCAATGAGCAACCGGTTCTTCTTTAGTCGCGTTAGGACATGTTTATATGTGGCACATTTCACTTGCAGATCCAATAAATTTAGATATTTTAGAGATATACGGCATTAGCAAACATTATTGCGGTGCTGTAAGAAATTTATTAGCTGTATATGCAGACATATAAGTGTAAAATAAAAAATATATAGATTTAGAAATCTATATTATAATATTTACCAAGGTTATAAGATAAAGTTTCAAAATAAATTTGATACAATATTCTTAAAATAAAAATTGTAGTTATTTTTTCTATAGGATATAATTTGTTAAACTAAAAGTAAAAAATAGATTTTTAAATTACAATATTATTTTTAATTGTGAAATACAATGTCTTGTCTCTTTTTAACCTTCAAGTTACAACGTATAATATATGCAATTCTGCATAATTTTTTTTTTCAATAAATTGTATGATTAAAATTACAAAAAATATATAAATTTAAAATTTCTATAAATACTAAAATCACAGTGTCCAGTTGCTATTTACCATTTTTTCACTTTATAATAATGTCTTGCAATGTATCAAACAATTTTTTGATACCCAATAATTTCAAATTTTTGACTATTGTTACAGTAATATGTGCCCAATGTAAACTAGTCACAAAAATCTGTCTAAATCGTATACCAAAAACCATTGTATATGATTATTAAACGTGTATAATTTCTAACAAAAATATGAGAAGGAAAAAGCTAATTCGACTTCCATAATTTCGCGTATCGTCTCTAATTCTGGGTATTTAGCCATTTTAATAATATTACACAAAGTAGCTATTACTCTGAAAAAAGAAAGGGAAAAAAACATAACAATTTGAAATTAGAGTTAAAAACATATTATAATCAGTGTCAGTGTATAAACATCTGCTTGGTCTGTATTTTAATGTATGCGATGGAGATAAATATAAATGACCGGTTGACAGACAGAGAGACAAAAGAAAAAGCGGCAGTGTTGCCGGTTTTTACATTTGTAGAAAAATGTGTTTAAAAAAAATAAATTATTTAAAAAACTTTCATGTATACTACTGAAATGAGGATAACATATCTAAACTAAATATTAATAACTATTAAAGCTGTAGTAAAATGAGTAACTAATTGTGAAAAATAAAAATCCAACCCTAGATGCAATATTTTTCATAAACGTCTACTTGTGGGGTTTAAAATTTTGATGCAAAATCCCGCAATACTGCATAGAAGAAATGAATCAACCCAACTGTTATCTCGTTTTAGTACATTCGATTTTCCATTAAGCTGTCTACATCACTGTCTTACGCGTTAAAAGACCACGCAGTTTCGATGACCAGATCGGTATAATTTTATATATTAAATGATATTGATCCTTTTTCTAAGCCATTTCTAAGCCAACTCTAACTTTTTCTGTAATATTAGAGCAATTAAAAAAAAACCCTGACAAAAATATGGCATAAACCATAAAAAAATGTGACAAAAAAAAATATTTAAAAAAAATGTATAGAGTTTACAAATGACACTGATTATCTGTTAAATCTAATGGTGCGTTCACACCGGCCGCGCCGCTCCGCGCAGAACATTTTTTTAACATTTACTTTTGAAGTATATTTTTCTAGCGCGCACAAAAGTATATGTTAAAAAAATAATTTGCGCGGCGCAGCCGGTATGAACGCACCTTAAGAAATTGAGAGATAAGACAAAAATATGTTCTTACCAGTGACGTTAAGATAAGAATGGATTAGCTGGTTCATTAGCCTTCATCCACGGCGCACCTACGTTACCATTTCCATTAATAGGTGCATTACTAGTCGTTATAGGTGTCCAGGGGTCTTGAATAACAGCCTGAGCTTGATTACCTAAAGTTCCATTATTTCGGAATTGATCTAAAAAAAAATATTTACTCTGTATGAAAAAATTATTTGAATTATTTTTAGATAATAATGTCTCCATTTCTACAATTCGGGTTTATACAATCAGTGGTATATACTATTTTTGAAAACTCTTTCATTCATTCATTATAATTTAAGTCTTAATACAATGACTTTATACTAATAAAATATAAAATAATAATATAAAATAAATAAAGAAAAATTAATGAATTGCCGAAAATGCAAATTTATCAAGAGAAATGTCAAAACAAAACTGATAAAACCATTGAATAAAAAAATTAAGGATGGGGCATATCACAAAACTTAGGTGCAGCGCGATGGGGACCTAAAATGGCCGACTAAAACTCCGGTTTATTCAGTGCCGTTCTAGTTTTATTCATTCAATAAATTGTTGTTTTATTTTACGTGGTCAATAAATGTGTGTAGTTACTAAAATTGTTATAAAAATATATAATTCTAATAAAAATAGATAAGTTATAATAAGTATTTATTAACACAAACATCAGATGCCCTACTAGAGCACGTCAGTAAGATTGACGTATCCAAATTATTTTTGACACGTAGTAACTAAAGCGAAAATGCAAGAAAAAATATATAATTAGTTAATTCTAAGTGAATTTTATAAATGGTTAGTTTACTACAAGTGAATATGTTACGGTTAAAGTCCGATGTCCGGTTAATGTCGACATTAACAGGTTAATGTTAGGGTTTGGTTGTTTTGTTTTGTGTTATTCTCTAGCTTTGAATAAGAAGACTAAGGAGGGAGCATAATGCTATCCATGTATTCATGCATGGTGGGCGGAAAAAGCACTCTAGGGTGAGGATCCTTGACAGTTCTGTTTGACGATTCATTTGACAGATTTGAATTTGATTTGAAATTTTGTGGATTTGTCTTTACGGAGCTTATTTTATGTTATTTATTATTTATTCTACTACTAATAGTTGTATAAAGGTAGTAAATCTAGATGGAAATTGAGGCAGAACTTAAATTAACAGTGACACTATCGCGATTTATCGAAAAAGAATCTAAAATAGTTGGTTGTGTAGCGTGCAGTAGATCTCGGCAAAAATTGAGTGAAATAATGCAACAACTTTTCGCTAGTAAGTGACTATATAATATACATATGTGTAGTAAACCGATCATTTATGAAATTCACTTAAATTAACTAAATTATATATTTTTCTTGCATTTTAGCTTTCATTTACTACTTGTCAAAGATCAGATGTCAAAGAATTTTGATACGTTAATTTGACTTGCCTGCTTCAGTAGCGTATCGGATGTTTGTGTTAATAAATACTTATTTTAACTTATCTATTTTTATTAGAATTATATATTTTTATAACAATTTTAATAACTACCAACATTTATTCCCAACATAAAATAAAATAACAAATTATTGAGTCTACCCCACGTCTACCCTACATCCTAGTTTTACATTTTTTAAATAAAATTAGAACGGCACTGATAAACCGGAATTTAAGTCGGCCATATTTGAGGCCCATCGCCGTGTACCTAAGATTTTTGATATGCTCCTTCCTTAGTCTTCTTATTCAAAGTTCTCTAGATTAACCGGGTAATGTCGATATTAACCGTAACATAGTATATATTACATAGTCACTTACTAGTGAAAAGTTATTCCATTATTTCCCTCGATTTTTGACCGAGACCTACCGCACCCTATACAATCAACTATTATACAGTCTTTTTTGATAAATCACAATAGTGTCACTGTTAATTTAAATTCTGATACAATTTTCTTCTAGATTTACTACCTCTAAACGTCAAACGGAACTGCCAAGGATGGAGACCTATGATATATATTAACCTGCTTCCCTAATCTTTTTATTCAAAGGGTAAAATAGATATATCAAAATATGTACCTGTTGTTGTCGAGCTATACGACGGAGCAGGTCCAAAACCGCTCAAAGTGTTCTGCGACGATGTGCTGAATTGAGCGAAGGATTGCTGCTTGATTTCGTTGATTGAAGGCTTCGGCGGCTGCGTGTTGAAGACTGGACGAGGAACTGGAGGCACTGTGGGATCAGAGAAAGGATTCGCGGCCAGCGTCGGGTTGTTTTGTTTATCTAAATGAATAAAAGCGAAAATGTTTCATATAAAATTGCCCTTCTAAAGGTGCGTTTACACCGGCTGCGCCGCTCCGCGCTAAGCATTTTTTTAACATGTACTTTTGAAGTGCATTTTTTTAGCGCGCACAAAAGTATACATATGTTAAAAAAATGCGCGGAGCGGCGCAGCCGGTGTGAACGCACTTTTATAAAGATATAGCATATTTATAAAAAAATATAAAAATATTGGTAACTTAAAACTGTATGAATATTTATTAGTGAAACTAATAATAAATATAAAAATGTTAGACATGAACATATTAGTTTATTCAAAAAATGGCTTAATATTGATAAATATGTCAAAAATAGCTATGTCATAAATATAGAATAGCCTTGTGGTGTTGATTGTATACCAGCATGCCTTTCCGTGGTTATAAAAGATGTGTTAAGTAATTCGACAAGTTTGAAAAGTTGTTTTTTAGCCTTAATAGTGTAAAATAAATTCACACAATGAATATATTTTTAAAGTTTGTGACCGTGGATGGTTGTTGGTTTTATAAAAAAGAGCAGTACAAGAAGTAAATGTCATTATGGGAGAAAAAAATCTTTTGATAAGGAGAGTTCTGGAATTTTCAGTTCATTGGTATTTTATTAAACAGTCACTGTTTGATCGAGCTCGAAATAACAATGTAGAAATTAAATTTAAAAAAATCTTTTTGTGTGTGTTTAAAAAAAAGTAATATTGTTGGATATGTATTTTAATATTTTATAAAGGAAATGTCCTTGTATTCCAATGTCATACGATGCTAGTTTTTAAGGCCTTTTTGTGCAAAGGATGTTTTTTTGCTAATTGACTCAGTCGTAAGTTTTTTTTCTGTTATACAATTTTAAAATGTTAATGCCTTTTTATTTATACATTTTAGAAACTGTCCTGATGATGGGAATAAAATTCTCGAAAGCTTGACAAATTTGAAAAAGTAGTTTTATTAGCCTATGTGCTGATTATTGACTAAATCCTCACTTAAATTTTGAGTTTTTTTTTGATAAATATGTCTGTAAAAGTGTGTTAAAGTCTTAAAAGTTTGTGTACCAATACCAACGGCAAAAAATTCTAAATATTCTCTATTTGCCAGTAGTAGATGCATGTAGATAATATTATATAACTCAAATTATCCCATACGACCGATAAAAAACAGCGTTAAAGAAGGCTCAGAAGACAATCGATAATAATTTTGGCGAGGTCAAGCCCTAGATGTCATTTACTTGGCCCTTCTTCCTTATTTTTTAATGGCCCTTATTGGCCTTAAGAAGGATGTAATTTATTTATTGAGTAAAAAGTAAAAATGTTTTTAATGGTGTAGTTTAAAATTCAAGAAGAAATAATTTTTTAATTATTTTTAATTTAATCTTTTTAATCTTTCTATAATTAGTGTTAATTTTTGACAAGTTCTATTTAAAATTTTAGTAAATGAGGTTTAGAGATTGACCTCGACAAAATTATTATCGATTGTCATTGCCCAGCTGTCGTTGACGCCGTTTTTTTCGATCATACCGTAGAATAGTTTTGTTACTTAATGGCGCTGTTGAAATTTTTCACATAATACTGATTTTTTCACAATAATCAAATTATTTATTTTATATCAATTTATTTTGTATTTGCAGTTATTTGCATGGCATTAAACACACTGACATAAAAAATTCATGTTGAAATTACACAATTTGAAAATATTACGATTTTTAGTAAAGCAATACATTTACAGAGAGAATACATTGAGAATACATACATACATCAAGCAATACATTTATAACCATTAAATTTGATAAACATATTGCATGGTATTTATGTGATATTAAATTCAAAAATTATAAGTTTTAGCTTTTATTTCATTCGGCATGATCTCCTAAAAAAGTAAAGCCAATCTAAAACATGTATAAGTAAAAAATATTTAAAATTATCCAAGTTAAGTAAACATTTTAAAAACTTGAGAAGCTATTTTTGAATATTAAATTCTACATAAAGTATTGACGTAAAACAATATAAAGGATTTTTAAAAAGCACTTTCTCATTAAGTTTATGTACTTAATTAATATATGATGAATGGTTTGTTAACATAAGGATTATTGGTGTTATAATTTCATGTATCTTGATGCCGTGTTCTATATAAAACATGGAATATTGTAAATGTAATAAATTAATGTTTGATTTTTATAACTTTATTTTCAAATATATTCAAGAAAAAATCGTTTACTCAATTTTTTAATTTTTCAAGGATTGCCGAATTAGATGCGTTTGGTTTGGTTTGGTTTGGTAAGGAGAAAATCTCTTATAACAATTTATTTCAAAAAGTGGTCACCAAAATCGGAAAAATAAGGATTCACTAAATAACCACAGTGACGCTAACAAGCAATAAGGGTTCAAACTGAACTTAGCAAGTTACAAATGTAGTGAAGTTAGTTAAAAATAGTGGCAACACGCGCCTTCTTATCTATCCCTTTTTAATTATTTTCTGTTCTAAAAATTGAGGCGCTCCTTTCAAATGTAGAACTTTTGCTACAACAGCGCCATCTTAAGTGTTCCCCGTTTGACGACTACTTTTCAATACATACAAAATTAAATTTTTAAGTTTGTTTAAAACTGTAGCAGACAATATTTAATATAGACGGTTGAAATTATTTATTTTTTTATCTTTATACTTACTTGTAGTAACTAAATTGTCTAAATTGACTAAGGCAGAGTTTTCACCGAGAAAACTTTGTGGTGTCTTTTTGGTTGCACCCGTCGAAGGGCTGGGCCCCGCCGAGGATAGCGACTCCCCTAGAAGGTTCAGTTCGAAGGGGTCGCTCGTCGTCATATTGCCGTTTGTTTTTGGAGACGTTGCCCGATTCCTACAAAAAAATGGCGACACTTTTAAAATACATGATATACATCAAATTATTAAAGGCTGTAACATGAAAGAAAAGATGATATCGAATAGCCAATATAAAAAAAAATCCTAAACATTAAAAGAAAACAAAAGACTTGATTGAAAGACTTGAATAGCTTGATTTTCTTATATCCGTTGTCCGACGATACGATATTAATTTATTGAGACTTCGTTATTAAGACTTTTTTGGCATGAGAAATTTGATTTTGATTGTCCTATTTGTGTGGGACGCCACGTCACCTACATGTGTTTTAACTGTTTTGTTTTTGTTACGGACCTGTATAAAACTACTGAGTGAAAAATATACATTTTCTTGAATTTTTACGTAAAAACTGTCTCTTGGTAAAAATCCCTAAGAGCAACCGTTTTCAAGATATTTAAAATGCAAATAGTCAATACATGTAATTTTTAACAAAAAAATAAACACGTTGAGTAGATTGTTATTTGAGTGAAATAATAAATTTGGGAAATTTTTATTTTTTTAAATTAATCATAAAATTTTCTGCGAAAAAAATGATGAAAAACAGTTTCTGCTGAACTTTTGGCACAAAAATATTTCAAATTTAGGATTTCAGTCTAATAATTATTTAGTCAACATGTTTAATTCATGTCAATGATGATAGATACTCATAATTTCGATTTCAAATATCTTGAGAACCATTACTCGTAGCGATTTTTACCAAGAGACCTTTTTTACGTAAAAAAACTTATAAATTTATATTTTTTTACTCGCTAGTTTTATACAGGAACGGACGAAAAGTTATTACTCTTCAAACCAGTTAAAAATATGTAGGTGGCGCCCTCTACCAGTTGGAGTCATATTGACATCTAAATCAAATTTCTCATGTCAAAAAACTCCCAATTTTTATCCAAATATTGACGTTACTTCATAAATTATTAGGAAAAAATCTCTATCTCTCTCTCGAAATAAATATGAAACTTCTAAACCCTGTATCTCCGAAACTAAGCATTTTAGGACATACATTTATACAAACTTTTTTACTTATTTTTATCTGCAGCATATGCTGCCGAAGTTTACGGAATACAGTTCGGACTACTCTGTATATTGCAAAAAATATTTAGTAATAAAAGAGTGATACAAAAACTCTAAAGTAATATCACAGCCTATTCATTAGACAGCCAGCCGACTTACAATCATTTACGTGGATTTCTGCATACCTCCCTAGATATTCGCTTATTTTATGTTCTGTAAAAAGTCAGAGGTAATAATAAGTCTACTGGCGCTCTACCTGCCTGCATGTGTACGAGAACACGAAGCACAGGGACTCAAATACTAGCAAAGTCGACTGTCTAATGAATAAGCTGTCATAATATCAATGCCACTCACCTATTCGTTATAATGTCAAATTCGTCTAAGTCAGTCGACGATCCTTGGCTGGTCGGCGACCAAGGGTCGTGTTTAGCAACGTGGGCAGGTCCCGTGTTGACGGGTGACAGATTAGTGGGCGGGGAACTGGACGCAGCGGCCAAACCCCACGGATCCAATTTGGGGGTGGAGTTAGCGGAGGCGGGTTGCCACGGATCTAAGGCGGATGCTGAGTGCTTTTGGACACAAAAAACACGATGCAAATCAATTTTAAGATACATATTTGTTAATCCTATATTTTAGTGTACTAAAATTTTTGTTTTTTTTATATATAAAATTGAGAACAAACTGGAAACAAATAAAAATATCGGTAACATAAAATTGTATGAATATTATTACTCAAATTAATAATTAAAATATGCGAAATCAGCAAATTCCTGTAAATGTTAGACCTTAATATTCATAAATATGTCTGTAAAAGTGTGTCAAAGTCTTAAAAGTTCGTGTACAACCGGCAAAGACAATATTCTCTACTATTTGCCAGTAGTAAGACATAAAAAACACTTTCTAAGTGAGCGGTACTATAAAATCTTAAACCTAGCCTAACAAAATATTCTTTAAAAAATACTTTAATATGGCTATATAGCTAACCCTTAAAGTTTAACACACTAGCATTACTAAATTAAAAAATTATACATCCTAAAACAAATCAGGTTTTTTTAATGCAAAAAAAAACATATAAAATTCACAAACATATTAGACACACTGCTGACTTATGCCATTTTCTGATGGTTAAAACAAAAAAAATGTGATCAAATGGAGGCTATTGGGATAGCAGTTTAAATATACAAATATTATTAACGCAGTTATATTTTTAAATACAAAAAACAGGTATTTGTTTTGTCAAAGGGTCTCATTTAATAACAGTATTATTAAAAGAGTAAACTACAGTGAACAACGATATACAGACAATGCAAATAATTAGCATATGAGCAGTTTTAGCGTTTTTATTACACAAATACATACCAATAAACTGACCCCATACAGATTTAAATCTAAGGACTGAAAAAATTCCATATACATATTAGAAAAGAAGTTTATAATTATCGAATTTTGTGTTGATAAAAATAAAATAGAACGGCACTAAAATTTCACAATAATATTTTTGCAATCAAAATTTTCTGTCTAAAATTGAAATTAAATAAATATTATTCCTTTAATAGATATCAGTTTAATTATTAATAAGAAAAACTGTTATATTTAATAAGCTCATATAATATACGTAATATACTAATTTAAATAATAAAATAAAAATAGTGTGTTTGATTTAAGAGAATTAATTATAAATAATATATTGATATACTTGTTTATATGAAAAATAAAATAAAATAAGTTTTTATAAATAAATAACATTCATACCCAAAAAAGTATGGTTCATTTTAGGTTCTGTTTACAAAAAAAAATGTTTCAATGACTAGTTTAAAAAATCAATATTCTTATAATATAATATATAGTGTTTATCACCTCAACTTTTAATAAAAAAATGCAGTGAAATGCTCAAATAAAATAATATACAAATCTATAGTATGAAACAAATCTTTAGACAATCCAAAATAACAACAAAGAACCCACCCCACAAGTACATACAGTAATAACTTTAACCTTAACTTTAACTTAATAAAGTAAGTAATGTATAATAAGTAATATCTTTAACTTTAACTTACCTGAGGTCGTGGTGGTTGAGGCATTCCCCACGGATCAACAGGAGTTGGATCGCCTCCTAAATTGACATCCAATAAATCAACCATATGACTTTGCATTTTTTCCTGAGATTTCCTATCAAAAAAGTCAAATTAAAAAAGGAACATTTCACAGGCATCATATCAATTTACTTAAAATCTTGCTGGCTTTGACTTAAAGCTAATTGCAACCTAACATCATCAGACTTTCTTTTTTGTTCCTCTTGTTCGGCCTCCTCCTTTGACATTGCCAGGGCAAGCTGAAGTTGCAGTTCTTCCTCGCCAGCAGTTTGGGGCCTGGCAATTTCTATCTCTCTGGACATATCAGCTTAAAAATATTTTAAGTACGTTAAAATACAACATATTAATAATTAATTTGAACATACTTGAGTCCTTACTGGACCAATCTCCCCTAAAGGCTGGATATTTGGGGCTTGTCGGTGTATCAAGACCTCCATCGCTACCAAATCCACTAGCACTCTGTGCAAACCTTTCTTTTGCTTTTAAAGCTCTAGCCCGTTCGTTTTTTAGTTTATCATTGTCTTTTAGAAGATTAACAAGTTGTTTAGCTTTTTCTCTAACATTTTGTCCTTGATCTTTACCTAGAATGATTTATGATTAAGATGAATACAAATGATTTCAGATATGTATTATATTTTTTTAACTATACCTTCCTCTAAATGTTGGAAATCTTTTAAAGTTTGTATAGCATAAATATTTTCCTTGCATTGCTGGCCCACTTTTTCGGATCCTGTTTTAATAAGATATTCTAATAACATCAAAGCTTTGTACACATGTCTCCAGTTCTTTCCATGATCATTTAGTCTTTTCCATACCTACATATTTATCACAATAAATTATTATGCTGTCAAGTATAGAAAGTTACTTACCATTTGCATTATTTCACTAAAAGCTACGACATTGTATGTAAGATCAGCTATTTCAGCCATTATGGTGCTGCTGGGTCCCCACGGATCATTAGAAGTAGCCTCTCGGACCTTTTTCTGAGCATCCGAATAATTGTGAGCAAAATTTTTGATGTTTCGACGGATACCCGCTACGTTCATCTGCATGTCGCTGGACCCCCTACGCATCTAAAGTACCACAACTAATGTTAGAAACTTGAGTTAGTAAGGTTGGTGTTAATAATAAGTCTAAGATTAATGTATAAACTCCTGCAAAAAAGCATCAGTTAGCTTGAACAATTAAAACTAAAGATTTTGAATTTCTATGAATAAATGACTTACTTTGAAGATGTTTTGTATCGATGTTAGATGATATATTCCAAGATTGCTGCAAAAATAGATAGTTATACTGTTATTAAAGGGCAAATATAATGCATTATTAAAACAAATCTATTCCTTCTGGCATTTAGAAGGTTTCCCTTAAATATATAAATGAAGCAAGTGATAAATCAATAAAGTTCATTTTGATAACAATCTTATGTTCTACAGATAATTAAAGTGTAACAAAAATAATGACAAAAAGAGAACCAAAACAATAAATTAGATTGATATCAACATTTAAGATTTGTTGTCAGTCTTCTGAATGTGACCTTTTTAAAACACTATTATAATTAATTGTAAATGTAGGTTAATGTTAAGATTGAAAATAATGAATTTGTTACCTTTAACAGGTAAATAATTAAAACTTAGCTAATAGCCAAAGCAAACAGCCCAACTATTAATAAAGACTATTGCTTAATTAATAGATTTTCTTAAAGAACGATAAGATAGGCTAGGCTGGGCTAAATTAAGCGTTTGAAAAAATCTTAAATAAACAAAAAATACGACCCACCTACAATATTTAAGAAGTGAGAATGGTAATACGAATGTATATTTTGATGTAGCACACGTTCAAAAAACAAAAACAAGAAATAAACGAACTATAATTTTGCTCTATTCCTAAGCAGAGTCCTAAACAAATCTCTCAGTTCACTGATGACACTACACTTTTATTTTCAATAAACACAGTCAACATGGCCGCGCTCTGTTGTAATCACTTTTTATAATCTGAATTGATAAAGATAAACGCGTTTTAGAATTTCACCATTGTTATTTAGAAATTCACGTGATTAAACTTTAATATTTTGCCCGATATGTAAACGACATCCAACACCCTTCTTTAATGTTTTATAAAAAACATCAAATTTTGACATTTACCCTAAAATGACATGTGGGTGATATATTTTTGTAGGCAACCAACAATTCTCATGGAAAATTCTTTAAAAGGTTATTTTTTCTTATAACAGCAGAGTATCAGTCATGATCTATTAATCAAAACGTTTTGTAATTTGATAATTAATTCATTTGATAATTCAATTCTACTTTTTGTGTTTAAAATAAATTGCATATTTATATTGGTGTATTGGTGACACTGCATATAGTCTATCCAGCGAGAGGTTACAGATAGAACCACAGACCACAAGATAGAACTGTGATAGAACCATAGAACAGCATAACGTTTATTAACATTTACTTTTTTCTTTTTCATATGTTTTTCATTTATGCACTATGCAGCAAATTACCAGAAGAAAAAGGAGGGAAAATGTAATTTTGAGAAAACTTTAACTCCATCTTAAAAATTCACTATTTCCTATGAAAACATAGTGACTGTTTATTTTTTTAAGATCTTGTTTATTGTACAAAAAGTATTAAATTAAAAATTACATAATAAAGAAAATCATTGTGCTAGTTGGGCTTCAAACATTAAAGCTCTTGACAAATTTCTTGCTGCAGCCAGTCTTAAAATACTAATTTTATCAGCTAATTGTGGAATTGCTTCTTTCTCTTCCAGGCAATGTTGAATGGTGTATGTATCATTAGCAGAAAATACTAGCTCTTCACTTTCTAATAGAGGGATAGCTTCACTAAGTAGAACAGACCAGAAGCTATAAATAAATAAAAATCATTAAAAAAATAGGAAATTATGTCTCTGATTTAAAAGACATCAAAAATACTAGGCCTACTTACTATTTTGGTACAATTTTTGAAGCAAGAAGTGAAATTAATAAATGCCCACACTCCTTGTATTCACCAGCTTGATACAATTTATGAAATTCATTATATTTTCCTAGAAATATAAGTCTATCACTAGCCAGCATACAAGATCCCAAATTATCCAACAAATCGGTACTATTTAATTCCCCATTTTCAATGTACTTCTTCAAAACCAGATCTGCTAAATATGATGTAAACGGCCCATCTTGAGATTTCAAAGCCCACGTCAAAGCATTACCTACTCTTCCTCTTTTTAAAGATCTTGTTCCTTGGATTTTACATATACTTTGTGCTAAAATATTTGTATATAACAATATCATTGTTTATAAAAATAAGAAGCTAAAAACATACCGACACTGTGCAGTTCTCTATTTCTTGCCTCCCTTATTAATTTGTGTGCTTTTGTTTCTGTACTAAAAGGGATTCTAGGCAACAACAATTCAACAGCTTGGAGACCAATATTTTGACAATAGTCCAGATAATTTAAACCAACCTCCCATAAACTCGAATGCCCCATAAGAATTGTTCCATAGTCAAGTAAAAACGATTCTCTCAAATTTTCTGATGTACTAAAAAAGTCTCACATAGTTCCAAATCTAATATAAAATATTGTGTAACATACAAGTTTTCTACTTCTTTCTCTAACACAGAAAGACTTCCAGAATGATGCAAAATATCAGCCAAGTGGCACACAAACCAACCATTCTCAGTCATATGCTGGATTTCTTTAATCACCTATACCAAAAGAAAAAATAAATTTTCACAATTGTGTGAAATAATTTGTATAAAGATACCTCAAATAAGTCAAATTCCATCGCTGCCAGTAAAACGCGATCTAAATGTTTCATGTGATCTTTGATTCGCATTTTTCTTATGCTAAGTTTTGCAAATTGACCTAGTTCAAAAGATTTTACTGATGGTTCAGTGTAAAACAGCCAGCCAGCTAGAAATTCGTACCAAGTTTCACAATGAGATTGTATTTCAGCCCAAGCCTCTTCTTCACCTACAATTAACTGAACTATGCCTATAAAATAATGTAAACTAATTACAAGTCATTTGACTCACTCGCATTAGTAAATTTAAATTGTGATTTGTTATAAACTGTTTTGCATCAATTTTTAACTGAATATCAGTCGTCCAATGCTTCCATTGCAAGTTAAATTCATTGATGGAAATACTATTGATTACCTATGAAAAATATTAATTTATAAATAACTTAAACAAAACAAGTGTAAGTTTGTCTTACATTATATGTTGGCATGGTTTTTAGAACTTCATCTACTAACTGAAATACAGAACTCCCAAAGGCTGAATTTTGTCTTAAAAGTGTTCGAACAATTTTAATTCTTCCTTGTAAAAAATTCCCAAACACTGTTGGCCAATAATCTTCATGTAATTCCAAAGAAGTCACGTCTCCAGATATAAGTAGAGCAGCATTTCTCTCATGTTTGGGAAAGTGAAATCTAACCCAATCGAGTAAATAAGGCAACACAATATTACCAGGTATAACATCAATAAAAAGTATTTCACACAAATGCCAAATGCATTCAATGGAATAAAATATTGTTATATAATCTCGTAATTCGTCTCGTTCCGAATTGGTAATATTATTTTTACCAATTTCATCTTGTAAGTTTTCCAAACAAGCTCTTATTATTGAACGGTATTGTCTACTGAGTTTTAAGATCTCACCCTTAAATTCTGAAGATTTTGATGATACAGTACTCTGAACCGTGAGGAATGTACCACTTGATTCATTTACCAGTTTTCGGAGAATAGGATGATATAAAATAATACTGTGTTGAACGAGAAACACAGAACTCTGTGCTGTAGAAGCAAAATTACTGGGAATATCCTTTTGGCGAACGGTACGTCGTTCGTGAGGAAACACAGCAAACTGATTTAAAGGTTTCCAAGTGGCTCCTAAACCTGCACGACGACAAAGCTCGTTAGGAATAAGCTAGAAAGAATATCAATGACTAAAAGACATTAAAACATAATTATATTGTTACAAATATCTTAGCATCGTCTTGGCTCATTGTTGATGTCTGTTGTTGATGGCTCTTAGATAAACACAATTATATTTTAGTATATTTTTAAAATTTAAAACAAGTTCACAGCTTTTTAAAAATTAAATTTTTATGGTTAGCGTCCATAGACAAAGAAACATTTTTCTTATTTGTTTGTCTATGGTATTGACGTTTTTGACATTCCTTGTAGATGTAGATCATAACCGGCCGGATAGCCCTGGCGGCTGTGACCATTAAACCTATATACACCTACACAGATCATATATAAATTAAATGTTATGATGATATGTCAAGCTTTCACTGGCTTTGAATCTTGCTTTGAATCATACTACATGCCCACAGATTTGGATTAGAAGTTTTTGGGGAGTGACAGAAATGGTTAATTAAAAAAAGAAGTTGAGGTAGAGACTTTAAAGCTAACCTAATTGTCCTGATCAAAAAATCAAAATTTCCTTAATTTTGCTTTTTGCTCTCATAACATAATCTTTACTTATTGTAAGTCATAATTATAAATAATTATATTACAACATGGCTGGTAGCCGATTAGAAAAAGTTGGTACTATATACACTAGGTTTGTAGTTAGCATTAAATATCTTAAGTATACCTATTTAGACCAACAATGATTTTAATAGAGTTTCCGGCCTAATTCAATCAAAAGCCTTGAACTGGCAAGATAGGCCACTTTGGTACGATGTATACGAAGCATTTCCACCCAATGAAGAACCTCGGTTTGACAGGCCAGCTCCTAACATTCAGCTAAAAAAGATATTCTATAAAGAGGACAAAATAAGAGCGTAAGCAGGTTCAAAGTAATGTTACATTAATGATGAAATTACTTAATTGTATTGTAGCATGTTTCATCGCAACAACAAAAGAATAGGAGCGATTAATTTATTAGGGCACGGAAAAACTTTAACACAAAGGTTTATAGATACTTATTTAGAACTTGAGAGTCGCTGTGGAAAAGACGCAACGGAGGAGCAGCTGTACACAGAAGCAATACATATATTGAATAGAGAGAGGGAAGATAAGAGAAAACCCCAGAGTAATGAAATAGAAACAGTTAGTTTGAGTTCATCGTTCAAAGAAGCTAAAAAGAAACGTGAAAAGGAATTGAATGTCAAAGTGAAATCTTTGTTTTAATGCTTGAATATATAGTTTCTTGAAATTAAGTATGTAATGTAGAGTTTTTAATAAATATATAGGTTTTTGTTTAATAAAGAACAACATTGACTATTATCACAGATAACGTGTGATCTGTGCTATTATTATGGTTTACATACTTATTGACTTGTTAATGATATGCTTATTTCTAAGTTCTAGAGTATTTCAGAAACAAATATTATGGCTCTGGTAAATTAAAATCGAATAATGAATAAACTATTTTTACATAATTAAATTTTTTAAATTAAAAGCAAGCCTATCTACCAGCCGTATAGTCCTAGCAGCTTAAGGCAGTTAAACGGAGAGAAGAGAAGAAGCAGATTAAACGTCATAGTTTGACATTAACCTTGTTTCCGTTTTCCGTGCCTTGTTCTGTGATTATTTTTTCCAAAGTTAATATTTTAAAATATAAATTGTGTTGCTTTTTTTTTATAGTATAAACTGTTTTAACTATGGTTAACATAACTGAAAATCAAATTAGAAGCATTGGCAAACTCTTAAACGATTTTAACCGGCCTTTAAAAGAGAGATTTCGGGCTTTATTTACTTTAAGGAATATTGGTGGTCCAGTTTCAATCGAGTTTATAAATCAGTGCTTTAAAGATTCATCTGCATTACTAAAACATGAATTAGCATATTGTTTGGGACAGATGCAAGATAAAACAGCTAACTCTATTCTAATCAAAGTTTTGGAAGATACTAATCAGGAACCTATGGTGCGCCATGAAGCAGGTATATCTTTAAAAAGTAGTGAGAAGCACGGCTTACAGTAGTTTTAATTTGTAATTAATTTGACAATCTTATTAATATATATTAAATTGTTATAGCTGAAGCATTAGGTGCTATTGGTAGTCCTGAGGTAATAAGTATTTTGGAACGGTTCAAAACAGACCCTGTTAAAGAAGTTGCTGAAACATGTGAATTAGCACTGGAAAGAATAAAATGGTTGCAGAATTGTGATGAAGAAGGGTTGTCAAACAATCCATATAATTCCGTAGATCCTGCTCCACCAGCACATTCCACAAATGTCGATGAATTAAAACTAATCTTAAATAGTAATGATGAGTCATTGTTTAATAGATATAGGGCAATGTTTTCATTACGAAATTTGCAAACTAAAGAAGCAGTTGTTGCTCTTGGAGAAAGTTTAAAAACTGGGAGTGCACTCTTTCGACATGAGGTTGCCTTTGTTTTGGGGCAACTTCAAAGTGAGTACGGTATACCATTCCTTAAGGAGTCTTTAGAAGATGTTCAGGAAAATGAAATGGTGAGGCATGAGTGTGCTGAAGCTTTAGGTGCCATTGCAACAGAAGAATGTACAAGTATTTTAAATAAGTATATTGAAGATGAAAAAAGAGTTGTCAAGGAAAGTTGTGTAATAGCTTTGGACATGTGTGAATATGAAAACAGTCCCGAGTTTCAATACGCCAATGCTTTACAAACTGTGTGATTAGTGATTTATCAATAAAGCCAATTAATTTATTTTTTATTGTTTTTATTTTATGTCTGCTTTTTCTACAAAGTCTGAATTTATATTAGGTTTAATTTTTTGTATATCTGATTGGTAAGAATATTCGGATGGTATAAAAATAATAATAAAAATAATAGCAAGTAATGTTAAAAGTAAAAAAAGACAGAAAGATATGTATAGATCAAAATTGCCTAATAAAACCTGGAATACTTTTGTTATTGTTAATGCAAAAATGCAATGTAAAATTGTAAAATATTTTGTCATGAATAACTGGCAACTAGGAGGAAACCAGTTAGATATAAAAGTAAATGGAATAGAACCTAAACCTATTGTATGAAATATTATAAATAAATACATTATTATTACTGTAGTATATGAGAAATACTTGTCGTTGACTTTATTATATATTACGAAAATTTTACATATATACAAAAATAGTGTAATACAACTAGAAAATATTAAAACACGTCTTTTATTGTACTTTGTTGAAACATAGACACCGAAGATGTTTGCTAGTAAAAATAAAAAAGCGTATACAATAGCGAAGTATTCAGGAAAAGGGACATGGGATTCCCTGAATATAACTTCTGTATATACTAATGTGGGTGGTGCGCCACTGTATTGTTGAAAAAATAGACTCATGCTGAATCTTAAAAAATTGTTTCTAAGTTCTCTGTTACGGTATATTTCAGCGATTGCGTTACCTCCCCTTTCACGTGACATTTTTTCAATGATTGAATATGTTTCTTGCTGAGGATCTAAATTTGGTTTCAAAAATGCTAGTAGTTTTTTGGCGTCGTTTAGTTTTTTGGTTTTAATTAATTCCTTTGGCGTGGAAGGTAAAAATACTGCTAGGAATAGAATAAATACTGTTATAATTAAACTTATTAAACTATACCGTCGGAAGTCGATAAACGTTCCGATTGCAAACGCTAGGAAAAATCCTGTCAGTGCATAAAAAGTGAGTAGTTTGGTCAGAACAACTGACATCTCTTTATCAGTCATTTCCTGTATGTAACACTTTATTTGTCCTAAAGCGTATCCATAACCGGAACCAATGGTAAACCTGCTTCCAAGTAACCAAAACACGTCTCGGGATTGCCACATGATCACCCAGCCGACAAGGACTAGAACGTTGCCTAAGACTATTCCGTATTTTGAGCCTGGGCCTATTTGCCTGGAGGACCACAGGGTTCCAAAAGACATTCCTAACATAAGGAATCCAGCTACCATGGCGCTTTGATCCAGGGTGATGGGAATGGGTGAGTCTGATTGGAGCAAAGTGTGATAGGTGGGCGACGGCCATCCTAGCATCAGTCCAAAAGGAATTCCAGCCAATGAAGCTGAAACAAAGAGTTTATTAGTTTATTATAAATAAATTATACCGTACTGAACGTATGATTGACAGAAAAACGGCGTCAAACACGGTTGGGAATCACAATTGATGGTCTCTAGAAATCATTTACTAAAAATTGACATAAAACTTGCCAAAAGTTAACACTAATTTAGCAATTATAGAGAGATTAAAAATGGATAAAACATTTCCAGAAACACAAATCGATTTCCAAAAAATTATTTGCTCTCAAATTTTAAACTACACCATTTAAAATCACTATTACTAAAACCTGCGGCATAAATTACTTATATTATTACTTATATGTATTCATATTATCTATTATCTATTTGTTCAATAACGTTTAATCGAATAGACTATCATTTTAGTTCAGGGCAAATTGCATTTCCTGTAATTTTTGGGTACCCTCTGTCGAAATCATCCCTGATTGGTTGAACAGACTATAGCCATTAAAATTACAAAATATGAAAAGGTGCGTATCATGTACGTAAAAGTAGTGAGTGGCATAATTTGTTATGTCGATTTGTAACTTTTTTGACATATAAGATCATTTTTTATGAAACTTCAATTATAATAATTTCTTGGTTAAGATATTTAAATTTTAAAGCCTTTTTCGCAGAACTACGTTTTGTGTCGACACTTGAAGAACTTTATGTGAATGGATAATAATGATAATAATCAGTGATATACTCTAAAATTCGAATAGAAATATTATCTCTGTGCCTACTGTGACACGTTTCTTTTCAGTTATACAGGGTGAGTCTTCAATAAGTGCAAATATTCTAGGGGTAGTATATATTTCAACCCCAGAAACACGATTATAAGATTTTTTCCGCAAAAAAAATTGAAAATTTGGAATTTTTAAGAAAAAAAATTGGATTTTTTTTTAGTTTTTAGTTAAATAACATATTTTTTTGATAATATGTGGCAACATAAGTAATAGATTAAATTTACAAGAAAGAAAATTCAGAAAAGATCCAGTGGTTTTCAAAATTTTAACAAAAAATCTTTATTTTTGGAAATTTTCTAAGTAAAATAACTCTGTTATTTTGGACTTATTTGAAAAACAATAAAGAGAAAATATGTTTCTTTTATCGAGATTTACCAGAACTGAAAATATTTGCATTTCTTTAAGACTCACCTTGTATAATACATATTTTATTAAAATAAATATGATTTTAATTAAAACAATTCAAAATAATTAGACATACAAATTAATTAATTGTCCTTCACATAGACAAAATTTAGTCAAACGACAAAGTAATTTCTAATTATTAATAAAAAAATTAACGACACAACACATGTTTGAATATTTTGTCTGATTGAAAATATTATCTTAATGAATATTGCGTCATTGAAAAGATGTACTTTTTTAAATTACTGGGAGAATGAGTCATTAATCTATTGGCACATATAAAATAATTATAATACGGAAAATAAAAAAAAGAAGATGTTTTTTGCTTTTTATAATTTTGAATCTCAATTGTAACTAAGGCGTCTTTCGTTAACACGACACAATGGATATTTAATTGGTGTGCATAGGCATTAATAAGTGTTCATGAATGAGACCGTGCATGCTCTTCACTGGGTAATTATTAAGCCAGCCTGCGCCACTACAGGTACTCACATTATAGATGTTGAATTAGTGTTCAAAGGCGCGTTAAAATGTATTGATGAATGAGATCATATTATGTATTCTTTCCTGGGTCGCTTTTAAGCTAGTGTGAGCCACTACAGGCCACTCAAATATATTTAAGTTGGTGCTCATAGGAGTCATAGGGGTTAATATGTGTTCATGAACGAGACCGTGCATGTTCTTCACTGTGTGATTATTAAGTTAGCGTGTGCCGCTACAGCCACTTAAATAGATGTTGAATTGGTGCTCATAGGCATTAAAATGAGACCTTGAAAACTGTTGTTCCTGAAACAGATCCAGGATCCAGAATTTCGAGAAAGACATGTAGGATGGGTAATAAATTTATGAATTGAGCAGAATTAAATAAAATAGTAAAATTTACATCTGACATATTGGATTATCCAAATTCTGTGTGAAATCATTTGGCAGAATTTCATAGTAGGTGCACTAAAATATTTTCTTTAGGGCATTAGGCCATCCGAATGCCCTTTACTAGAAAGAATAAACTGATTTTGCAATGGAAAATAATATGTGATCGTGACAGTTTAATTAATGTTGATATTGTTATCATACAATATCTATAAACAGCTGTATTGTAACAATTGTTACTTTATTTATTTGTAGTCTTTTTTCTGGTGTTTATAGATCTAGATCATAGATAAAGAAGTAATTATGTAATTATCCAGATAAATCTACACAAAGAAAAATGATCATCGGAATATAATAGGTTACTTTAATAATGGCAATAATAAAACTTCACACCTACCTATAAGAAATTCAGTAAAATTATGAAACAAGTAATAAAAAAATTCCTCGCTGATGTAAATCAATGACATCTTTTTGGTATATGGTGTAAAACTTATGACATTATCCATCATGATTTTACAACCTTATGTATGTTTTAATGTTAATAAAGTACCTATTTATCAAACAAATGTAAACAGTCGGAAAATAAACTCCGACTTTTCCATAATTTTCGGCAATATGTGTATATATTATTACATTATTTACTTCATATTAATACGTTTAAGATAAGATAATAGGTATGTCGATTTAAGTTGGTAGCTACTATAATACCCTATTTTTGATTGTTTATTTTATTAACAAAGAAGAAAAACAGAATTTATTACTAAAGCTTCTTTCAAGAAAAGTCTAATAAAAGCTTTTTATTAACCATTATTTATGTAAATTTGTTTCTAATAAAGTAACGCGAGTCCCTGTGCTCTTTAGGATCAGCTGCCACTGCTTCAAAATATATTAATGGTAGTGTATATCGTGTATAATCAAAAATTATGTAATTAACTATTTCCTTTTCAACCATTATTACAAATTCAATATCAAAATTCGTAATGTATGTTTCTATCTGATTTTTTCAAAATGTAGATGATTGTATTGACCAGTGGCCTATATACGAAAAGGGAGGAGGCGATCATCCCAATAATCCATATACATGTTCTTATAAATATTATTTATAATGCATACTGCACCCCTTTTTGAAATGAAAATATATGTTTTGATATTCAAAGTTCCTAGTATTATTATTTAATTTATATTAGTTTCATTTCAAAGCCTCTCTCTATGAAAACAGCAATGTGCATTCTACTGGAATTGACCCCTGCTTATGCTTTTTTTTATTTTTTATTTTATATTAATGCTTTATTTTATTACAGATTATTAATAAAGCTTATTGGGCTTTTACTGAGCATTAAACAAATCTTTACTATCATTATTATTATATACCAATATCTACCCTCTTTGTAGAACAGTAATAGAATATTCTATTATTTGTATTAACTTTGTTTAACTGAAGCTACCGTATGAACGAAAAAAACGGCGTCCAGTTGGCTGAAAATGACGATCAATGATAATTTCCATATAAATTTACATATAAAATGACAGCGATCTTCATTTCATAGCCATTGCTGACGCCGCCGCCGTTTTTATTCGATCATACGGTATATAAACAACGGATTTAACTTTACAGTAGTTTTCTGAATTTGATGTTGACAAAGGTTAGTTTATTTATAGTAGGTAAACAAATACGTCAAACGAATTAATAAATGTTTTCATTCGGTTTGTTTCTGAGAACCGAGTACAGTTAACAGTGGCGTATACAACAGGTTTATATATTTTATCTTTAAGAGGGGAGGGGACAAATGAAGAGGGCGCCAAATTATATCTGTTTTATATAATATAAAAAAACTGAATTTAGAATCCACTTTCACAAATTACACATTGTAACGTACTGAAATCTTTATTATCATTAGTATGATATAACAATAACTACCCCCATTTTAAAATTGTAGTAGAATATTCTATTATTTGTATTAATTGTTTTTTTACTTCCTTTAATTATATAAATATTCTATCATTTCTATTGTTTTTTTTACTTATTTTAATTATACAGGATGAGTCTTAATAATTGCAGATATTTTCAGGGCTGGTAGATCTCGATAAAAAAATATATTTCCTCTTTACCGTTTTTCAAATAAGTCCAAAATAACCGAGTTATTTTACAAAATAAAAAATATAAAAATATTTTTGCTTAAATTTTGAAAACCACTGGATCTTTTCTGGTGTTTCTTTCTTGTAAATTTAATCTACTCTCTATGTTGCCATATGATCAAAAAATTGCGTTTTTAATTAAAAACTAAAAATTCTTCAAAAATTTTCGAATCTTCAATTTTTTTTTGCGATAAAAACCTCATAATCGTGTTTCTGGGGTCAAAATATACTACCCCTAAAATATTTGCACCTTTTTAAGACTCACTCTGTATGTAAACAACAGATTTACATCATTATCATAGATTTCTGCTTTTGATGTTGCCAAAGGGCTTTTTTTGTTGAAAGAAAATTTGTGTTTAATACTACTGAAAAATATGTCGTTTTAATCTAGTAGAATTTTCACTAAAAAAATTGGGTTTTTAATATTTGTATTGCAGGAGATATTTTCAAAAGTTTATGCTGAAACGGTAAATATATTAAATGAAGAAGTAAAAAATAAGGTGAAAATGAAGACGCGAACAAAAAGAAATAAACAATGATTTTACAGAATAAGGTTAATAAAAAAACTCAGAAAATATAGAAGACAAACGGTCGAGAATAATTGATTAAAATATAAAAGAGTATTAAAAAACTGAAGTATATAGTTAAAAAAGAACTATATAATATTTTAAACATATACATCTATATACATATTTTATAAGCTTGTTGTAAAAACCGATCCATTCAGATGAAAAATGTTGAAATATATTGAGCTAAAAATTCAGTAAAATCAGCTAAAACTGAAAAAAAGAATTCCATTAGTTTTTAAAGAGTTAAGTAATTTATATAATTTAAAAAAGAAGATAAAAATAAAGGCAAATAAAAAAAAGGGAAAATAAAAATTATCTGATTTTTTAGTAACAAAAGTAAAAGAAAACAGAACAATTCCAGATTATCTTTCTTTTATATATGTCGTTAAGTATTTAATACCAATAAAAATATTTTGATTTTGTTAGCTACAACCGTTTATATCAGGTAGTTTTTAAGTAGTAACTCTTTAACTACATTTTTTTGACATTATCTAAATGCAAGAATTAAATCAATTCACTTTGGTTTATTTTTTAAACATTTTTTAGAGAAAATATTTTATTTGCAGTTTATTAAATCATAATTTTTTCTCTTTTATAAACTTAATGATTTTATTAATTAGCTTTTTACAAAGCACTAATTCGCCACAATACACCAAAACACTTTATTTTTGAACTGGACGCGCGTTTCGCTAAACATGTTAGCATCATCAGCAGATGATTAAAACTAGTATTAAGTTTTAATCACTTTTATCATTTAGTTTTACCCTTTAATCAAGGGCTTTACTCATAATCATTTAGTTTTATCATTATGCTGATGATGATAATTATCATATATGTTTGTTTTGCTAATCATCATATATGATTAGTAAAACGCGCGTCCAGTGCAAAGGTAAAGTGTTTTCGTGTATTGTGGTGCATCAGTGTTTTATTTTGCTGTTGCAACACCAAAGGTTCCAACCCCCCAACTGTATTATATATTATATATTTTATTAATTATAAAAAGAATGAAAGAAGAAATTGAAAATTGTAAATAAATGCAGACATAAGAAGTACTGACAATGTCCGAAATCTGATATTTTTTGATTGGTAAAAATAGAAAATTAAAAAAAAATACTGCACAACTGAACTGAAGATTGTAATATTTTTGAATAAAATGTATGGGGTACATTATTTGCTAGTATCGTAAACAAATAAAAAATGAAAAAATTAAAGTTAAAAATGATCAATTTAAGAAAATCGATTTAAAAAATATTGACATTTATTTGATATCATTAAGCTGAAAAAATTGACAAATCATCTTGACTAGTTATTTAGGATTTTTGTTTGACGAGACTTACCACAAACCGATGGAAAAATTTGCCACACACCTGTCTTCATGTTATTTCGCAAATTGTCAAGTCTATTGTTCTCTTGCACTTCGAAAATATAGGTGGTCTCTGTGCTCGTAACATTTTCGGTGATAGCGCGCTGTTCCCTGTTTAAGATTTGTTCCATTTAGCAAATAGTGGGCTGGCGTCAATATTAACTGTCTTAATTCAACTTTTTAAACAATTAAAGTTTATACCGCGCGACTGTTTGATTTTCTGATGTAAGCCATACTAAAATACAAAAAAAATGTAGAATATGTTTTTGCTGCAGTTTACTTAAAGTTTCGATTGGCAGTGGTAGATGTATCGTTTCCGAACAATATTGTTCCCTCTAATTTTTAACAATCCGCAATAAAATCGAAACGGAACATAATTGATGCTGATTGCAATTAATTGTTTGTTATATATAAACATGTCAGCGATCGGGACAATTTTTAAATTTTCATGCTGTTAGAACACGTGCTCCAATTGAGCACGAATAAAAACGCGATGAATATTTTGCATATCATATTTACAGGGTGTTTCTGATACATTCTACTTACACTCACCGGCACAAAAAAAACGGACACCTATAGATTAAACATAATTAGGGTTAAAAATGTCCCGTTGTCAATTATACGAAGGAAAACAAAATGTTGATATTTAGGTGAAAGTTTGAAACACCCTGTGGAGTGTACCGCTTGGTGTACCCTCTGGAGTGTACACCCTTTCGTACCGGTGAGTGTATAAGTAGGGTTCTGTAATTATTTTGTTATACAAAATTTTCGGTAGATTTTCCCATAATGAAAAAGTCGAGGAGTTCAAAAAAAGGTCATCATACAACTTCATCTCAAGTTGGTAGCCCAATTTAGTGATTAGTTACAGCAGCTGAATGAAGATAGCAATACTTTGTTGATTTTGATTTGCTCAAGTTATACAGGGAGTCCCAGAAATAAGTACAAGTGTTTTAAGGGGTGATAGATATCGATAAAAGAAACATATTTTCTCTTTATCGTTTTTCAAATAAGTCCAACATAACGGAGTTATTTTACTTTGAAAATTTCCAAAAAAAAATAGTTTTTTGCTAAAATTTTGAGAACCACTGCATCTTTTCTGGATTTTCTTTCTTGTAAATTTAATATAATACCTATGTTACCATATTATCAAGAAATTATGTTTTTTAACTAAAAACTAAAAAAATTTAAAAAAAAATTTCTCAAAAAATTTCCAAAAAAATTTCTCAAAAAATTTCGAATTTTCAAAATAATTTTTTCGCGAAAAAAAGCTCATAGGCGTGTTTCTGGGGTTGAACTATACCACCAGTTAAAATACTTGCACTTATTTCTAGGATACCCTGTATAGTGTTGGTGCATTCTCCGCTAGTGCTGCCACAATCAGAGAATATCGTAAACTGCCGACTAAACAAATACACGGGTTTAAATGGGGAATATAAAAAAAATATAATATTATTTGAAAAGTATTAGTAAGTGTAATTTGTGAAAATTCTAAAAAAAAATAAAAGTGTAGGTATCTAAATCTTTTGATATCGTGATATCTTCAGAAGGTCTAACGTGTAGTATAATTTATTAATAAAAATAATAAAAACTTTTTTAAATAGTATTAACATGCCGGCTGCCAGGGCCGTCCTTAGACTGTTGGCCACCTGGAGCAAGACCAACAAAATGCGTCCCCCCCTACAGACAATCGTTTTTTTATTAGTGCGAAGTTTGATCCGAAGAATCAGGTGTGAAAAAAAATTATGAAAGTTGTGCCACAGGTGGTAAGAAATATTATCAAACGCTTTCCAAAAAAAAGGAAATAAATATTGCAAGATTTTCAGAATTAGCATTTAAATTTTGTATTTATTATCGCTATTTCGTGCTCAATAGATACCTATTAAAGATAATTCGCTTAATCGTTCTTGTGCCATACTTGATCTCAGGTAATTCTCAATTATTTATTATATTTTGAGTTTAGAAAAACTTCTCTCTCCGGTTGCCACTGAAACCGGCAGCGTTAATAAGATTCTTATGGAGATGTAAATATTTGGAAAGTTTCCAATCAGATCGTGAATTTTTAAATATTTTAGTTTTTGTATTGGACAACTGAAGTTTTCGGCATTATCTGGTGGTATTAGAGCAATTAGAGCTAATATCTCGTCCCGAAGCTCTAGGCCATTAATATCATGCTTGTCTCCGTCCGTTAAATAGAGATGAAGATCTATACAATGCTTTGTTATTTCCTCTTGTTGATATTCTTGAGACCTGTGAAGTCGTATAAAAACGAAAAATAGTCCGAGTGAGTTTATAACAACCTTTCCTGGAGAGCCTCATGGATTGTATCCAGGATACAACAAAGAAAAAAACGATTTTAAACTTTTCCTGTGGATCTAAAATTGGCTCATCCACTGATTCATACAAAAACTGTATAGTTTTTTTTCTGAGACGAGCTCTAATGTCATTAGTAAAAACTCAGAAACTGCTTCAATTTCCAGCTCTTCTGCCAGCTCTGCAGCATCCACTAATATTTCTCTAAAATGGTCGTCAGTCCTTATTTTGACAAAATAGTTGTCGATAGCTTTTAGAGCTTTTGTGGACTCAATGATGTCGAGTTTCTCATTCTGAAGCAGTTTACTAGTTGCATTTATACTGTTGGAAATTTCGTACCGAAAATGACAATTTTTCCAAAATGTAGTACTGACGTACCGAATTTGGTCAAGATGTACTGAATTCAATATAATTTTACCGAAACGGCCGCCCTCAAATTTGGCCGCCTGGAGCAACTGCTCCTCTGCTCCACCCCTCAGGACGGCCCTGCGGCTGCTTCAACTAGGGCAGCGATCATAGTTTTATGCATCGATTTTGCTAGTTTTGTAGTAGTTAAATTATATTTTATCCTCATAGTATAGTATATTATGCATATTTAATTTTTTGATTATGTAATGGCCACTTTGTTAACTCACTTGTTTTTCACAGCCTTCTATGACAGCAATTTTTCCGATCGTATGGTTTAGTTTTACATATAAAATGACAACGATCTTCATTTCAAAGCCAACTCTGACGCCGTTTGTTAAGATCGTATGAATCGTTTATAATAAGATTTCCCAAGTTCTGAGAGCTATCGATTGCAAGTCTGTATTCAAAGTTAACGTTGTAGTTCTTAATAAGATTTGTACTAGCTGCTAAACATTAAAATTACCTGACTCAAGAAACAAATTTGATGATGTTTATTATGTATTTAAGCCAATTTATGGATTTAATTAATTTGATTCATAGAATAATAATTATTAGTTTTTACGTATAGACATTTTTTTGTCTTTTTGTACCTTTCTTAAATGATCTTCCGTTCTTTTGGTGATGCAAAAAATATAGCTTTGTATTTTGAGTTTAACTACACAACTAAAATGTTATTACTTCTTTTAAACCAAATAAATCCAGTTAAAAGAGACCTGTATTTTGCAGCCAATTGTGGTTCTGTGCCAGTATTATACAACGAGCAGTCAATAGAACAAATTAAATTCCTTTATTTATGAATACTAAAGTATTTGTTATTCTCATTTACTTATGATTTGGGAAACGATCTAATTGTGTCACTTTGGAAGAGCTATTTACGTATCAATAATAACAATGGATAAGCCCCTGATAGTTTCGCGCGTGCTAGTTTGTCAGAGTTTACTCTATAGCTCTTGATTGCGTTTAAGGCCAGTATTACCCTATCAAATTTCTTTGGCAAAGATTTTATTGTATCAAAGATTTTGACAGTGTAATATGTGTGATTTTATACAATATTTTAGCCACCACTCGTCTATAATTTGATTATTATACATGAGTTTATGAAATAATAATAATATTCAATATTCACTAGTGAATAATGGTTTCATTATCGCTTCCACGGATATCTCGATCCAAACTCCAAACAAGAGCTGTCAAACATTACTATTAATATAAATAAATAATTTTTGTTTTAATTAGTTAAATCTAAATTAGTTAGCTATCTAGTTAAAGAAAATTTCAATGTTTTGTTTCCATGTTACTTACTCGTTATACTCGTTCAACATTTTTTTGACATTAAAAATAAAAACTTATATTAATATTATCTAAATTTTTTTGGTAGTCCTGGACAGAGTATAGTATTCTACTCTTATACAATGGCTGTTATTCACTTGGATGATTTATGACTTCATTCGCGTCATAAATTCATCTGCGTGAATAACAGCCACCATTATATGCTCGTTGAATAATATACTCTAGTATATTAACACTGTCAAATGTTTCATTAAATATCTTTTATAAAAGATCTTTTGACAAAGAAATTTGATAGTGTAAAACTGGCCTAAGCCAATTAACAAATTTGCTTTGATTGTGTCATAGGCTATTGTTTATTAGTTTTTGTTATATTATGTCAGTATTATTTCGTAACTAATAATTCTTAAAATAGACGGGAAAAATAACATAACACGTTTATATTAATGTAAATTAAGAACATATTCTATTAATACCAACATTTTAATACACACGATCATGGATTTTTTAAATTAGAATAAATTACATTAGATTTATTAAACTGTGGTAAATCCATTGTGAATCCCTTTTTTGATATAAAGAAAACAACTTCAATATTGTCAAAACTATGATATTTTTTAATATATAATTTAATAATATACCAACTAATTTAAGATTTATAGGTTGAATATTTTATCTGAAATAGTAATTCTAATATTTCAGATAAATTTCATAAAGATAGATTTTAAAATTTATTTATTGACTAACAAGTGCAAATATTTTTAGGGGTAGGATATTTTGACCCCAGAAACCCCTGATTATGAAGTTTTTTTCGTAAAAAAATTGAAAATTTTTTTTTAATTTTCAGTTAAAAAACATAATTTGTTGATAATATGGTAACATAGGTAGTAGATTAAATTACGAAGAAAGAAAATCCAGAAAAGATTTAGTGGTTCTCAACATTTTCGCGAAAAAACATTTTTTTTTTAATTTTCAAAGTAAAGTATCTTGGTTATTTTGGACTTATTTGGAAAACGGTAAAGAGAAAATACGTTTCTTTTGTCGAGATCTACTAACCCTGAAAATATTTGCACTTACTTAAGACTTACCCTATATAGACTGTTTGGTGAAAATATACAAATTTGTGAGAGTGTAATTTTAATTCTAAAATATATTAATTTTCCTGTTATTCTGGTCGTCGTCAGTGGCGTATGAATATTCAAAAACGTACTAAATTTGAATTAAATTTTTGCTGGAAGGTATTGTAACTGTGGAAAAACATCTACTTGGATTGGTTTGGATATTCTGTTTTAATTTGTATTATTAACTTTTTTGTAACAATTTTATTTTATACCAAATTTTATCTTATTAATGAATTTCTTTCTGGGAGGGGTAATTACC